CTAACTCAGATAAATGTCTTAGGCATCCATCCACTATATAGTCGGCGTCGCTCCACACACCTTCTTCTCTCCTTGTCGAATATCATACATTATACCTAGTACCCACCAGAACCCGTACCAGCCCCGTGATAAGATCTATATTATATATAATTATTTCGATATCAGTTTTTCATAAAATATCAAAATCAAGTATCAAAAGAACTATTCCAAATTTATTATTTTCAATTTGTAATTGAATATATTATATTTTAATAAAATAAGAATTAATATCAATATTATAAATCAATTTAATTTTATTAGTATTACTACAGATGTACTCGTAGTGTAAATGTTGATTTTTGTACTAATTTCAAAATAGAAGAGCCACGAATCATTCTCTTATTGTCCTCTGTATTGAAGTTATCAGATCTAGTACATCACAAGTTACAATCTATCAGTAAATAAGACATCCCATTCCAGTAAAGCATTCCCAATGGCTATTTGGAGAGTCTTTGAATCAATGTATGATGAGATAATGAGCCTTAATGAAGAACAGGATGGACTAAATGCAGTCATAGTATGTTTCATTTCTCATAACACCTCTAGCTTTGAGCCTATTAGGTGTATGCCACAGTCAATATGACACCATGGTCTCGTCTAATAGGTCGATATGCTGCATAATTTATACAGAAGATATGGTGAATAGGAAGAAGAAGTATCTTTCGATAGGAATATGAAGGTATGTGGATTGGAAACTGTGGTTCACAGAAGAGATGTAGAGATATATATTGGGGGATATCAGAAACCATGTGCCCAACCAAATATCTCATTATTTGCGGTGATAACAACCAGCAACTTTCAATCAGTTGAACTCTATAAATGCCATTGGTTAGTCAATGATTAGATGCTTTCGTTGATTTGGTTTATAGTGAATATTTTAATCATTTGGAGTTTTAAATGATTATATGCTTTCATCGATTGGTCTTTGGACTAGAAAGCTTGATTAATTATCTCCTTTTCTATCTAAAAAGGATGGCTGCGTGAGTTTTCAGAGCTATCTGCTTTGGGTATGGCAATACTTCGGATAACTTAAGTTAAATATTATATCAATATAATGCTTCATGAACTAAATATATTGTGGTATTGACAATAAAGACTATTAGAGACAGCCTATAGGACTTGAAACATGAACAATAAAATATATCTTCAACTATCAATCATCTTGCCATCATCATAGAATAGCTTTATTATAGCCCCGCTTATGTATTGAGTGGTAATGTGAATATCACGAATATTCGAGTATTCACTGAAAGTTGGGTGACTCCTTGATTTGATAGTTTAATTAGGCATAGGAATTAATACATCATTAAAGAGAATCTGCCACTGTACTATCGGTCCTATAGCCGAGGATCTTTTCTAAGAGTCATTATAGTACACTCTTTTAAATCTTCAAATTTCTTCCCCCATCCATTTGACACTTTTTCAATACTGTATGGATGTTTTGTCAAGGACTGTATGGAAGTAAACTCCAAGACAACACCGCCAAAGAACTACTTGCATCTCCATTGATGAGGTAGTTCGTTCTTATGTTCAACTTTATACAGCTCAATCAGAACCTAAATTAACAACAATCGACTGTAAGATCAATGGAGAAGTGTGTCATTGTCACCTCAATCTGCTCAATCTTCTAACACCTAAATAGAACAGCCATGAACGATACCGATACCACAGATGTGTCCCCAATGACACCACAAATCGAATTACCAAATATTCCTGAGATGTCGGATCTTCGAATCCATACCGAAAGGGAGGAAGAAACTGCTTTCATTCAATCAGATCCACCCCCATCACTGAATACAATACCATTGGAAGTTCGACATAAGATATAAAAATACCTACTCATAAACCCTGTTCTGGGAGAGTTGGAATCCATTCTTGGCGAAGATGAGGGGTACATATTCGAAGATGAGAAGTATGACCTCCATCCTGCTGTCCTCCAGGTCTGTCAACAAAACTATGAAGAGGGATGCGATATCTTGTATGCTCAGCAATTTATCGTCTGCTTCAACACATACCTAATAAAGGATTGTTATCCAAGATCTCCTTTGTTCAGGAGGAATATTAGGTTTCAACATTCCCGTTGTCATGAATACAACACATCATTCAAAAATGTTCGGCGATGGAAGATTATCGTCAGCTCCTACAACAATATTGGTTGGATAGAAACGCCAAGTTGGGGATTAAATGCGTTTGAATATTTCTGTGACCGTTTATCCAGCGTTGCTATCACAGGTCTTGAGATCATTCTCTGCGACCCTAATTCGGAATCCAAGCGGCGACCTATAAAGCCACGGGAAATTCTAAGACCTCTGACGATCTTGCGAAACGTGGGAAGCTTTAATATCAGAGGCAGCATTAAATGAATCTCTTCAGAAGCGGTTCAACTATAGTACCAGCGACTCATCAGAAGTTTCTCAACGTAAATCGAATATGCCAAAACCAAGAATGTACAAGAAGTTAAAGCATTTGGTGGAAGGCAATAGACCAGTCGAGCGGTAAGTTATGATAATCGAAAAGTGATATCAAGGCAAAAATGGCTAACGCATATAGATTATCTGAAATGCACAGCCGCCTGGTCAGGTTTACACGATCCTTCGAGAACTTTGCTCCATGGAAGCTAGAGATGGCCGCTGATGCAGAAGAGGTAGATCCATCTCTCAGCAATCCGCGCCACTTTAACCACTGGCCTTCTCCTTACACTGGAGTGACTCATACAAGCTTTCTTGAGAAAACTTTAAGAGAAGCATACACTGCCTCGCAGTATTTTGACAGTGCGAAGTTCAAGTCACTTAGAGCCGGCATCGTACATCACCTCCATCCTCAATACGATCGTATCCTCAATGCTTCTCGACTCTTGGTAGAGGCCATCAAGGAAAGGAAGATCAAATTCGAGGCTCTAGATCCGGTTTCCGCAAACATACGAGTCACGAGACGCCATGACTGGGAAGAGATTGCTGAACTGGCAGTTCTAGTTGAGGAGTATGCTGCTGCCTTTGAACGTGACAAGGACCTCATCACCAAAGGGAGATTTCGACTCATGAAAAGAAAGCTAGAAAATTGCAGGTGGATTACCCTAGAGCAATGATGCTTCAAAGACTTGGAAGAATTCTCGAGGACAAAAGATCCGATCTATTCTTTGCTGCTTTTCAAGACTTGCTTCATGATCTGGAGGGTCAATTTCTAGAAATTCGACAGGCTTGGGAAGACCTATTCAAGGGTGACACGCATCAGAAGACTATGTGCGACATACTGTATGATAGCAGGTGCTTAGAAGGTGTGATCGACTTAACGGTTCGGGAGCCGGACATGCGGGTGCCAAGGAAAGAGTATGCAGAATGGGGTGCTGGCTCGTCTTGGGGGTGAATACTAGCTTTAATGCTGATCAAGCTGGCACAATGTAAAGATCCCCATCATCGTTTCTGTACGGGCTACCATTGCATACAAATAGTTTCCTTCTATAGCACAATCAAATAGAAGAATGTTCTTCCCTCCTAGAACGCTTATTTGTCTTTTCTCGTTCTTCATGATCTACCATTCATTGCAGAGGACCGAATAATTGTCACTCCTTCGTCAACTCGGTCAGGTATCATCGTCACGGTAGGCTTCTTATGAGACTGAACAACCGAAATGACTCAAATTGACAAATTCACATTCTATCTTTCCGTGAGTTCACCAATATAACCTCCATTAATATCAATGATAGATGCGTCGTCATTCTCGATTGAAATATTATCCGAATTCAAACAAACACCCCTCCCCCTGAGACCATTTCAGCTTTGTATCATGTGTCAAGATGCCCATGACTTAAGTCCACCCTCCCCTCCCCTCAAGACTATTCCAGCTTGATATAATGCGTCAAGGTTCCCGTGACTTGATCCACAACACGGAAAATGTTTTGTATATCAACACAATTGTATGTGTACGTTGCCATCAGATATTCCTCAACCTCAACCTCTTCTTTTCCGCTATTCTCTTGTGTCGTTCTTCTTCTTGTCTTCTCAGATCTTTATAAAAAGCCACTTCCGGATCCTCATCTTCTATATCTTCATGTTCAATGACCTTCTTAAAACTCCCACTCGAAATGGCCACCGGTTTTCTGACTATCTTTTTCTTTACTACCGGAGATTCAACCTCGACATCGCCACCAAAATCTAACTCCTCAGCATCCACATCCCCACCAAAATCGGATACCTCCGCTTCAACCTTCTCAACCTTCCTTTCTTCCCGTGAGCATGAAATTTGCCTCCCCTCCCTCCTCCTGCCCCCGCATAATAACTCCAAATTCTCAAACTCCATATCCACCCTCCCATCACCCTTCCCCTCTTCCTCTCTCCCGCTCCCCATCCCCCTCAGCCAACCCATCTCCGCCACCACCACCCCATGCACCTGTTGCAAATTGCCCCTCCTCCTCTCAAACGCCGCTCCATCACCCAACACCCAGCCAATCCTCTTCTTGACAGGAATACACTCCCCCTCATAGATCTCTTTCCTACACCCCTCCAACACTATAGATATATCCCGTATCGCTTCTCTCGCATCACTTATTATACCTTCCAATCTATTTGCTGCGAATGGGTTTCGGTCGAGATATTTAACATGTTGGGAGCGGAGTGATAGGAGATGCTCGAGATCTGTTGAGACTCGACGGGTGAGTGCGAAGCAAGTCTTTACGTCTGTGGGTGTGTTTTTGATGGCTTTGATGAAGGTGGCGATGGCGATGCTGTTGGAGAGGGTCTAGGGGAGGTTAATATTTTGGTATTTGATGGTTCCGGTTCCGGTTTGTGATGATATAAGTATGAAGATCGGCAGGAAGAGAGGGGTAAGTTCCCTCATGGGAATCTAAAGAAAGTCATGTTTACCCCAGCTACACTAGCGATTGCGCTAACAGTAATAGGATCCGGCATTATGATTTAGATAGAGGGAGATTGTGAGTGACAAAAAGGTGGATAATTGTTCTCGACAGTTCCTTGAGTTTGGAAAAGCCTGAATTAATTCTATATGGGACCATAGTAAAGAAAGTGAGAAGGGGAAAGAGGGATGATAAGACACAAGCTCTACATGGATATAATTAGTCCTTATCACATTGCAAGTACTCAGCCTCAAAAGTTGTCCGCAGGCTGCAGCTCGGCGGCTAATCCAGCCAATATTGAAATATGACTGTAATACTCCTGGCTTTTGTGGGTTGTAAATGTATGCCAGGTTAAGCCACACTCCTGAATGATTATCACGCGAAGATTTGCTTTCTATTAAATTAGGTACTATATTATACGCATTTCTTCAACCAATTTTACATCTACTCAAATACCTTATCCAAATCTCAAGCCTTACTTTTCATCCCACCCAAAGTAAACCTGATTCCAGCACGACCGTTCAGCAGAAGCAATCTAAATTTTATTCTAGTCCCATCTTCTACACCACCCCCTCCCTATCCTGCTCGCAAACCACCCTCCTGCGTTCCTTTCCACTCCTTTGTATAACCTCTTCCAGACTAGGAAACACCACGATCTGATTCTCAGCCCTTGATCCCATTTTTGAAGTTGTCTCCCATCCGAACATCCAGGCCCCCGGTTGTTCCAACAATAGCATTCCGAATTCCTTTCCTTCACAAATGATTGAGGCGAGATTATCGGATTGTGATTGCGAGTTATTACTATCGGGTTTGATGAATGGCTGTAAGATGGAATTCAAGAGGTTGACAACCTTCGTTATCGAGGAATCCTTGGGGGGACCCTGTTTGGAATGCGTAGAAGAGAGGAGGTGTGCGGATAATTGTCGCCATTGAGATAATGATTTGCTGAGTGCTATTTGCGCAGAATTAGGAATTATTCACAGACAAGACAGTATCAGACGAAAATGGATGCTAGGAAAGGGGAGAATCTGTACCATCTTGCTCATGCAATCGCTTATCGCCCTTGAACACTGCACGGTAGAAGCCAGTGATCTCATCGGGCAACAACGAATATTCAGAACTACTTTTGAGATCTACCCCCCTCAGGATAACCCATGCTATCAGACTTTTTATCCCCGTTCGTCGTTCCTTCGAATTTGCAAGTAAAGATCCAAGGGTAGACGCAGTAGGCTCGGTCCGTTCCGAATATCCACACTTCGTTAATCCCGCCGTGAAATCATGAGATGTTCCAGTGTATGGGCCTATGGCAGTGTGATTCTCGACATGTTGATATATCAGTTCTCCAAGATTTTGCATTTGGTTTCGTAATTGACTATCGTCCGCTCGTTCGACAATTGGATAGTCTTGCATTGGTGTGTCGATTTCTTTAGAGGCTGCAATGCCATTACCTGCAGAAAAGGTTCTTTTGCTATAGTCATTGCTAGAAGTGGTTTCCCTGGGTCTTCTCGATCGCTTTCTTTGCCTTGAAAAAAACCAAAAGCCACCGAGGGCAAGAAGTGCACCAATAATGAAAGTACCTATTGCGATACCGGCAGCAACCCCCCCAGATACTGTAGAACCATGATGAGTAGATGGTATTGCAGTCGGGGTAGAGTTCCCCAAGGTTGGATAGATACTGGAGCTAGTGGTCTTGGATTCCGTCGAGGTTGGCGATGAGGAAGTTGCCGACGTAGAAGTTGTTAGTGTGGAACTCGAACCTGAAGAACTGGAAGTAACTAGAGTGGATGTAGAAGAAGTCGATCCTGGAGAAGTAGGTTCAGAAGAAGTAAATCCAAAAGAAGTAGATCCAGAAGAAGACATAGGTCCAGAAGCAACAGATTTAGAAGAACTGGACATAGAGTTCGTAATATCCTGAATCATCAATTGCACATATAAGAATATTAAAAAAGTTCAATCGCCAATCTCCAGCTCAGAGATAAAGAATTTAGGTTTAAAATCCTAGGGGAATGACACTGCCTGAGATTATTGAGGCTCTGGAGGCGGCGCCTCGCCATTGATTGGTTATGTCAGGATGGACAAGACTTCGGTGAGCCCCCCTCATCTAGGCTTTAGGGTCCATTAAACTCATGTGATTGATCCTTTAGGCGTTGCACGATGTTACCTTTAATCAAACTGTGCCGCATTATACTTAAATGGGAATTCTGTCATGGGTAGTTTTCAACAGGCATTGGCTTACCCATCTCCGGGGCCAGAACTACTGTACAATCCTTACCACTCTTCAAATTCCCCTTCATTCTGCCGTAGTGGACTGATCTCAGTATCCTTATCACAGGATGCTAATTGGTACTCTTACCGCCAGAAGTATGCAAATGTGGACATATTAGCACGTGCCCTATAGTGGTAAAGTTCATCCTGGTCCTTGAGCCTCACATCTGCATAGTTTCCAGCTGCACGAGGATGAATGGGGATGGAACGAGTGTAGTCTAGCAGGGGTTTTAAATCGTAGAAACGGGCGAAGATCGCCATGAAAGATCAGGAAGCGGCCAATCCTCACAAATGAGATTATGAACTGATTACCATTATCAGAAACTGGTAAGGAGAAACTTGGTGGTGATTATCCTCCAGATTTCGAAACTCAACGTACTCGGAGCGTCTTTTATCGACATTAGCCTGGGCATTAAAAAGCTCTGTGGGGGACCTTGAGACGTCTTTTTAATTGTCCATATTTGGACATTGAGAAGCTCTGTGCAGGTGTATACTGTTCAATAACAACCACTTCTCATCCTTGAGTTTTCCAAATCCATCTAGAAGGGCATCGCACAATTGAAGTATCCCATTACTCACAATGGCTTCACCGAACGATAACACTCCCGACCTCATTGTAGGAATTGACTTTGGCCAAACATACACCGGTACGTCTTCCGCATATCGAGCTAACTCACGTTATTAAACATCTTTCCCAGGAGTCGTATGGTCCAACCTGAGCAACACGAACCCCACCAGAAGCATCCAAGAATGGCCCGGACTACCCCCTGATTCCGTGGAAACCAAAGTCCCTACTAGAATCGCATATTCACGCAATCCAAACGATAGGAATGAACCCATATGGGGTTTTTCCTGTGATCCCGATGATGAGTATCATGAAGTCACCGAAGTTCGAGAGAATTTCAAGATCTTCTTGGACCAGCATAGTCTGGACCTCGCTCGCAAAGAAGGGATGAGAGATATGCCCGAAACCGTTGATAAAGCAAAAGATCTCGTGACCGACTATCTGCGCCAGATTTATAACCACGTCAAGTTATGTATTGAAGCTATTACTGGGGATTGGAAGGAGAAGAAGATTGAGTTCGTGTTCAGTCTTCCTACTACTTGGGATGCTTTAGATACGGTGAAGAGGTTCGACGCTGCGATAAATGCCGCAGGATTCACATCTCAAAATCCCGAAAAACATTCGGCAAAATTGGAGTTGACAGAGGCTGAGGCTGCAGCTGTTTATTTTGCGACAAATTCTGAAATCGAGCTTGAAAAGGGAGATATTATTCTCATATGTGATGCGGGTGGGGGAACGACTGAGTAAGTGCAAGCTTGGGTTGAAATAATGATGATGTACCTCAAGCGTGGGCCATAAGTGTTAATAGCCAGTCTTAGCCTTGGCCTTGTCGAAGTGGCAGATCCAAATCCCGAAAGACCAGCTTTGAAACAGGTGGCAGAAGTCAAAGGAGTTGGTATCGGGTCAACTATGATTGATCGAGCATTCGAGTGTCTCGTACAAAAACGACTGGATACACATCCCGATATAGAGCTTCCAGAGAATCTAGCACACAAACTAGCTAGAGGTTCATCCTTCCAGTCGATCAAACATAACTTCGGATCGACTTCCGGTAACCACGCTGTGTATATACTACGACTGGATAAACTGGGACTCGGAATTGACAAGGACTTAACGCATGCAGGACTTCGAATTGAGAGAGGAAGAATGCATTTTTCAAGGTATGCAAAATGAGAGATACGATTATTGATATTAACAGAATCTAGGTCAGAGATGCAAGCTCTGTTTGATGTGCAAATTGCTGGCATAACACGTAGGATAGACAAACAACTAGATTGGATGCAGACACACAGAAGCCAAGATGATGTGGTAAGTAATTTGGAAAATCCCCAAAAGAATAGAATATCAAGAGATTTAAGCGCTAAACAATATATAGAGATTTCTAGTCTTGAGTGGTGGTCTTGGAGGATCACAATATGTAAAGACCAAGATCGAGGAACACTTTCAACGAAATCCTCGCCAAATAGCACATCGTATAAGGATTCTAAAATCTCAAGAGCCACGACTTTCAGTAGTGAAGGGTTTGGTGATAGACAGAAGACAGAGGATAAAATTTGGAGCGGCGACTCTAAAAATGAGAGTGTTTGTATCCCGAAGACTTTTCAGAGGATAATACCCACACTGACTTTGACGAAATAGAGCGAGAGCTAGCTACGGTGTGTTGTGTCGCCAAGAATACAACCCGGAGATCCATTTAGGAGAACCCGTCGTGATTGACCCTCTCAATAAGAAACAGAAATGGGCCACGATGCAGATTGACTGGATAATCCAAAAGGTATAGCAAACTGACCCTCAAGCCCAATAATCTCCTAGTGTTAACCTCCTTTCCCTAACAATATAAAGAATGACACTATCGAGACCGGTTCCGCAAGAGACCGACTATTTACAAGGAAAGTCGTTCCCGGAGACGGTAATCGAACGTGGGACACAACAATTGTGATATCCTACGAGGATAGACACAATCTCCCCACAAGTTTCCGACAACGTAAGATTTTTAATCCGCAACCCCAAGTATATGATAGTAACAAGCAACTGCAGCCGGTGTATCAAAACTATGCACAGTGCACTCCGATTTGAAAGAAGTCGCCGACGAAGAATTCGAGCCGAAGAATCGAAAGCTCTGGCAACGAAAGAAATACTATCTCGCCGCGTTTACAGTGCGCGTGATAATCGCACCAGCGGATCTGAGGTTCGAATTATGGTTTAAAGGTACTCGATATAATCGAAGTCATGAATCACTCTCGATTGATTGGGATCCTGCAGGAGCATCTTTGCGGCCACCGTCAGTTGATGATGCGATTGATGGATGGGAAAGTCAAGTACAATTATAGGAAAGATTATTATGTATTGGTTGTTACTCGACCACTGAATGGGAATATCTATCAGAGACATATACCCGGTTAAATAATTAGCTTCCAAAACTCCATTTCAATACTTATATACTTTTTATTCTAAAGAAACCTTGTATTTAAATGAACTATTCTTTGAAATAAACAAAAAGAATTATAAAGATATATATAATAAGGAATTAGTTAATACTAAAAAGATACTATTAAGATTCAAAATCTTTTATTATTATTCTAAGTAATAATTAAAAGCCTTTTATATAGTTAAGATCTTCAAAATAAACTAATATGAATTTCAGATCTAAATTGGAATATCTTCGTTCTAATAAATCCAATCGTTATATTATAGTCTTAGAAAGCTCGATCTTTCGAGTTTATTATTATATTATAACTAAAAGGGTATAAACAGGACTCCGATTGTGTACTTAGAATCTACAAGTGAAGAGCTATGTAGGGTACTAAAAGGAGGACTATATATACAGGTATTGGGAGCCATAAGGGCTAGGCCTAAAAGAGTGAGAGGGTCACGGGTTCAGCACCCTTGCCATCCTTACCATGCCTAGGTCTAGAGCTATAGAGCTAGGGCTCTAAGCTGTGAAAGGAAGGTCCAAGAGAGTCGTCGTATCATGCTACGTACGTAGTATGAGCCAGTGGACGGAAGAGAGCCGTCTGTTCCGTCACATATATCGAGATTTACTAATATTCTCTAATCTCTATATAATCGTAATATATACTAGTATACTCTAAATGATTCGTTTCTAGTTCAAAAAATATATAAAAATCTATAAATTGTAAAAAGTAGCTAGATTTTTATTATAGCAATATAAGCTATGTTATTAAGCTTTATTAAATACAAATGACTTGACTCTACTTTCAATACAAATATTATTTTCATCCCACTCAGCCCAAGAATCATTCAATATATATCCTCAGACCACCCTTTTCTCCATCAAAACAGGCCGGATGGTGTAGTTGGTTATCACGTGTCCTTAACAATTAATACCTGTTAATCAAACGGACAAGGTCCTGGGATCGTGCCCCAGTCTGGTCATTATCTTTTTGCAATTTTGTCACACCGACCATACCTGTGTGACAACACATTGTACACAACCTTTTGATATTCAAAGCGCGGTATCTCAACTTTTCTTTTTGGTGTTTTGGTATACACACACTGTGCAGAGTGGAACATGCGAAAGAAAGTCCAGAGTGGGGTTGAAATAACTGGGGTGCGCTGGCACGTGCCACACATTGGTGTAAACCACGAAAGGAATACCGGTAGCCTAGTTTTTAACTTCGAGTTGCGGACTTTGATGGCGGCATGAGTAAGTAGCCACCAGCCCAACAAGATCTCTCTACTGGAATACGCTTCATAAGATATCTAAAGTGCTCCTTAAATTTATGAAAATGGCTGTTGTTCGAGGATAAGTTCTTTAAAGCATAGGCATCGGTCACTCTATCAAATTACGCATAGCCAAATGGTCAGCAATCAATGCAGTATTGGTAGTGGACAAATGCAATTGTATCCGATATTAGCTACTTTACGGTTTTCAACGAGTGATTGCAACCCTAGAAAATGCCAATCGAACATCAAAGGCTCAATCTGATTCAGCAGTAACCATTGGTTTGCAACCATTCGAGGATGACACCCCTATCTCTCGCCTTGAGGGCTGCTCTTCCTCTGATAGTATCACCAATAATCGCCAAAGAACGATCATATCCTCTGTTGTCTTTGTTCTTAAAGAAATTTTCAATCTGCTTGTTGATATCATCATCGCTAAAGGAGGCCAGAGAGAGCTTAATAAATCGATCGAAGACGACCATGTTCGCAGCCCTGCGAAGAAAATTAGTGGTGCTGTTAGGTAAAGGGGTTATTTGGCTGGTGCTATTGATTACTCACAATCTTTCCTTAACGGGATCAAAGTTATCTTGAATATATTGCCAAAGCTGGTGACGTGTTTTTGTATTGGCCGCAAGAGCGGCTGCACCTGTATGGACGTCTTGTGTTGCCACCTCCTTGAAGAGGAATTCAAAGTAATCGGAGATGAGTTCTGGAATTTGAACACGTCCCATTGCACGGAGTGTAATCTCTTTGCCGTCAATGGAAGTTGTCTCGCGATACTCTTTCTTCAGAGCATCATATTCGGGTTTCCCACCGTATCGAACGGAAAGACCAAAAGTGGCAGTTCTAAGACTTGGATGTATGACCGATTTGTCTTTGCCACTCATGTATAGATCGAAGCGACGTTTGGCTTCGGCGATGATTCTACAATTTGTCAACCACTAAACACCCATTGACTACGCTCTTCAAAACTTACTCTTTATGGCCATTGATACCAGCAGATAGTATCAAGAGAGGTCGAAGTTGTGACTTAAGGAAATTTTCATCCGCAGGCTGTTCCCAGCCAATCTTTTCCACTGCAGGAGTGACCAATTTCAGCAAGAATGCTTTCATACCATTGGAGATTGCGTCGTCGTCAGAAAACACCGATTTGATTGTTCCACTTGGTCCTAGGATCTTTGTCCAAACCAAGTGGTTAGACTCATCGGATAAACCTTGCACCAAAGTCAAGAATGCTGGAGTTCCTGCTTGTCCTGATATTGCGAGAGCACCCGCATCGGCGATCAGACCTAGGTCAAAGTTAGTTACCAGATTGAGAGAGGAGAGCTTGATCTGAATGTCAAAAGTCCAGGCTGCTGTCCAACTGCCAAAGCTTCCAATGTTTGAATATAGCTTGATCATCCAAATAAAATCAACTTTTCAAGTGGATTCCATATACCAACAGATTTAACGAACACATCGAATGGATTTAGTAGATCAAGAAGACAAAACCCCCCTCACTATTGTACAACATTCTGGACTATAGGAAACGCCAAGCTTGATATAGACTCACCGATTTTATCAGTTAAGTTGAGACGATCTAATTGAGTTCCAAGTTTGGCCAGTCTTCCTGGCGGATAATTGACTCGGTAAAAACCTGCAGTATCGGTGTTGATCTTGTAGAAAGAGTCGTCGACGTCGCTGACTTCGTCTTCTTTTTGTTCAAAAGCAATTTGCTGTGCTCCCTCGGCCCCAATTTTACCTTGGAAATCCAAAGGAACCCACCAAGTCGTCTCATCATCTTCAGATTTTACATCTCCTGTTGAGAGGTAACGACTTTGTTTAATGCTGATTTGTCCAGGTTCTTCTGCAACAGTGATAACAGGATACCCCATCTTGGTAATCCATGGATCGATGATGGCTTTCACATCTAGACCCGAAGCTTCGCTCAGAGCTGACCACAAATCTTGTGTTGTAGCATTGCCATAAGCATGAGCTTTCAGGTAGTTCGAAACGCCTTTCAGGAAGGTCTTTTGTCCTATGTGCGTGGCTAACATTCTAAGTACCGAGCTACCTTTGAGGTAGCTGATGGAATCAAATATTTGATCAACATCCAGAGCATCTTTGACGGGAACTTCGATGGGGTGGGAGCTACGTAAGGAGTCCAACTGAAATGCAGTCTGCATACCCTCTGCCACGAACTGGGGCCAAACACACCAATCAGGGTGGAAGTGATCTGTTGCCAGCCATCCCACCCATGTAGCGAAACCTTCATTAAGCCAAAGCTCACTCCACCAGTCCATAGTGACTAGATTGCCGAACCATTGATGGGCAAGCTCGTGCGCAACGACATAAGCAATTCTGTTTTTGAATTTTGTGTCGGAAGTCTTCTCGTCAAACAATACAGCCGTTGTGCGATAGGTAACCTGTATCAATGAGTAAGAATTTCAATCACATACAAGATTAAGGACAACCAACAAGACCCCAATTCTCCATTCTATCAGGTAGATTATAAGGTTAGTTAGCGTACTCATAAATTGATAAGGTTTAAGGAGACTAGGGGCACCATACGCTCCGTGGGACTAAAGAAAACGATTAGCAAAAGGTTCAACTGCAAGCATGCGGCGAGCATTCGAGATTGGTTGGTTTTATTGGTGATATTTCAGTAATCCAACATACAGCTCATGCAGGTAGGAAATGTGTAATTATGAGACTTACAAATTCATGTACAGCAAGTAAATCGGCCTTAGGGAGTGGATAATCGATATCAAAGAGTTCCGAAAACAAGTCGATGACTTTTGGTGCATGATCTAGTGCATATTGTGCTTGACCCTTCAATCCTCTAGTGGTGTAGACACGGACGGGGATTGGTTTTCCGTTATACTTGCGTTTTGTGAAGTCTTCAATATACTCGAAATCTCCCATTGCCCATGCCAGAAGATAGGTACTCATGATTGGGGTTCTTTCAAATTCGACGTAGTGAAACCCATCCTTAGAGTTTCTTGAGCCCTTCTCAGGCATATTACTCAAGACGATTTGATCCTTAGGAATCTCGATCTCGAAGTCAAAAGTAGCCTTCAAATTAGGCTCATCAAAACAAGGGAAAGCTCTACGAGCGTCAGATGACTCGAATTGAGTGCTATACATGCAGTGAAATTCATCAACCTTAGGAACAGACGCCGCTGGGGTGACTTGAGGTTTGTATTTTGAATAATAGAAGCCAGCCATATCATTGTTGACAGTTCCTTGGTATTTGATCGCTAGGTTGACATGCTCGGAGGTAGAAAGCTCTTTGGGGAAGCTTAAAGTTACACGCTGTTTCTTGGTATCATAAGATATGTCACTGGATTTGATTGACTGCGAGGTCTTTCCAGAAGTCAAAACCACCTTGGCTTCATGTATCTTGAGTTGATGAGAATTCAAAGTGATTTCCTTAGTTGCATTGACGATTTTGATATCGATTTTGACTGTTCCTTGATAGCTAAAAGCCCCCCCTAGCTCGATGTCGTAGACAGATAGCGCATAATGAGAAGGCTTAACAGAGTTTGGAAGAACATCTCGGTCAGATGTTGAGGAGGCCATGATACGAAAGGATCCAACGACAGTGGTGGAATCTGAACCTTGATGTAGAAAATGTCGTCAAGCCAGTTGGTGTAAATGGAATTTCGTACTTTGAAAGTGTTTGTGAATGAATTTTGAAGATTTCAAAAAGAGGGAGATAGAAAGAAAGCCGCAGCAAGCCGTGGATGATGAAGTAAATCAAGCAAATGGAGAGATACTATATAGCTAGCTGGTGAAGTGAAGTCTTGTTTGTCATAAGATTTGGCAGGTTGTGGGAAAGGGATGCTACCGCCCACTTGCCTAATCGGGTAGCTTATCCGATTAAGCTTGACGGAAGCTTGGAGCCTTAGCCAATAAGATAAGAAGCGGCTTAAGGGGACAAGGCTGTAGAACTCAAATATCATGGCATATGAGTAAACATACATCACATATCACATCACAACAGCACAACGGCATCGAACTGAGCAAAAAGTCGACATTTACAATTCATCTTGAACGAAAAATATCTACCTACTATCCCATCTTTCGAATCATGGCCACTGGTCAGAAACTTTATCCTCGAGCCAGTCTTAAAAAGATTGTTAAAGCTCATTCAAAGCGTAATCTCACCAAAAATGTTGATGTATTGGTACGTTTTACAACGCGTCCCTGGGTTGGTTAAAGGCCAAATTACTGATGTGCACGCACAACATAGATTTTTCTCGATTATATGCTATTTCTCGAAACGTATGTCGCAATTACCCCCGTGGTGCGAATTCAATCGTACAGGAACACTTTTCTAATATAATCAATGCATGATTCAGGTTGATGAATGAAGCCAGTATCAACGCGAAGCAAGCTGGAGAGCGTGGAATTAGCGCCAAGAGTATAAAGAAAGTTACTGAAGCATGTCCAACTTCTCTTGCTACCTTATATATCCATACTAACATTTTTGTACTAGTTATCGTTATCGAAATTCAAGGGATGAGGCTCGAGCTCTGGAAGAGTGGCTGTACGATGCTATACTGAGATCCGGCTTTCGAGAGAGAATTTGGAGACGAAGAGTGCGTCAAATCAGGGGAAATATGAGATATACCTACTTAAACGTAGTTGCCACGCAGAGCAAGTGAGATGGCGGATGGCAGATGGCAGATGGCGATACATAATATTTAGGTAGGGATGATTATCGATGAGGAAGAAGATTATACAGGACAAGGCTGCGGCTTTCAGGTACCAGACCGAACTGAGATTAGCTCGAGGGGTACAAGGCGAAGAGAATCAGAGATTCAGAATGTACTGGTATCAATTCTTTAAAGAATAGGTACATTAATCATTTGAGGTAGAATTGATAATGAAGTTGATGGTGAATGTATTTAAAAATAGAATCCATCCATCAATCGATAACAATAATTCATATGTATTGATTTAACTCTTCTGTTGGGAATCAAAAAGTTAATTCCACTTCCTTCTTCCACGTTTCGCTAAGGCCGACAAGGTTCCATCCAAACAACTCTCCCCATCCCCCATCTCATCTCATCTCATCTAGCAGCTCACTTTTGATAATTTAATACCATCAGCTCCTAAAAATTCCTACCTTACACGACATCGATCTTAATCCTGAAATTTCTCCCTTTCCATCATCACCTCGAATTAAAAACTTCGTTTCATCCATTCGCCCATAAGCAAACCCCCGTTCTCGATATTTCTGTATCACGAAATCAAGCTCAAGCTCACAGTCATAACAAAACAAACTTCACAATGGCTGCTACCGCAACTCAAAATCCAGTTCCTAAGCCAGAATCTAAGTCTGCCAAGAAGAAGAAGGCCAAGACCGAAGCTCTCGACGTTCAAAAACCCGCCGCACCACTAGCAGCTTCAGAGAAGGCATCATCCCACAGTACTGAAGAAAGCAGCAATAGTGATGGATCTTACGAAAGTCCATATATCAAGGAGCTCTACAAGTAAGAGGTCTTTTGTTCTCAATAACTTCATCAATTCATCGTTCTCATTCTTGTCAATGACTCTTGAGACCCAGGCATAGCTAATATTAGACTTTAGGAACATTCGTAATGTCAACAAGAAGATTGTAAGTCAAGATCATCTTTATATGACCGCCGTGAGACAAATTGCTGATTGTATACTGCACAGACCAATGCCTCCAAAGTTGATAATGTCCTCGCTGAGAACCCTGGCAAGAGCTTGGACGAGTTGGTAGCTACTCGCAAGATCAATGCTGATCAAAAGGCACAAATTTTAAAGAAGCCATCTCTCCAGGCATCTTTAACCCAGCTCGAGGAGCAAATCGCACAATACAAGAAGTTCGATCAAGAATACAAGACCAAAATTCAGGTTGAGAAGGCTGATTTTGAGAGGACGTTTAATGAGCGTGCCAGTGGAGAACTCAAGGAGAAGGTCAACGCTGCAAAATACTCGGTCACCAAGGAGAAGGCTGAGGAGCAAGAGGGTAATTTGTTACTTATCACCAAGTTCCTCTGCCTCGCTGCCTTGCGCCGAAGCCCGGAAAATGATCCAGATCTTGATGAGAACAAGGGCATTGAGGGTCTTCTCACTCAAGTCTACAGTGGCGACGAGGCTGCTGTAGCTGCCATGACAAAGATTATCCAAGGCTCTGAGGAGGTCTGTTACTCCGTCAATGGCGAGGAACTCACCACAACTTGTAAGTGTGCCTCCTGTCAAAATCATTTTCACCTTGCTTACTAGTTATTAGTTGCCGACATCAAGGCCATTGCTCTTGCGTTACCAACCACATCTGTCGCCGCCGAATCTACCGAGCCCGCCGCTGAAGAGACAACCGAATCCGAAGTCGCTGAGTACCCCGTTCAAAGTGATCCAACTATCGCCAACGCCGGTTTGACCGAGATCGATGACCCTGTCACTAGTGCATTGACTAATGGTCAACAAGAGCCAAGTTTTGAGGAAGCTCAAGCCATCCCTCCAAATTCGGCCTTTGGCGAAGGAGGCAATGCTGCAGCAGAGGCAAATTGGGACAACAACAACAACGAGTTATCTACATCGCAAGAGTGGGTTGAGGTTCCTCGTGAAGCTGCTGAGACCGACACTGGTGTTACTGCTACTCCTGCTGCCGCTGTCAATACTCAAAGCTGGGCCGATGAACAACCTGACAGCCCTGAATCAGTAAGTCGACTCCAAGTATAACATAACTCATCATCGTTTTCTAATAAGCTTTGCTCCAGAAGAGTCCTACTCCAGCTAGCAACAATGATGGCTTCCATGAAGTCAGCCGCAACCGTGGTCGTGGAGATCATCGTGGTAGAGGTGGCGGTCGAGGTCGTGGTAATGGTGGCTTCAGAGGTGATGGATATCGAGGACGTGGTCGAGGTGGTCCACGTGGAGCTCCTCGTGCTCCAAGAGGCGACTTGTCCTAGATTCACCTCTCAAAAACAGTTCTAGGGTCTCACAATCTGTGACTCTCGTACTTCAGCTCACGCAGCTTGTAACAACCTCATCCTTTTCATTCAACTTGTTTCTTGCGGCATGGCATCACACCAAAGGCGAAATGGGTACGTTTTTTGCATTTAATATTTGCAATTGCGAAACAGCACAATTAAGCATTTGCATGGATCTGTCATGTTCTTGATATTGGCTGGATATTGCCTAGGGGTATACTACGATATGGGAGAGCGTTTACCTTTTATGGCATGCATACATACAACACACACATTTCTGTATTTTGGCCACTGAATTCCTTTTTGCGCGCTTTCATGCATTCATGCTAGCTTGTTCATACCCCCACACATTGAAAAAGTTCGGATGGTTTGGTCTTTTAGGACGGTTGGACTAGTTCGGACTGAGAGGATCGGATCAGATCGATTGAATCGAACAAGGGCTGCGGTCGAAATGATGCGATTGATATCTATGATTTGATGACGGTTGCATATGGGCATATGAATTAAGATTACGAATACAAAGTTTTATGTGCGTGTGTGGTGATGATGAATGACTATTTGATCGAAGTAGAATGTAGATGTGAAATATGAGATATGAGATATGTGGTCAATTATGCTTAAACTCCATATCAAGAACTATAGACAAGTGAAGACAGATGCACGGATGGATGTACGGGTCATTTGTATGGAGAGCGGAGGTTAGAAGGTAGAGGGTATCGATTGCTACATCATGTATCTCGACTACGAGTATGTAGTGCTTTTGGCACTATTTTCTTGCATAGAGTTTCTGATATTGATATTGCGATACTAGTATCATCCCAGAAAATATTCTTTCTGCCAATACTATACTATATACTACTCTTTCTCGTATATGTATATGTACATGTATTAACTTGGAATGGAATGGAATGGAAGGGGTTGGAAGGGGTTGAAATGTGATGTAAGTTTTCTGGTTGTTTTGTGCTGCGTGTGGATATGGATGTTGATGTGCATGTTGCTGCATGATATGCTGAAGATGAAGTGAAGTGAGGTGAGGTGAGGTGAAGATGTGTGTCTGTATATGTTTGTGTTGCGTGGTTATGGACATTGTGATGGTCTTTTGGGTGAATGAGGCGAATGGTGAATGAGAGGAGTGGGAGGATAGAAAAGAAGGGTGGGAGGGAGAAGAGAGAGGGGAGAGGGGAGAGGGAGATGGTGTGGGACCTAGAAATAGTGGGTTGATTTTGATAGAAGGAATATTGTGAGGATGTCCTTCTGATTTGAGAAGATAAGGGGAAGGTGGGGAACTTTTGGGATGGTATAAGATGATGGATACTTGTACGGAGGAAGGATGGTGGACCATGGTAATGTTGAGGTGTATAAATATGTCAACCGTGCCGTCTGGGTGCAAAGGGGAAATAGCCGGGGAAGGGGGTTGGTGTGAACTAGACTCGGGGAGGACGATATGGACATAGGAGGACACTGTGTCGATATACTGCGAGAGTGTTGTCTTTTTGAGCATGAGGATATATTTCAGCTTCATTTCATGGCGATACGTCAGAACTGGAAAACATATCGGGGGATAGGATGTGATGGTCAGGCTGAAGTATACTGTCGTTCATCGTTTTTGCTCAAGTGTCAAGTCAGTGAGTGATATTGGTGAAGATGCGAAGATTTCGTCCAAGGCTTCAACATCGAGTAATGAGAATACTTTACTTGGGAATTTGAATTAATTTGGAATCACTTAGATATCCAAGTCTGTTCGACCATCTAATTGCATCATCAACATCCTCTCGGAGTAACCAGAATAAATGCTTTAGGCACTACCTCCATCTGACTACCTAGCTACCACAATCAAACGGTGTCATATCATATCGTTTGATATCGCGGATATATCAAGCGGTTGACCCTAATTGTTCTAATGGTAGATATATGTGTTAGAACTTAGCAGAAGTGTGAGATGTGGGGCCGAGATAAGATTAGCCTAGCAGGATGTAAACACTTGAAAATTTCAACAAAATTGTCGTATTTTGCAACCATTGAATGGTACCCGCTTCATTTTGAAGTCGAAGTGTTTCTTCCGCCCAAGCCTTGTGAGAGTCAATTGTGATAGGCTGCGATATTAGTGTGAAGTCACCTGTGTGCTGCCGAGCACTTGGATTGTGAGCTTGTCAACCATTTTTCTGGAAATTCTCATATTTGTGAATTTTGATGCATTGTGATTACACGCCTCTAACAACAGCATTGATCATACGAAGGGAATTCTCGTCACCTCAATACAATTAGCACGATATCGATATCTCGGACAAATATATACAGGGCTACATGCCGGCAAATTGTTAACAGGTTTGGTGTCCATATTCTCCGGCTACATCTGCAAAAGATCTCCGGGCATCATGACTGGCTGTAGCGGTATGCTTCCAACCAGTGAGCAACTGTCTCCCCAGATCTGGAGGTTCAATTTCGTAAGATCTGTGCTAGGATGTCATGGGGAAAACGGGTAAGATTTGCCTAGGTTAGGTGGAGATGGAAAGGTGTCACCGCTTTTAGCCACTCGGCCCTACGCCCTGTCGAAGCTTAATTTGACGATGATGCTCTTTTGGTTTGATGCAAGTTCGATGACAGAGATTTCACTAGTACAGGGGTATTTTGCTATCGGGTTACTTATCGAAGATGTACGTATCTTGACCGTTTCACTTGAAAACCAGCGTCTTATCAACTTTTACGGATTGAAGATACAGTACCGGTACTGTAGTATGATCATCCACATGGATAAATCAATGGTGACTCTGTGTATGTCATATCTTTATCGCACTTGACTTGATTTGATATGGATTGTACACACTGCACAGGGACACAATCCGAACCATCGCCCGAAGCGGTACAGTACCAGTATCAAATGACAAGACCAAAGATAAACTTCTCAGCCCTATATGATAGTAAGTTGAGATGAAGCTCATCTTATATGGATGGTGAACTGTCAATAGAAACTCGAACAAGAAGAATTCACGAAGACCACAATGCAAAACGCCAAAAGAATAAAATCAATCGCAATAGAAAGCATTTCGTTCAACGATTGCAAATACCGATACATTCCCTCCCTACATCTCCTTATCTCATATGAGTTGTAAGAGAGGAAGAACATCAACACCATGTACTGACTTGGAACGATAGTTTTCCGATTTACTCGAGCATTTTGTTCTGTTTGATTTGTCTCCTTGATGGACACACGAATGGTACAGTATCATGAAATTCGATGTCGTCGATTATAAAATATAATAATAACATAATTTAGAATTATTACGAATAGGTGAGGCTGAAGATTGAAGTAGAAATTAAAGCAAAGCAATGTTCAACTTCATCAATGTTCTTCTCTTCTACTTCTGTATCAAAATTTTAGATCCACAATTGGGAACCGAGAGATACGCTAAAGTGGATATAGGCTAGTGTTAAATCGGCAAGTATCGTTCGAGGGAAATCGCACCTTTCAATAAACTATCTTTCTTGTCCAACCCAGTTTATCAAATATGACCTCCCGATAATTCCTTCAACCTTCAATAATCTATCTCAAATATATCAGAAAAGAAATCTCACGTTGACTTCAATTTTGTAAGGTTGACAGAATCAAATTACCAATTGTTTCTTTCGATATCTACCTAGGTTCGATCCATTCATTCTCAAAACGCGCATCATTCTTTGAACCCCCCTCCACAATTTCGACGACAACCTTCACTTCCTTCAACAACCTCAACGAATTAATTACCCAGCCACATCACGCAAAATAAAGTCGCATGGTCGATCGCATGTGAACCTACACAATGTCGACCGCTACCGCTCAGGTAGTTGTGCCCAGCGAGGGCGAGCAGTCTGCCATTTCGCAGGGTCTTGCTTCGCCACCAGAAAGCAATAACACAATCAGAACAGATCAATCAAGCGACTCAGAACTATCGGATCTCGAGTTTACGGCAGACGATATAATTGAACCAGAGCATTGGGAAGATGATGGCAGAGTCCCTGTATTTATGCCGACCATGGCTCAATTCAAGGACTTTAATCTCTTCGTGAGTCAAAAGTATACCCGAAGTGACTTGACGACCGTATACTAATGCGATAATGTTTAGATGGATAAGGTCAACAAATACGGTATGAAATCTGGCATTGTTAAGGTCATACCTCCACCCGAATGGAAAGCTGGTCTTCCACCACTCGACGACGCTATTAAGACGATTAGAGTGAAGGATCCGATTAAGCAAGATATAATGGGTCAGAGCGGAACATATCGACAAGCTAATATCCTCCATCAACGTTCTTATAATCTTCCACAGTGGCGCCAGCTGTGCGATCAAAGCGAACATCAACCTCCTGCTAAGAGAGGTGAGAGGAGGGCGAATGTCGAGAAAGTTAAAGCTGTGACGAAAGCAAAAGCTACTTCAACACCAGGAGTTGCAGGAAAGCGAAAGCCAGGCCGACCATCCAAACTTAAAACAAATGTTACAACTGCCGATTCAGAAAATGGAACTCCGGATCGATTACTAACTCCCATATCCCCGAGAACAGAAGGCGGTTCGTCCGTCAAACAAGAAGGAAATGATTATGATACACCCGCGAAACCGAGGGGAGGGAGGCAACCTAAAGCTATATCTGTTTCTTCTCGTCGTAAAAACAATCGTCGTGAAACAGGAGCGGTAGATGAAGCTGCGTTCGAGAACTTCAAGTACGAGTTAGAGGGCGAAGATTACTCGGCAGAGAGATGTGAAGAACTGGAACGGCATTATTGGCGAACCCTCACATATGCTCCACCTCTTTACGGAGCAGATATGATGGGTTCACTCTTTGATGATAAAACGACCGAATGGAATCTTGGAAAGCTACCCAATATCCTTGATCATCTCGGTGGGCAGATCCCTGGTGTCAACACTGCATATCTTTATTTGGGTATGTGGAAAGCTACATTTGCTTGGCATCTGGAGGACGTCGACCTTTACAGCATTAATTATCTTCATTTTGGTGCACCAAAGCAATGGTACAGTATCTCTCAAGGGGATGCACGACGATTTGAAGCTGCAATGAAAAATATCTGGCCAGCTGATGCAAAGGCCTGCGGCGAATTTCTTCGTCACAAAACATTTTTGATATCACCTCAGCACCTATTGTCGAACTATAACATCAAGGTCAACAAAATTGTTCACCGACCGGGTGAATTCGTGATTACTTTCCCATACGGATATCATTCTGGTTATAATCTTGGTTACAATTGCGCTGAGGCTGTTAACTTTGGTTTGCCATCATGGATTGATTATGGAAAGGTGGCCAAGAAATGCGACTGTGATCAAGCTCAGGACAGCGTCTGGATTAATGTGCGAGATCTAGAACGCAAGATCAATGGCGAAGAGACTGAATATGAAACCGACTTTGATGAGGAGGACGAGGAGGAAGAAGATGACGAAAATGAACCAACAGATCTCCCTACTCCCCCTGACAGTAGTGGTGATGCAAAGGTTAAGACTAAGACCCAACGGAAGCGGAAGCGCGTCAAGAGTGAGCAGGACGACCAGCAAAATGTGAAGAGAATTCGTATGCGTATCAAAGCACCGATGAACGAACCTTGTATCCTCTGTCCCAACGACATCCTATCCGAACCTCTACTTCCCACCGAGGATGGCAAACAGGCACATCGTATGTGTGCTCAATACATTCCGGAAACGATCATTGAAGAATCAGAGAAAAAGAAGGAAGTTATTACGGGTATCAAGGAGATTTCCAAGGCTCGATTTGACCTCAAGTGCAACTATTGCCGCTCAAAGAAAGGTGCATGCTTTCAATGCTCGAAGAAGAAGTGTACAAGAGCATACCATGCGACATGTGCAGCAGCAGCTGGTGTTTTTGTTGAGCAGGGCGAAATTCCAGTATTTGGTGAGGATGGCACAGAGTACAAAGAGTGGGGCATTGAATTCAGTTGTCGCTTCCATCGCGTTAAACGGGATAAGAAGCTCGACAGCGAGGCTCTCGAGGAAGATGTTCGTATTAGCAATGGTGCCAAGGAGCTGAAAGCCAACGAAGTCTGCCAAATGCAGTTCTACAAAGGCGACATCTTTGCAGGTACTGTCATTGAGAATCGGAAAGATGAGGAGACAGTGCTTGTCGATATCCTACCACGCGGGTTCGTAAAATATCGTTACTCTTGTTATGATGATTCTGCTAACTCTTTTACCAGTGATCGTGTTGAAGTCGAATACAAATGGATTCTCATTCCCGACCCATCATTCTTCACGCTTGCTAAGCCATCCGAGAAGGCGATCCCCATGCCAAAGTCTCGTATCGAAGCAGCTTCACTCAATACATCAAAGCGTCAAGTCGATGACATTCCAAGAGCTGAGGATATGTTTGTCAAAGGTTTCACATGGGCAGAATTCAATAAAGAGGCTATCGCGCGCAATACAGCACAAGTAAAAGTGGATTTGAGCAAAGAGAACCAAGTCTGGTATTATCTTGGAAGGAATTCTACCGAGGCTAGGGCACAGTTTACGGAGGATTTGAGGAACAAGAGACACAATCCTAAGGGACATTTCCTTGATACAATTTCTAAAGCAGTTGCACCTGCGCCGCGCCTATCGTACGCAGCTTCGTATCCTACGCCTTCGAACAAAAGTTCTGCAAGCTCCACAAAGATGCCGACCAACAATGCTTCAAGCCTTGGATCCGATGTGCAGGCCGTCAATCAGCCAGCATCATCCACTGCAACTCCCACGCCCTCTGTTGCGAGGTCAGGTAAGCCATATGTGTATAAGCCTCGTAAATCTGGAGATGAATATCATAGTGGTATGATTGACGCACAATCATATCAATCTCAACAAGCTTTCTTGCGACAATCGGCGACCCCCAGGCCTGCTCAAGTACCTGCAGTCGGTCTCAATTTTGGTACTGACCCCAGATTCCAGAATACCGCGACTCCTTCTGCGACTCCTTCTGGCGCTGTGGCTCCGCAAGCCAGCTATGCGCCCCAAGCTAGTTATGCGCCCCAAATTAGTTATGCTCCGCAAGTTAAATATGCTCCACCACGCCAGTCCTACCAAGCAACTACACCACGCCAATCACAGGTAACCGCTAGTCCCTTGGCCCCACCTAATACAAATTACCGACCACAACAAACTCCACCAGTATCAAAAGGAAATAATCCTTTTAGCAGCAGGACATCTGGATCCAAGGTAGGAAACGTTTTTGCAAAGTATCTCTACTTGCAAATTGAACACAACCGCTCACCCCTGGAATATAAAAGTCCATACAGGACTGGCGGAGGATTCATGAACGGTTACCAAGGCAACCTGCAAGAGCATCTCAAGAAGACGCTATTTTCAAAATCAGGTTCAATCACAGGATCACTCCCACCTTCAATTTCTTCCTACACCGGTGGTATGAGCAACAAAACGGCCTATCCTAGTACAGCCTACAGTAATAGCACTTCTTACAGTCCTCAATCTGCTCGTGGTTCCTATTCCTCTAAAGGGTCGCAATCTCGTTCCCCGGCAACCTCATATGCAAGACCTAACCATGCTTCGCCTTCCGTCCCCAGACAACAGCAAACGCCAACCCAGCAGGTTCCGCCGAAGCCGTACGATGGTAATCAATGGGAAAAGAAAGACCATTCACCCTTGCATCCAGCCATTCGAAAAGAGTACAGTTCGATGTTTCACAAGCATCACGTACCGCAGCCACGAAACCATCAACAACAAAATCAACAGCAGCAGAGCCACCAACAGAGCCACCAGCAGCAAAATCACAAAAGTTATTATTCCACCCAATATCAAAGCTCCTCCTATCCTCCATATGGTGCCCAATCTCCTACACAACATGGATATACCTCTCAAACCTCACAAACTACTGAGTCAAAGCAAACTCGGCAGTCCCCACAATCGCAGCAACCTCAGAAACCCCAGCAAGCTCAGAATATCCAGCAATCCCAGCAGCCTCAGCCGGGAATGTCACAGCAGACTAGTCATAATCTACCATCACAGCCTCAACCAGTCGTAAATGCTACTCGAACGACTCCTCCATATTCTCCGCTCACCCAGCGAGACCTCGGTCAGCAATCAATGAATTCTTCGCATCAGTCTCAGCCCTCACCTCAACCTTTGCAGCAGGATGCAAAACCTCTCTATCCCCATCAACAATATTTTCAAAACCTTTCGAGTCCGCAGGTACAACCATCAACTTTTGCTCCTCCTCCACAAACTCATGACTTGCCAGATGTGCCTATTGACTCGGAAACTTTAATCGAAAACATGCTGAAAAATTTAAGAAAAGTCACGACCAGCACAGCCAAGTAGGAGGGTTGCATTTGGGGGAGTCTCGACATTCAATTTGAATACATTCAAGGCAAAGACAATCTCATGGGAGCATAATGTTCAGGGAGGTTTGGCGTGAATTGATTTGTTTAATGATGATTCATGGGGTGTACATAATACCACTCATGAGATGAGAATGAGTTATTTGGCGTTTAAGGTTACTTAGGGTAGGATGGTTCGGTGTTAGGTTCTCGTCGGACTTTTTTCATGTTCTTTCAATTCTTTCTACCTAGTTCATGAATTTTATCAAGTTCTCGTCGAAAGCAGCATTTGTGCATGGTCAATTCTTTCCTCTATTGCTCTCTCCATTTGAATCAATTTTGATAGACTGACCATCACATTATTTGGTGAAGGATAGTGGATGGATAGTAAGCATTTTCATTTTCATTTTCATTTTCATTTTCATTTCGTTTGTGTTGTACAAAGAGAGGAAGGGGGGAAGGGTGGGTGAACAATCAAGCAAAGCAAATCAAAGCATAGGAGATTAAGCAACATTGGAATAATTTCCGAAGGGGGAATAAAGAGTGTGCGAATTTGAGAGAAATACAAGGCACCATTGTACAACTACCGGTAGTTTACTCGGGATTAAAAGAATGATATGATAAAACTCAAGGACTAGAAACTTTGATGATAGTAGTGCTTTGATTATATATCTGACTCGTGTGTATACTGTACTCGAGTATGATATGTAAAGTCAGGAATAACTTTGATCGTGAGACTACCTACTCGAGTAGAACTTACTGCATTTTGTAGCTCACTCTTGAGTAGCAAGAAGGATTCGCATTTCGAAACCGTGAAGCCAGCCGAGGAGATGATCAATTCACCTCTGTAGAATCTGTAGAATCTGGGGAGTCTAGGGAGTCTGGGGGCGGTATTAATTCCGTTTTGCTCGGGCTATTTACTGCATTGTATTGTTGTTGATTAATTTAATTGTACTTGTGCGGTATTTGAGTTTTCTGGGGAAATAATAACATCGGGGATATGTAGTTAGTGTGTGGTGTGGGTGAAGTGGTGGAAGTGGGTGGTGGAGTCTAGGCGTTGCACGCACAGGCTTGAACCCCCGCATCTTTAGACAGAGATAGAGATAGAGTCCGAGTCTCTGAGTTTGTCTTGTGATATTGTTATTGTCCTGAATGTATGAATGTATATTTCGGTGACTTGGTGTGTATTTGTTCATTTGTATATGTATATTTGTGTTGTGTGTAGGTATTGTAAGGTTACTCAGGTAATATGGTTTATGAGATGTGGGGGTGAAGTGGAAGCAATGCAATACTACAGTACCTACGTATACAGATACAGATACAAATACAGGGCCACCGATACCAATACACACAAATACAGGTACAAATACTAAAATTCACATCTATGAGAAACTTTAATGCCTATAGCTCGACTCGACTCGACTCTAATCTCTGCTGAGCACCTGTACATACCGGTATCTTATTCTCTAAAGAGTACGAGATATTACCAAAAGCGGAAGCGGAATTGGGAAAACTTGGCTTATCCATCCTTGATAGTTAAGCTAACATATGGGTATATCTCGTAGCAAAATAAATGAGGGGGAAATCTCCAATCTCACACGCTGCACACAAAGCAAGAAGCCAAGGACGCCACGAAGTGTGCAGTGTGCAGTATGCATGTACTTGGTGTAGTGCTAGTGTGGTGTATGACCGGTAAGTAGATACAATGGGGCAGAAGAATGGGGTAAGCACATATTCGCGTACCTGCCTATTTTGTTTGACCATCTAAATATCGTATCTGATTTGCATAATGGGTTTTTCATATAAATACCACTACGACATCAGCACGAAGTCAAGAAGCTTTCTCGTTTGTTTTCCTTTCCTTTTCTTTTCCTTCATTGCATCGTACATACCGACACAGTATTGTGGGACGAGACGAGAGAGATTTTGTATAGATACTCACTTACTCAATTACTCGAAGGTCGAGTTTATCTATTTCATTTATTACTGATTCGATTTGATTCAATTCGATTGAGTCTTGAGTCGATTATCTATCAATATATTCTATCCTACTCTTCACATACCATACACACCCATATATTTCCATTCCAACCCCTCTCCTCTCTTCTCCCCCCCTGCAAAAATGCCCCCTCTAGCCCCCCACACCGTAGATATAATCTTCGCTGGCGGTGGCACCGCCGCTTGCGTTGCAGCTGGACGTCTCGCCAAAGCCAACCCAGACCTGCGAATCCTGCTTATCGAAGGCGGAAAAAACAATTTTGAAGATCCCACTGTGGTTAACCCCGCCGTTTATCTGAGTCATTTGGCGCCGGATAGTAAGACTGCTTTGGTATGTTTTCCTTTTGGTTGGGTTTTGGCGATGAAGATGAGATGACGATGATGATGTTAATAATATGACGATTATAGTTTTACAAAAGCAAAGCATCACCACATCTCAATAATCGCAGCGCGATTGTTCCAGCGGGTGGTCTGCTGGGCGGCGGCTCCTCTATAAATTTCATGATGTACACGCGAGCTCAATCGATCGATTTTGATTCGTGGGATACGCCTGGATGGAGCGGGAAAGAAATGATGGAGATGTGTAGGAAACTCGAAACGTATCATCCGGTAGGAGAAGGAAGAGATGCGAATAAACATGGGTATGAGGGGCCGGTGCATGTGAGTGATGGGGGATATAGGGGGAAGAGTGAGGAGCTGTTTATGGAGACGGTGAGGGCAATGGGGTATAGAGATATTGTAGATTTGCAGGATGGGGAGGCGTGTGGGGGGTTTAGTGTAAGTTCTTATTGATTTTGTTATTCTTCTTACATTCTCTTGTAAAAGAACAGCAAAAGCAACCCCTCTCAAACCCCCACTAACCCTTTCCAACAGAAATGGCACCGCTACGTCTCACTCACCGGCCGCCGCCAAGACGCAGCCCACACCTACATCCACCCTCTGCTCCAATCCTCCACCCACCCCAATCTCCAAATCCTTCCGGAATCCAAAGTTGTACGCGTGCTCTTTGACTCTCCATCTGATTCCTCAACACCACCTCGAGCAACAGGTATAGAATACATACCCAACGCCGATCATCAACCCATGCTCGCACTGAGTAAAGCAGTTTCCCACACGGTGACGGCGGAAAAATTAGTGGTGGTGAGTGCAGGGGCCCTTGGGACGCCGCAGATTTTGGAGAGGAGTGGGGTGGGGAGGAAGGAGGTTTTGGAGAGGGTGGGAGTGCAGGTTGTTAGTGAGGTGGAGGGAGTGGGGGAGGCTTATCAAGGTTAGTGGAGATTTCTTTGCAGTATGAAAGAAATATATGATGACTGATAATATTTTCTGGTCAGATCATAACCTACTTTTGTATCCTTACAAAACATCACTCGATGAATCCGAAACCATCGATAACATCTTGAGCGGAAGAAAAGATTTCGTCCAAGCACTTGAAGCTAAGGATCCTCAGTTAGGCTGGAACGCCGTCGGTAAGTCTCACTCCCTCACTTCCCCCTTATTCCTCCCTCAAACTAACAACCCCCAGATATCTGCGCCAAACTCCGCCCCTCCCCTTCCGAAATCCAGGCCCTAGGTCCGGACTTCATCTCCGACTGGGAAAAGGATTTCGCCCCTCACCCAACCAAACCACTCATGCTCTGCGGCGTCGTCAACGCTTTTCTCGCCGACCCCTCTCTCGTCGACCCAGGCCAATACATGACCATGGGCGTCTACACGGCATACCCATATTCACGAGGATCCATCCACATCACCGACTCCAGCGATGTGCAAAACGGCTATGAATTTGACGCCGGATTCCTCTCGCACCCTAGCGATTTGAAAAAACAATTATGGGCCTATAAAATGCAACGGGAAATTTGTAGACGTTTGCCATATTTCAAAGGCGAGTTGGAGCTCGGGCACCCGAAGTTCGCAGAGGGGTCCAAGGCTACATTGTCTGCGGGGGGTATAGAGGGAAAGGTGGAGGATATAAATTATAGTGCTGAGGATGATGCGGTGATTGAGGATTGGATTAGGGAGAATCTCAATACGACGTGGCATTCGCTAGGAACGTGTGCGATGAGACCGAGGGAGAAGGGGGGTGTGGTTGATGGAGATTTAAACGTGTATGGGACGCGAGGATTGAAGATTTGTGATTTGAGTATGGTGCCAGAGAACGTGGGGGCGAATACTAATAATACGGCGTTGGCGATAGGAGAGAAAGCCGCGGTTATCATTGGAAGGGAATTGGGAATTGAGGTTTAGAGACGGGGAAATCCTGCGGGATAAAGGTATGAGCATTGGGACATGAGTAGCTGCTTGGGATTTGCAACAGAGGTTATTGGGACTTGCTTCATGACATTTATGATAATTGACAGACAATGAGATATCAAATCAACTTAATCATCCCCTCGTGATCCAAATATTCTCATTCCTAAAACTTCATTTCGCTAGAAATACCCAGTCCTGTTACCTGTAGATATACGAGTACCAAACCACCCAAAACAACCACCTCGAAGATGTATATACAGACAATGAAAGGATTGGGGTAACACGAGTCAGCCTTTCAAAAGAGACGGACACTTGTCCATCAGCCCATCAGCACACCAACTTGCTCTTCGGCTTGCAACGATATGCAAGCACCGTTAAGCTGATGCAAATCCATTTCCGTAATCCAACCCCCCCTTCCTTAAACTTGAAACATCACACATCTGGTTTCACGGTCACAATCAAAGGTAGCCCGAGCCATGGTCAAGATCATATCACATTTCATATACACCATTCAGTATATCAAAATAAACCCACGTGTCATGCAGTACAGTACAAAGTACATATCTCGCAGAAAAAGTCTCGAATGTTGCCTTGCCCGTCATCATAACAAGATCATGTAAAAACGTTCGATACCATCAATAAGTAGCATCGAAGAAAGATTCAGGCCCAAAAAAGAAAGGAAACCGTGCGTCATTAAAAGGAAAAAAAAACAATGACGAGATCCATCCCCCGAAATTCCTCCCATTGCACGCCAAATGTATCACACTGGAATTGTTTCCCTCCGTCCATCAGCCATTAAAGTTATCTATTTCCTGATTCTCCTCATCCTTCCTTAGCTTCGTGAGTGCAAGGATTTGCTATGTGATTTGCTGCGATGCTTTGCGAGCAAAGGCAGCGAAAGACAGACGAAATACAGAGGCCGATCCAAGGGACCATCAGTCTAATGCGTAGAAATGGGAAAAGGAAAGCAGGAGTTCGTGAGGTTCTAGGTTCATTAATAACCTAGATAAGAGGACCAACCGACCGACCGATCGACAACATCGTCTAACAACATCCACCTGCAGACCCTGACTGCACACCTTGCCCTTGTCCAACTTGTACCGCTGGCTTGTTGTTCGCTGTGGTTGTGCCAATGCGTTCTTTGATTTGACGGGCCATGGTCAAGAAAGCTTGCTCGACGTTGCTGGCATTCTTGGCAGAAGTCTCGAGGAACGGGATGCCGAGACTATCAGCAAATTCCTAATACGATGCATGTCAGTCGCAATTTTTCTCCTTTGAAGTGCAGGGGGGCCTGATTCAGAGTCTCAGGTGATTGTGCCCATGTGATTGATAATATGTACCTTTGCGACAGTGTAGTCCACAACCTTCTTGTCAGACATATCACTCTTGTTGCCTACAAGCAACTTGTTGACACCCTCTGTTGCGTATCGGTCAATTTCCTGTAACCATTGCTTGACGTTGTTGAACGAGTCCATATCGGTGACATCGTAAACAACGCAGATACCGTGAGCGCCTCGGTAATACGATGATGTGATGGTTCGGAAACGCTCTTGTCCAGCAGTATCCCACTATAAGATAGAATTATCAGCACCATACTTCCACATTTATTTATTTGGGTTCCTTACAATTTGTAGCTTGACGGTCTTGCCGTCCAACTCAATCGTGCGGATTTTCTACCTCGCCATCAGCAAACAATACTTTGTAATCCCAGAATGGCAACACCCACGAAATCGACACCGATAGTTGAGATGTAACTCTCAGTGTATGTATCGTCTGCGAATCGCAACAGTAAACAAGACTTTCCTACACCGGAATCACCGATAAGGAGGAGCTTGAAGAGGTAATCGTATCTATTGAGATCATCAGTCGGGGTCCGCTCAGGATATATATGTTGGCGTGGACCAGTCGAGTGTATACATTGCGATGGTAAAGACATCGTTGTGATGAGGGGTATTCATGAAGTACTCTGCAAATAGAATGATCAGTATTGCGTCTCTTAAGATATAATGTAGATGGCGGTTTCTTTGAAGTTGATGAAAGGATGTCATTGATTTGAGGGGTTTAAACTTACTACTCTGGATTCATCTTTGCGGTTGTTCAAAGGTATATTATTTTGTATGGGGTTTGTATAATAACTCTTGGTTATTCTTTTCGAAGTCGTTATGGTTGTAGTTGGAGAATAAGATACAGTGACTTCAGGAACGAACCTCAACTGTGTTTAAGGTGCAGAAGGCGGTCCACTTTAGACGAGTATCACGTGAATGAGATATTAGTTGCGATTACATATAAGTGAATATGAATATCCCTGAAATATATGGAATATATATGTACAAGAAGCAATTGAATAACCTTTGTTCTTTTTTTACTGTATTAATATAATATATAGGTGATTTCGAGGTATTTATTACTATTTTTAAACAGTTTGAATAATTCAAACTAACTTGTTTGATGAATACCTACCTATGATCAAACTCCTGATCAAATGACCCCTTGACCGCTTTGTACCTAATCGGCAATCAGCAGCAACTTGTAAGGCCGGACTGATAAAGCTTGGATATCAAAACAGTTCTAGAAACTTCAAAATTATAAAGACGATGAATACAACTGTTGTGTACTTTTTTTCTTAAATATGCTAAAGGATTGATATTTTTTCGTATGAATCCTATCCATCCAGGCTGATGTCGAGACCTCTCAGTCTCCTACGCCTTACTCAAAAGCGGCTCTCGAAGCTCTCCCCAACTTCAACATCCCAAACGCAACTTGTCACTACAACCTATACAATTCAGAATAGCTCTCGATGGTTGGCAACTGTCAACGCTGGACTTAGAGTCCTACCGGATGTATGGTTCACCGGCTCAGTACCCCGCAATGATAGCCCAACTTATAATCCCAACGATCCGAATAAATCCCCCAAAAACGAGAGAACAGTCAAACTAGGGAAAAGTAAGCACCCCTCTTCCCTCTTCCCCTCCACTGATTCACTACAAACAAAACTAACAACCCCCAGCTCTCCGCATTCTCCAAGATCGCCTCCCAACCCTTCTTCAATCACCCCTCCCTCAAGAAATTCTCTCCCCCCAAATAACTCTCCACCTCTTCCCCTCCACGCACCCCCATCTCCCCACTGTTTCCGGCCGTGTCGCCTATTCCGCCGCTCTCTGGACTTCTCCTATTGCCTGGGGCCGCGTCCCTCTCGTCGGAAATGTCAAGCTTGAAATACTGTCCGAGCGGATGAGTCAATCTTCATCTAGGGGATCAAATCACGAACAGTTAATTGTGCGATGGAGAACCATTGGCAAGACGAAAAATAAAGGGACGGGAGGTTTTTACAAGGGGATTGGGGCAAGGGAGAATGTGGATAAAATTACAGAGTGGTTGGCCGGTGGAAGTGGAGAGGATGATAGTAAGGAGTTTACTGGACTTTTCCTCTTTGAATTCGATGAAAAGGGGAGGATTTGGTCGCATACTATTGAACATGTGCAAGAAGGGGGAAACTGGGAAAAGGGGGTTGGAGCTAGAGTTGTAGGGCTGACTGACTGGTTGTTGGGGGGTATGAGGAATGGGAGAGGTGATGAAGGGGCTCCTTGTCCGGCATTTTGGGGACCAGAGCAGGATGTGAGGAGGAGATGAGGGCGAACGATGAATTATATGTTGATACGTGGAACGGAGAAACTTGATGAGGAACACGAATGGATTTAGCGTATTGGCGTTCGGATGGAAAAGAAAATTCGGGATCTTGTACAAAGACTGGACTTAAACACCCCTCAAAGAATTAATGAAAAACTCAAATACTTAAACCTTGAATTGCGAAACATCGAGTTTGAAGCGGGGAGACCATTGGTACAATTAAAGAATGAACTCAATCTTCTTCGCAATAAGTAGCCATCTATGGTGGACGTTTTAAGGTATCCCTTTCCACTTTATACCATAGTATCCCTCCCATTCTATTTCACTAGCTCTGCCAGATACAAAATGCTCTATGCAAGATCATCAACGCCCTTCTCTACTACATTTGTACAAATATAATACAAGCCGTCCACCCCAAACCCACTCTATTTGCACTCTTTCTCAAAAGCTCGCAGAAGAACCTACAGTCAATATCCATTAGTTATTTAATGTCCAGAAAATCTAATCAAGAGCAGATCCCACTTACCATGAACTCATGATCATCCATCGAACCCAAAATAGGATTCTTTCCCAATCTCAACGCAGACACCCTTGGAGTGGATATACCAAAAGCCACTCTAGCAAGAAATCTCGGATCATCTCGATCTTTGATGAGGTTGAGGATATTATTGAACGCCAGGTGATTGAAAGGAACAGGAGGAGGGAGTTGGATCTCAACTGGCTCATGCGTCAAACACCATTGACAATGACCGCATTCTTTCTTTCCATCAGGAAGCTCATCGCCAAAGTGGTCGGCTAATTTCTTGGAGAAACAATCTTTGCCCGTAATAAGCTGTAGGATCTTTTCTGTACGCTCCAAAGCTCCTTTTTCGCGGGTTTCCATGACTGTGTAAATTGCTTTTGCGATTATCTCAACCTCCGATGCAGTTCTGGGAAGAGATTTTATGACTTTGTAGACGTGCAAGACTTTGCTTGTTTTCAATTCCAGAATTCCTTCCGCGTTCCACTCACCAAGCTTGGAAATAATCTCGTTTCTTTCGATATTGTGACGAGAAGCTGCAGCATCCACATCAATATGATGTATTTTGGTTGCTTTCTTGCCACAGTCCGCGATCGCGACTGCCGCTGGACTTCGATCTGAGCTAAGCTTGGCACTATACTTGCTGTTTTCTGCAGTGTATGAATATTTTTGATACAATGGTGTGGTGGCACGTATGAGACCATGGGTGAGCTCTAGTTGTGCGTATATGCCACCCAAGACTGTAGGCCGGATGTCGAAGTCTTTCGTTTGACTATAATGCGAACTGTGAATTTCACCTCCAATTGGGAGTTCTATCGTCGTTGAATCAAATATCTCGTTCAAGAGGCCGCGAATGGATGCGAGAGATGGCAGATCACCTCGTGCGAATATTTCACGAAAATGAAGATCTTCGCCACATACGAAGAAGAAACAGTTAGCGGTTTTTCCATCTCGTCCACTCCTTCCAATCTCCTGACCTGCTCAGAAATTAGCATGAAAACTTGCGGCCTTTAAATTAATTGAATCATTCGGCAATGTTGATTGTTCAGAGTCAAGTGGGATTAGGAGGGCTTGATTAAGGCAAATTCTCGGGAGTAATTTCAAGAACAGCAGAAGTCCAAATAGACTGGTGCGACACGGAGCAGTAGCCGGGGACTCAGTGATGGGAAGTACTAACTGTAAGATTCCAGACTTTGGGGGACAGTGAAATGGATGACGTTGCGAATAGAGCCCTTGTCAATGCCCATACCAAAGGCAATCGTTGCAACCATTATCATGTCATCGCTTTTCATGAATTCATCCTGCAATTTAGTTTTATCTTCAGTTCTCATTCCTGCGTGGAAAGCCTTGGCCTTGAAGCCTGATTCCACTAATTTACGTGCAAGATCCTCAGCTTGCTTTTGCAAAGTGACATAGATGATTGTCGAGCCTTTGTGGTTTTGTAAAAAGTCTTTCAGCTTGGGAAGCATATGTATCTTCGTATCTCCTGACTCGGCCAATAATCGCAAATTGGGTCGATACGTCGAGGTTCGAAAGAGCCCGGTATTTGTGATTTTGAATGCATCACATATGTCCTGGGCAACACGAGGTGTAGCTGTAGCAGTCAGGCAAACGACTCGTTCTGCCTTTATTTCATCAGCGAAACGAGCAATTTCTACCCATAGTTAGTATAGAATCAATTTCCAGTAAATTAGAGGTATTACTTAAGTAATCTGGGCGGAAGCTGTGACCCCACTCGCTGATACAATGAGCTTCGTCTACTGCAAGTAATCTAATACCTCCTCGAACATACTTCATTTGCTCCACGAATGCCTCATTGTTCAACCTCTCAGGCGCCACGTAAAGTAACTTCAATGCTCCCCTTCTCAAATCGTCGCATGTTTGGATATACTCTTCTCTGGTCTTGCTTGAGTCGAATGTTCCTGCAGCAATACCACGACGAACAAGAGCATCTACTTGATCCTTCATCAACGCGATCAGTGGTGATACTACAAGGGTAACTGTATGTCACTAGAATTAGCGTTCTCCTCAAAAGGTTTGAAGGAAAGCAACGAAATATGAAGCTCGAATCTTCCGTTGAAGAGATCTGATTCTTTGCACATCATGATTAACTTTTCACTCACTTCCATGTTCGCCTTCATCACGCGTATTAAGCCGTTTATCTTCCTCTTCAAAAGCAAGTGCTGGGACTTGAAAGCAGAGACTTTTTCCACCTCCAGTTGGAAAGACAACGACGGCACTTTTACCGTCAAGAATTCTTGATATGACTTGTTCTTGCTTTAATTGAAAGGATTTGAACCCAAAATTGTTACTCAATATAGAACGTGCCGATTCAAAGACCTTAGGGGATATCTCAGCTGCCTGCTTCTTAGTTATCGATGAGATCTGCTCGATGGAAGCTTTTCGTTTGTGACCCTGACTGGCGCTGGCAGCATCGACCGCATTTGACAGATCAAACAAATCTGCCTCGTCACCAGAACTGAAGCCATACTCATCAACCTTTGTAGATTTAGCCATAATTTGTGTACATGGGATCAATAAATGCTTTTTCCTCTTCGTCAAAGCATGAGAGAAACGAAATTTTTGCAGTAATCGCATTTCAGATATTGTCGTACAAATGAAGCAAGGTGAAAGGAAAAGAATGTTTTCCCAACATCATATTTGCAGCTTCGTCCAAAACGCGTAATCACATGATTAGTGGATCAAACGAAAGTTTATGTACAAACAGTTTTGTACAATCTTTCATATTTTTAGATGATATCCAAAATTCTGGCTCACAATTTCATTATCATTATGGAGTACGGATTAATTTACCTAAAATGTACAAGTGTGTTCTCAATAATGAGACAAACCGTTGATCGACCTGGAAGAAACGTGCCCCTTGGGCCAAGCCAAGACCAATCTTCAATATTCCAGAAACATTAATCTTTGATCATTCTAGTTGACTGTACAGGACCACGCCTATTTGCTACAGTAGAAGTAAAACATTCTGGCCCCATCTCCCTAGCAGGTATATACCAACGCCCATTTCAAAAAGTTCTAATACCATGTATATATTCCAGCGATGCCATAACTTACAGCCCAATTCATGCTCCAAGGGTATTGATAAATCCAATCAAAAGAGCACATTTACTTCACAGCGAGTTTGGCAGGAAGGGTTTTCCTTAGCCTGATAGTCTGTTCATACAGAACGTCCTTGAAAGCGAATAAGAATGCAGCAGTCATGACACTCTGTGAGACTTTAGGTGCAATTCCTGAACCAAAGTCAGTGGCAAGTCTCTATCATGAATTTGAGGAAAAGCAATTACCTTTGTAGAACCCCGCATAACCCTCTTCCTTTAGGATTCTTCTCATACCCTGAATCATACTTTCTTTTCCTCCATCTCTCCCTGCAATATGCATGCGACTTTTGACTGTGATGTAAGGGTATGTGATGGAGGTAGCAAAGAGCTTCCCTAATGCGCCAAGAAGGAATGCCACGGTTGGCGTGACTCTTCTCTTTTTCTCAATCGCATTTTTTAATTGTTCGAAGATTGTATATTGTAATATCGGGTTCATGACAAGTACCAATGCGGGCACAACTCCGGAGAAGAGCGCTTGTGGACCTTCATCTCTGATAAGTGCAAGCAATGTGCCAACCGTCGTAGGTGCCTTTGGTGCCTTGAAACCAGGCAAAAGACTCTTATCCGTCTCCTTATTCCGCTTTCGCGTAGTCATTCGCGTGTTGACTACCCATATAGGATTTGTGAGCAATACCGTTGCTGAGCCTGCGATTGCTCCCGCGATCATCGATTCGATTGTTGTAAGCCTTTTAGAAGCACGGCCAGCCTTGAGCGCCGCCTTTTCAAACCAGGATCGAGTCCATTCATACCAGTAGTAATATACAAAGTTCGTAACACTGATTCCGAATAGTGCTGAATCGAGTCCTGCATAAAGACCTGTGATACCTTCACGTTCAATGATATGCTTTACAGCGTCGAGGAATCCCGAATCGGCACGCCTTGATTCGACTTGAGCGCGTGTGGAGAGGGTAATAAGAGGATAGCTTTTCTAACTTGTCAGCGTTTGAGATGCGGAGAACAATAAGGATCTAATACGTAAGAGCCATAGAAAGAATGCCCCCACCAGCTCCAGAAAGAGCGTGAGCAACATTATCTGATTGTTGAGCTGCCATGTTTATTTCGAAGATACTTTGAAGTTCAGTACAGTATAACAGAGATGATGATGATTTTGAAGTGTTGAAGTTTGGTGATCTTAGAGTTTTGATGAAGGGGTGTAAATCAATAAGAAGGGGTTTGAATAAAAGATGTGAAGAATGAAGAAAGATGAAAGATGGAATAACTCGCGATATCCATTGCATTCAGATGTGCATTGTCAAGTTGTAGGTACTGGGTATATCAAAGCCAAAGTTCCAACTTACCGAGGCAATGTGGATACCCCCTTGCATCCCCCATAGTCCCCACTTTTTAATAGATTTCACGTGTTAATCTACTAGGTAGTGTTCTTATCTATGATTAGTAAGCCACGAGCTGGGAATTAAACCTCAAATCAGAATCCAAACTTCACTTAAACTTTTGTTTCTCTCACTAACAATTTCAATGTAATTATCATCAATTATCTATCATTCTTGTCAACGCTAACATACCCCTTTTTGTTTAACCTGTCGCGAAATATATCCAGAACTTTTGTTATATACTATATAATACCCAATATCGTTTTGCTTCTAGCTTTTTAACTATCTGCCTTTTCAGCTTTCGAATTTCAGTAATTGGAGTATTGTTATTGGGAGAAAAAGGGAAACGTGTCTTTCATTACAGCTTTTTGTGGGAAATTTTGGAATATTATTAGGATTAGTAAATCTCGTTATTTTCTTCAAGTCAACGTCTGATCATCAAAAACTACTCATATATTTCATTGCTTGTACCAGAAATTAGCCTTGGTCATCTGATAACCCAAAAGTGGGAGGATGCTTCCAGTTCTTCATGTCCCTGCAATGATTCCTGAAGCTACAAAACGTCGATTGGAAAGTAAATATGCCCCAATTGCGCCTCAAGGAGGTGAACAATATATTCAAGCCCATAGTCAAGCATCATGTACAAATGCTCTTGATCGGGTGGTGCCTGAGCGTCCGGTTCAATCTTCATCACTGGGAAATCCATTTCCAAATCAGCAGAATCCTCGAAATTTACCTTTGAGAGAAGTCACAGACGAGCATTTTGATGATGCCTATGTAGGCTTTATTATGTATTGCAACCCTGCTGTGGCATCAAATACAGATTCTGCTGAACTTAGACGAATATTTCGGGCACCTCCAAAAAGTGATGGCAAGAGTTTTAGCACGTTTACATTGTTCCAATTGATTCGCAAATTAGAGAATAAAGAAATCAAAACGTGGGCACAATTGGCAATAGATCTTGGAGTCGAACCTCCCGCTTTGGAAAAAGGTCAAAGTGCTCAGAAGGTCCAACAATATGCGGTTAGACTCAAGGTATGCAAGTCAAATACAATAATGGCAATGAAATACTAATGATATTCAGCGGTGGTTGCACGCAATGCATGTTGATGCGTTCTTTGAATATCTATTAAACAAACCTCATGTGTATTGGACGCAAGTACCATCTCCTAACGAAACGCCATCGGAGCTTGGCCGAGACGGAGTGACACCTGATGAAGATTTAGCTCTTCGCGCGTTGCTTCCAGAAACACGACCCAAGCGTGGACGAAAAAAAGCTGAAGATAGGGACGATGATGATATGGAAAGATCACCATCCCAGCGCCCTCGTATACATTCGCCTACTTTATCTGAAGATTTCATGATTGCTAGAGTTTCCTTGCATCCGGATAGTGCTACCCCGGCGACAGCAAATTCTTCTTTTCAGCAGAGCTTTGATGCTCGACTGAGTCCATGGTCTGCAACAGAAGTTCGAGGTCCCTTAGTAGATAGCTATAGATGGGGTGCTCCACAAGAAAATGCGACTCCTTTATCAGCTTATCCACAATCCGCCCTCACTCCCTCAACCAGAACCCATCTTTGGCCCGATAATAGTGAGCCTCAATCAGCCACGACACCAAACAAATCTCGATCAAGACGTCGTCATGGTCCGGCAGTATCATCAGCATGGCCAAGCAATGGCAGTGCCTCTGCTGGAAAGTTACGAGGTAGACCGCCAAGTAATCGTTCTGTTACCGATGGACCATTTTCGACATTTCCTGCCAATCCGGGTTCCACTAGAGATACACCAGCTGCTACTCCTGTAGTAGCAGATTCCCAGATGCCCAATTTTTTCCCTGGAGGTGTGAGATCTGAGTCACCAACTAGTAATCCACAAACCCAAAATGCACGACCAAATCGACTTTCCCTTCAAGTCCCACAACGGAAAGGTGGCAATGTCAGATTAGCAACACCACCACCACCACCTGTTGTACTCCTCAACGGTGAAACCGACACAAATATGCAACACGACTTAATGAACCAATCCCAGCAAACATCTTTAATGGAATACTTCAACAACACTGTCAACGGACCCCAAGACCCTAGCTTCGAACACTTCGTTAGCATCGCTTTCCGTCAAAACGAAGATTTCGACCGCACCAACATCGATGCCCTAGAATCTCACTTCATAGGCGAAATTCTTGTCGCCGAGTGGTACGACGTAACTGGAAACTCCATTCAACGTTGCTCCATAGACGAAGCATCCAAAATCTGCAAACAAGTCATCCGAAATCTTCAAGCCGAATCTAGCAGCACAGAAGCCTTCCTCATTAATCTTTCCGCGCTTGCAGGCGGACCTCTCATGACGCGTCTCCGCGTTACAAGACTAGAATTCCCGGGCCCTCCACCAAGAACAGATTATGAATGTCATTGGAAAATGAGATTTGGAAGTTTAGAAGGGGATTTCACGATAAGGGCTACGGTGGTAGGGGAGAGTGGCGAAATGGGAATGGGGGAGGGAATGGGGGAGATTGGGGTGAGGGAGATGGAAGAAGAGGAGGAGGGTTGGAAAGCAAAATACTTGAACTTACAGCAGCAGATTAGGGAGAGGGATGCGAAGGTTAAGAGATTGAAGAGGGGGATGGTGGATGCGCTGGTTATTAGTGAGGAGTGGATTAAAGGGGTAGAAATCTTTCAGAATTAGGGGTAGGAAGGGTTGGGGTAGGGGTATTGGTTGAGGTATCCGGACCTTTAAATTTGAGGAGATGATGAATGGTAAAATGTGGCTGGGGGTTTTTGTTTTGGTGTGGTTGCGATTGCATATACTCGAGTATACATAGAGCACATACCTATGTCTAGTACAACACTACTAATTATTGAATAATCAAACAGTAATTAGACATCCAAAATTTTGTACTAACTCATATTAAATTCCATAACTTCGAACAACACATAATACTTCCGTCTACCAAGGATCGATCCCAGAGGACTACATACGCACCTTACTCCTGGCGTTCAAAATTTCCTTAATAGGACGGTTATTGATGATCGGCTGATATTGAAATAAGATTTCTAGTGATCATGTACGTTTTCTATCGATTCGAAATCTGAAGACCTCAAAAAATATTAAATAACACAAATTGATTGCAATCAAATCTCGATTCTCGATATGGGATTACATATATTTATATATATAAAACTTCACAAAGGAATCAAGTGTACTTGATCAAGTAGCTATAGATGAAATAAACACTATAAAATATTGTAACTCGGAATCACGTGGATGTAAAAAACCTCGTCCCTCGTCTTCGTCCTTGTCTTCGTCGTCTTAAATGATGCGAGCTTCCCGATCCAATCCAAACGGTGTCGGAACCCCGTGGAGATGCTTGATTCTGGGTTGATTCGGGACACACCAATTCTTGACTCCGAGATGTGGTGGTACAAATGGGAATTGTGATCGGTGAGTGAGTGAGTGGCCTTGCAATTTTGATGTGGAATGGGATTATCGGTATCAGTAGCAGAGAGTTGGAGGGATGGTTGGATGGAGAAATGAAGGGTTTGTGAGAGTTTCAATCTTCGGTGTTTTCGGTATGAGTTATGGTTTGGGTTTGTAAGTCAATTTGAAGTAATGTGTTGTGTAATCTGTATTCTTTTTGATACGGACTTGATCTCGTGCGGTTCGGGCAATTCTCGTTGAAGATAACCCACAAAGCTGTTTTTTCTTTGAGGAAGGATATGTAGCGTAATGTGAACTATGGATTTCATCAAAATGATTAGGGGCTGTAACTCAGTGGTAGAGTGCCTCGTTTGCATTTATACAGCAGCTATTGCGTATTCTGTTTCGATGAAGTCCAGGGTTCAATCCCCTGCCGCTCCAGTTCTTTTTTTCTTTTTCTTTTTGTGTTGTAACGATTGATATCTTCTTGTGTTGGTACAGTGTTTTCCATTTTGAAGATGTGGATGGATTGGTGGATTTGTGTGATGAGGGGTCTAGACCGATGCTTTGACAAGAAGGGATCAAAGAGGGTTTTTTTCCTTGATCAGGAGAATGAATGAGTGGATGAATGGTTCTCTGTTTGTTCGTTCAATGATGATGATAATGATTGACCTCTCTGGATTGATACTTTTGCTATTCACAAATTGACCAGAGATATATTACATATTTGCCTCCTGTAGTAGATTTCTGAAAGTGCATCAAGATAACTTCAACTTGCATCCATCATCTATGGAGATCAACTACAGTATATATAGTCTATTGAGTATTTTAGATCACAAATTCCATATACCACTGGTCTACTATCATTTTTCAGAAAATAGACAATAAAATCCAGTTGAAGATTCTCACCCTTCATACTGGTTATTTAAGCGAATAACTAATCTCACATTAAGACATCAACATCATCCCTTTACAATTATTTGAGATACCAAATGGATTAGTTGTACTGTACTTATTATTTCTAAGCACAACCGTATAACTTGTGGCAATGGTCTGATTACGTCGTGGGCTCTTCAGACGACGTTGTAGATTACATAATTTGGCTACTCATGTGTAACATCTACCGGTATTGATTTATAATCTTTAATGGATCCTTGTTTCACGAGAAACACATCGAATCTGTGAAATCTTCAGTTCTCCAAAGATTCTATCATCTACCTGCAAATCAGAAGGTATCATGTTCCGAATAACCCCACTAACTCGGAGATATCTTGGATACAATGTCGGCATAGTACATACAACAATGCTAGGACCATCATGCTTAACAATCAAGTCCTGTAAGTTTTTTTTTCATGCTTCTTGCACGATTGCGCGATATGTCCTCGTTCAACTGAAGGTATAAAACTATGTGAGCCCCTCTTCCTTTCAGTCCATTCATTTCATTCATTCAAACAAACATACAAACAAACAAACACACATTCGTGCCTGTACAACATCCTTTCATACATCCTCCTACCATCCGATAATACTCAACAAATATGTCTTCAACTCTCTTTACCCCTCTCAAGGTTGGAGCTGCTGAGCTTCAACATCGAATTGCTATGGCACCTCTCACTCGATTCCGTGCCGACGATAGCCACGTTCCTCTTCCATTCGTCGCAGAATATTACGCACAACGTGCTTCCGTCCCTGGAACACTCCTTGTCTCCGAAGCTACCTTCATTGCGCCCCAAGCCGCCGGTTATGCCAACCCTCCCGGTATCTGGAACCAAGATCAAATCGCTGGTTGGAAAAAGGTTACCGATGCCGTACACGCAAAGAAATCATACATCTGGATGCAACTATGGGCATTGGGAAGAGCCGCGGATCCAACATCTTTAGAACAAGAGGGCGGTTATAAAGTCAAGTCTGCGAGTGATATTCCATTCGAGGGTGGAGCCAAACCAGAGCCACTGACCGAGGTCGAGATTAAGGAATATATTGGTTTATATGCGCAAGCCGCAAAGAATGCCATTGAAGCTGGATTTGACGGTGTTGAGATCCACGGCGCAAATGGTTATTTGATTGATCAATTTTTCCAAGATACATCAAACAAACGTACCGATTCATGGGGAGGAAGTGTTGAAAACCGGGCTCGTTTCGGACTCGAGGTTTCAAAGGCCGTCGTTGCTGCTGTTGGTCCTGAGAAGACTGCGATCAGATTGAGTCCATATTCTCCTTTCCAAGGAATGAAGATGGAGGATCCTATTCCACAATTCACCTACATCACCCAAGAGCTCAAGAAATTGAATCTCGCATACCTCCACCTTGTTGAAGCAAGAATCAATGGAAATACCGATTGTGAACAGGTTGAGAAGGTCGACTTCTTAATCGATATCTGGGCTGGTACTAGTCCAATTCTTCTCGCAGGAGGATTCACAGCTAAGTCTGCTCAAACGATTGTTGAGGAGTACAAAGGAAAGGACATTGTGATTGTATTTGGAAGATTCTTCATCACCAACCCAGATCTTCCATTCAGAGTCAAGGAGGGAATTGATTTTGTGCCATATGATAGAAATTTCTTTTATAACAAGGGGGAGGAGAACGGATATACCAATTATGCATTTAGCAAGGAGTTTGTTGCGCAACAAAAGGCCATTGAAGCCTCAGCATAAATTAGATAGATTTATACATAGACATAGACGGATGTATGAATAGATAGATTTGAATTAATAATGAAATAAAAAAAATTTGCACATTATCAGTACAATGTTTGTGATAGAAAAAAAGGGTATTACTGGTATCATAAGTTTATCTTTGATGGGAGATGAGATTATTAGCAAAAGATCAATAATTTTGTATTGGATATGTTTCATCTGTGAACGTAAAGGTATGAATCACATTAATCCAATCTGGACAACAGACTAATCTTTGGGCAACAGGTACTCATGTACCGGTACAGAATTACCGGTATCCATAAGACAGGCCATCAAGGACGTTTAGCTCACCCTGATTGGTTTATAAGCGCTCTTAATATATGGTATATACCCACTCGGCAACATTTATTATATCCAGAGTAGCTAGGTAGATCATGTATACCGGTACTTCAATCATATCATAGTACCTTGTCAATCAATAGCCAAAAGTACTGAGTTTAGGTAGTACAGTAAGAGAGAAATTCTAGGTATAGGTATGTACCACGGAATACGAGTACTGGCAACGAATGTGAAAACTGAGGGATTCTGGGGTTTAAAGGTTATACGATATTACGAGCGGCAAGAGTTTTGTTTACTCGAATACATGTCTCAGATGCGGTCGGTCGGGCCGAAGATACTAATGAGCTGTAAGGTTACTCCTATTAGTGATGTGCCGATCGATCCTTCAACTTTAGTTTCCCGGCTGTGCTGCTTTCCAATGTATGGCAGACAGGGCGCTGCGCTTTTCTTTACTCCTTTTTTGCTCTTTGTTATACTGCTATACAAGTTGTTGAGTACATGGAAGCAGCTATATACGATATGTTTACGGTGTGTAATAGGCTCGCCGCTCGGTAATACAGTAAGCTTGAACTTTAGAACTACTAGAATATCACGTGTTAATTAAATCGAATACTTCTCGCTGAAAACGGGGGATTCGACTAAATAACAGAACAAACAGAACAAAACCATGATACATACATCATTATTCTTTCTTTCATTCTGTTGACTTCTCAGTTAAATGAATGGTCTGGTTCATTTACAGGTTCGAAAACTCACAAGCTCACCAGCTTATATTATCCCACATCTCCTTCACGATAATTGTCGAGACTGCCTCGAATCTGAACCCCGGTTTTAAACGGCCAGCCACCACCTTCCTCTCTGTGTCACCTGTTCATAGGGGACGCCCGATTCTACCTATGTACTAGCACTAATATCTCCTCTACCAGTCACCGTGACTGTTTCTTGAGCACGCTCTATGTTACATTGCTACTACTCGTAAGTAACTAAGAGCTAGGTATAGAAATACCCATCCATACATTAAGCTCGCCAATTCTTTCGGACACCATCACACCCCCTCTGGCAGGACCAGACAAGCATCAAATTCTTATCTCTCAACTAAACCATGACATTCCTTCCCCGACGTTATCTTCGTCCCCCACGATCTTTTCTGCATCCACATTCGCGCCTCCCCAATTTATGTCTCGCTTTCCTGGTGTTATTCCTACTCGATGCTTATTGGATCATCATTCATCTTTCCGATCCAATACGTACCATCACGCCTCCTTATTCGGCAATTGATGCCTCGAGTTTGACGTCAAATGGTCATGAAGCCCTCACATTATCACATCAGGATTCTTTATCGACGAAGAGGATTGGAGGGGTAGAGGGGGGTTCATCATCATCTGATGATATTGAAAATGATCAAGCCTTTTTGGGATCTAAACCACAATTTGGAAATCCCAATAATGAAACAATTTATATAGCCGCCATATTTCGTCGATCTGAATTAATGCTCCGAGAAAATTGGTCATCAGCTCTCATATCTCTAGTTCAACACTTGGGTCCTCAGAATGTCTATGTCTCAATTATAGAATCTGGTTCTTGGGATGGAACGAAAGCGGCATTGATGGATTTAGATGGGATGTTGGGTGAAGTGGGGGTAGAGAGGACGATTGATTTGGGTACGGATCGTGAGGGTCAACTTGAGGAATTGAAACATGTACCGGCGAAAGGGGAGGATAGAAAGGATTGGTTGTATACGGGGAGGAATGAGAGTGAAAGTGGGTGGGAGATGAGACGGATACCGTATTTGGCGAGGTTGAGAAATAAGGCTATGGATCCTTTGTTGAGATTGTGGGATGAGGGGAGAGGGAGGAAGTTTGATAGGGTTTTGTGGATTAATGATGTGATTTTTACGGTATGTTATCACGTGTCTCGTCCTTCTCCTTTATGTTTGAATTCCATCCCTTACTCGTTTGCCCCTATTTATATCTACATCTCTATCCCATACTCCCCCAACTCTCCAATCAACTATCCCAAATAAGAACCCCTAACTAATCCTCACCCTCTCAGACCACCGACGTAACCACTCTCCTCTCCACCAACAATCACTCCTACGCCGCAGTCTGCGCTCTCGATTTCTCCCATCCCTCCCAATATTACGACACATTTGCCCTACGGGATTCCCTAGGTCGAAAAACCGCCTCGCTTTCCTGGCCCTATTTTTACGCATCGCAATCTCTGGATGCGTTGAAAAAGAATGAGCCCGTACCAGTCAAGAGCTGTTGGAATGGAATGGTAGTTTTCGATGCAGGGGCCTGGTATCCTCGAAATTCAGAAGAAGATGGAGGGAAAAATAAATTTGAAGGACTGAAATTTAGAGGTGTATCGGATTCCTTGGCTAAATATCATGTAGAGGGTAGTGAATGCTGTCTGATTCATGCGGATAATCCATTGAGGGATGTGATGGGGGTTTGGGTTAATCCAAATGTTAGGGTGGCGTATAATAAGGAGACGTATGAGGTGGTTAATTCGGGAAAGGGGTGGCCGGGGAGGTGGAAAAGTGTTAAGGGGGTGTGGGGGGTGAGACTGGGGTGGGCGAGGGAATGGGGGGCGGGGTGGATGGAGAGGGGGGTGGTGGACCGGAGGGTGAGGATTTGGGTTGGGGAGGGGAGAAAGGGAGGAGATGCGGATGAGGAGATGAGTGAAGAAAGAGAGGAAAAGGGGATGGAATGCTTGATCAATGAAATGCAGGTCTTGTTTCAGAGTGGATGGAATCATATTTGATTTGTCAATTTATTAGTGCGTTTATCGTCTTGATTTCTTTGGGCTAAAGGCCTCCAACATCTTACATTTGGTCGATTAATGGCCAGGCGCAACCTCTTTTCGTTTGTTGATCGGGTTAGGTTTATTGGTACTGGTATTGGCACTGGTGTTGGTTATGGATATATATACAAAAATTAGAGTGGGAGGACTATATGTGTTGGGTTGGTATGGGTTAGGATGGGATACAAAATGGGATGCAAAATGCATGTACATGGAGTTGATGTGGAATATCTATTGATGTGTTAATCTATCAATATATCAAATGTTTACAAAAAGTTATCGATAGTGAAAGGGAACTTTGAAGTAGAACTTGAACTAGAACTTGAAGTAGAGCCAGTATTTGTGTAGTTAGTAGTTACATTGAAGCGGACAGGAGATTCATAAAGAAAAAGATATGTTCTTGAATTGAGATGCATGGATGGATGGATGAGATGGGATGGGATGGGATGTGGTAGTATATCACAGCACAAGTAATACCTGAGTAAATGAACTAACTGCAAACTACGAGTACAAGAAATCTCTTCAAATATGAGTCCTATAATGTATTGATACAATCTTATAGTCGTAGTACTCGTAGTAATAATGGTGATAATGGTAATAATATACCGGTACTAGAGTACATAATAAATAATAAATAATAAATTGTGACCAAAAGGGTATAAATAAAACTCCGATTGTGTACTTAGAATCTACAAGTGAAGAGCTATTAATATATTATTATTATTATCATTATTATAATAGGGTGCTAAAAGGAGGACTTATATGCAGGTTTAATACTAGTAGCCCTAATAACTAGATCGAAAAGAGTGAAAGAAGAGAATAGAGATAAGTATCGTACGATATCTAGGTCTAGAGCTCTAGAGCTAGAGCTAGAGTTTTAGGTTAAGAAAGGAAGATCTGAAAGAACTGTCTTATTACTCTATACTATATAGAGCATATGAGCTAGTGGACGGAAGAGAGCCGTCTGTTTCGTCACAAGTACTGAGTAGTAAAGTCATAATCGATTTGATCTACTCGAGTATCTAAGTAAAGAATACTAATATATTACTAGTATTAATAGTATATATATAGAGTTATAGGTAAAGTAAGTCTCGTTTTTGTTTTATTCAAAGTCTTATGATTAGTTTATGATATATATATCATAAACTTTTGAAGAAATTCGGACAAGCTAACTTGAAGCAGGGAATGAAACTTAAGGTTATTTTGATAGGTCTAACTTGAACTTTTGTATTCCTATTGCAGTAGCAGGAATTCTTCATCTGATTAGCAACTACCCGAGTATATCATTTTGAGTTGAAATGTATGGGTTGGGTTGGATTTGATCCAATTTTCCCCATACCATACTAAGAGAAAAGATCCCCGGCTTAAGTTGGTTTGTTCGAATTCTTCAAAAGTTTACGGTCCCTGATTCCTCACGACCTCCCTCATGTAGAACAAGCGGCTATCAAAGTCTTTCAGCAATCCATCACTGATTTTGGGAAGTTGCCGGAGATTATGGATTTGGCAATGACAGCAATGGGGCATGGTACGTACTTGAGTAATCAGTAATCATAGATCCATAGATTCAAAAGTATAAATTTTGAAATTCGTGAGTTTGACTTGACTTGATTTGATTTGATTTGATTTGACTTGACTCGGATGGAGGGAGAGAAACTTCGGATCCGAGTCGGAGGAAGGGTTTGGAGTATTGGAATTTGGGTGGGTGAATGAGTGGGTGGATAGATGGATAGATGGATGTCAGTGGGTGGATGACAGTGGACAGTGGGTGGATGGGAAGATGGGTGGTAAGAAAGAAACTGGAGAGGGAAGTGGAGGGGAACAGCTGGGGGTATTGAAGGTTTGAAGGATTAAAGGATTGAAGGTGGGATGTGGGAGTTGAGGGTTGAGGGTTGGGGATTGAGGATTGAGGGATGGAACTACCGGTGGGTGGGTGGGGAGTTAGAGGTCAGAGAGTTGTAGGGGGGATTGGAACTACCGATGAGTGAGGTGAGAAGTTGGCGACTTGGAAAATTGGAGGGTTGAGAGTGAGGTGGAAGTGAGGTGGATGGATGCCTGTTTGTAAACGAGTGAAAAAGGGGGAGACGAGAAGAGAAAAGAAGAAGAAGAAGAAGAAGGGGAAGAGAAAGGGGAAGAACTTTTTCCTACTTCTTTCTCCAATCAAACGACTATTTATAAAGTTCTAGCCTTTAAGCCTTATTACTCTACTCATATTCTATTATATCCTACTTTATTCTCTGAAATGCCTCATTGTCTATTCGTATATATAGTATATTAGTATATATCTTGTGCATTATACGTATACATATCGATCGAATATATATTGCGGAAATAATAATATATATATATATATTCGAGTACAATATATACAATACATAGAGTACAGGATAGTACAGGACGGGATAGGACGGGATAGAACGGGATTTCCATGGCATGGATCGGAGCACATCACTAAGTGGCTTAGCTCAGCGCAGATGTGTGTGCAGAAGATAATGGATGATATGGGGATAGATGGATATGTAAATGGAGGAAAAGCATCGGGAAGCTTACTCTAGCACTCCCCATGGCATGGCATGGCATGGCATGGCGGGCGGTAAGATGTCATGGGGAGTAGGGTTGCATACATGTACTATACGAGTACATCATTTATATTGAACTTTGTAATTGGGTTTTGTTTAGATGGATGATGATGATGATGTTAATGATGATGACGAAAGTATATGTATGTGCATGTGTATGTGTATGTGTATTGGACTGAGCCACGAGCTGAGTTGAGGTTTGTTAACTGTATCTGCCCGGATATATATCCGGTGAGAATCCGAGTGAAAATTAATCTAGATTGTAGAATGCTTAGATATTTCTTTTTCCCTTTGAGATCATACAGGTACCGGTATTCCATTGTAACAATATATTATTCGTGATAAATTTATTTTCCTACTAAATCTATTACTGGCATTATATCTTCTTGTCAACCAGCTTTCAGATCATCTTCATCTTCATCTTCATCTTCATAATTTTCATTTACCCCATTTGAGTTTTAAGTCTAAAAATAAGCTTTCCACCCCTCTTCCCCCCAGCCCAGCCCAAATTCAACCCACACTCAAATGCACGCTCACAAATTCACACGTTATCTCATGGCTGTATCTACATTTCCCACGTTCGAATATCGTGGATCAACAGCCTAAACTAAACTGAACCAAACATTGATCAAACTAGCTTGCTTACCTTTATTACTACTTTATTATGAATACGGAATAATGCAAATGCAAATGCAATTTAAGACGAAGTAAAGCGAGTAATAAAGCAAGGTGGAAGATATTGGCTATATTGTTGAAGATTTTCGGTTTATATCAAATGAAGTAGGTTCATCACCATTATTTCTTTCTTTCTTTCTGTATTTCCTGTCACATCAGGTCAAGTATCTGATAAATCATTCATTCATCCATACATCACAGCAGCATCACTCGCCTTCTTTCACTCACCTCTTTCACTCACCTCTTTCATCCACCCATTCATTCATCCAATCATCCTCTCGTTCCCTCGTAAGACCTAAGACCTAAGACCCTAAGACATAAAATACGATGCATCCCCATGAGTAAGAACTTAGAAGCATGAGAAAGAAATTTCAAGGATAGACAAACAAACGAACGGGATGGGGCTGACAGATAGAAGTCGGGGATTTGATTTGATCTGATTTGATTTATGGAGCCCATTCATCCGAGTTGAGCTCGTATCGTGCGTCTTGCATGTGCTGTGTGTGCCGTGCGTGGTGCGTTGTAAGCAAAGACTTTTTTTATATCTTGGGGTCCCCTCCTTGATGATAACTACTGGGTGAATAAACAGCGTCTATATGTAGATGTCGATAAGCGCCTGGTAGGTAGTACAATGTGGCAAATCATATTATATCGCTGATCAATACAGAGGTAATGTGTTGTTCGGAGATGTGTGATGTGATTTGTATAAGCTGGTGGGTGGAGTGAAAAAGCCTATGTGTGCATTGTTTCAAGGGAAGGGAGTGTGAGATCTCACTCCACACTTCTCACGAAACCCTGAATATATATACTCGAGTATACCTGGTAGTGATTGAATGGTATTTGAGTACTCCGGCTGTTAGGTTGGTGAGAATACTAATACCTAGGTAAGCATCTAATCATGTACCGGTACTGTATCGATAAGTCTCTCTGTATCTACTCGAGTATTATCGCTGACAATGTGATTTATAACACTACTTACTCTGTATTTATTATCATATCACTAAAGAAAGATGAGCCTATGATACAATACCCATCCTATACCCTACACCATATCGTGAATCGTGTAGGAAACATCAAGAAGCGTAACCTAAGATTCATCAATCAGTTTGACAACCAAACAAACAGGCAAGATCAAGTAAGCAAGTACCTAAGTAAATCAACATACTAGGTACTAGGTAAGTAGAGTAGCACAACTTACAAGCTAATAAATTAGCCCCTAACCTCATATCATATATCATGCTGCGCATGTGCATCAACAGGGTCGGGCTAGGCAGGTCGATACATCTACCTACCTAACCTATCTAGCCATCTAGCCTACTGTGTATACAATATACAATGCATCTACATGCAGACTGGGATTCTCGGGGAACATGGCTCAGGGTTGGGTTGGGCTTAGGGTAGTTAGGTTATGGTAGTTAAGGAGGTAGAGTGGCCAGGGTTAGATTAATGCTGCTTTTGAAATGGAGGACGGGACGGCAGATCGGCAGATAGATGGGTATAGATAGATATAGATAGATAGATTGTTTTGTATGTATAAAGTATAAAGTATAAAGTAGAGATGGATGTGAGTGTTACTGTGCAGTGCAGTGCAGTGCAATGTGCTTGCTTGATATTGATGGTACTGCAGTTGAGTGAACTGGGTTGATGGGATGGATGGGTTGGGATGGGATGAGATGAGATGGAAGGGAATGTAACGCAAGAGAATGAATGTAACGCAGAAGATACCTACCTCATTGAGGAGATGAGCAAAACGAGCAAGACGAGCGATTAAGGTTTTATAGATGAATCAAGGATAATTATACCAATCAAGATATTATCATTATCAATCTGGCTCATCATTCCCAATATATTGTACAAGCAAGTACAATATTCAAGAAAAGAGCCTTTCTTTCTGTAACCTTATATTGGTCTAAGCTTTTATCTTTTCAGATGGGATACAGATACAGTACTTACCGGTAAAGTCTATGGCTGTTCCGATGATGCAAGTCAAGTTAATTGTCTTGGAATCAGATGAGACCTTATACATTTCTTGGAACTACTCGAGTAGAAGGCTGAATAACTCAATCGAGGATCGAGGATCAATTTAGAGTTAGAGTTAGAGTTAGATTTTGAGTCGGAAAAGAAGGAAGAAAGAAACAAACAAAAGACATAAGACATTTCAACTTCCAAGCTTCTCATAAGATTCTGTCGGGTCTGTGGTATCATTATCATTCATCATTTGAATATTCATGTCTTAGTCCGGTCTGTACAACTTGTACTTTTGTACCAGCTCAAGAAACCGTTAAGTCCTAGGATTTTAGTCAAGTGATACAATAGATGTTCCCCTGTCATTCATGGTTAAGTCCAGATCGATCTACCTGTAGTTCCATCGGGGATTCGAATGTTGAAGATATGAGTTGCAGCATCTGAATGAAATATGACTTGTCAAATACCATTTACTTTTTGACAATAACCACAAATCCATATCGATTTTTGATTAGATTTATATATAATATGGTTTATACTAGATAGAGTATGCATGGCTTATTATTCATTCATTCATTCATTCAAAAAGTCATGGTTCTCAAAAGAATACCAAAGGAACAATCAGACCACGCTAAATACATCTACTTGCCATGTATCATGTAGCTTTGCGAAACCTGCAGCATGCCTTCCTTTCTCAATCAGCAACACAATGATTCAGATTTTCAATAATTGAATCAGAATCTTCCCGAGGGATTAATTGAGGAGACATAGAATAGATGACAGGAGCAAGCAGGAGAAAGTGGCAATTATTGACCCATCCAAGTAGGTAAGATTACTACTAAGCATCAAAATCACCCATATATCCAATCATATCATTCAAGATTCTGACAATGCATACGAGTAGAGAATCAGACCGTGAGTGAATGTGATATGGCTGACATGAATTATTAAAGTAAACGGACGGCACAGTTATCAGCCATTATTGAAAACTTTCTTCATATAGATAGCACAGAGTTATATCAATGAGTACACGCACACTGAGTACAACAGTATTACGAATGATATAGTAGATTAGTATCACGAACTCTTCTACGAGTACAGTATTCACTCGCACAAGACTCATGGAATCGTTTTGAACACCGGTTATCCATCTATTCATTATTATTCCTGGGAGAGTTTTCACGCTTCGATGGGTCTCGCTCTCGCTCTCGCTCGCACAAGATTTGTACTCCTAGCTAGGTAGGTTATTAGGTTATTAGGTTACCTACTCCCAGCAATTAATATCAATCTCATCTACTGAGTACTTGCTTTTCTGTACAACATATACACAAGCGCTACACTACCTAGATGGTACATTATCTCGAAACTGGGTATTTGATTACGGGCTGGGCTGCAGGTCGGTCAATCACTAAAAGCTAATGTAAATGTAATGTAATGTTAAAGAAATTCTATGCCTCACTTGTAATGTAATGTAATGTAATCAATCCCCTCCTTTCGCAGATAATATAATATTAGCTATCGCCGTATATTTGATATATACATCTAGTACTCGAGTATAGTAATATAATATAGTAATTATAAATATGAATCTTTGCGGGGCAAGTTGGGGAAGAAGTCAGCCGTTATTCTCATAGCCATAGTACTATATAACAGTAATATTATACTTCAATTAGTTTAGTTTCCAAAGTTAGACATGCATGCCATGGTCACAGAATCATCCTAGAACTTAGAAGATATCTACTAGGTAGGTAATCCTAGTCGTAATCCACGCTGCAATTGTAGAATACCAGGGGTTATAATCACACCCTCACATTCATATCCATGGTTGAGTTGAACATTGAATGTTAGAGTTAACTGAATAGAGTCTAGTATAATTAGAGAATGGCTCAAGGAATGGATCTTCTCTTTTTTTCACACTACTAGTACTCTATATAATTCTTAAATAACCCCCTGTTTTTAAAAGTATTTTTAAACCTAAGTTTAACCTTATATTGAATATCCTTATATTACTCAATACTTTCCGTTTACCCGTGGTTCATGGTTCACTCACTACCTAGATAATACTCACTCATTGTATCATTGTTACTTCTCTCAATTTTTAAACATTTCTTGACCCTTGTCTGTCTGTACAAAGGGAAGGGAACCCACAATCCGGCATCCATACCTTATTCATATCCATATTCATAGCCCACACTTGGCAGTTATACATCTTCCCGACTGGACGACGGCTTATTATTGAAGAAAGAGACTAACTACCCAGATAGATTGACTGACTACTTGATAGAACTATCGGGTACTAGATACCGTCTTGCTTGAGTGAGTAATAATTCCCCCAGTTTATTGTAACGTCTCCCTCCATCCATCCATAAACCTTCCCAACTCCCATGCACATGAGCTTCTCTTCTTACTTCTTACTTCTTACAATCAGCAATCAGCAACCAACCACCTTTTCTTTCTGTCCTAGAAAGGATTCGATCTGAATACTTGGATGCATACCGGTACTGGATAACTAGATACTGAACAGTATCCAGCCACTGATTACTGTCACTGTCACTGTCACTGTCACTGTCACTAGCACTGGACTAGCACTGGCACTGGCAGAGTAGATCACTTCCCCAGCTTTAACAAACCGATATAGACTTTCTTCAACAAAATATATACAATCCAACATCAGTATCACCAAAGCTGAAAGTTTATCAAAATCAACAAGATATCCAAGGACCATCCATCTCTCGTTTTACTATTCAATTTCTTTGTTTTTTATTATTTTTCTATCTTTTATTATACTTTATACTTTCCCACTTTCCCACTATCCCACCAAGGCTTGTCGGGGAAGACAGTACATACAATCCCCAATCCTAGACCCAGTCCCAGTCCCAGTCCCAGTCCCACCAACCACCAACCCACAACCCACTACGAGTACAACCACCGAGTCTTTAGTACTTCTACACGAGGGACCCGATCACCACCCCGAAAATCAATTCATTATTCTCCCTTGCAGAACAAGAACCACACACAACTTTACTTCAACTACCCTCTTTTTCAAATCAATCTTCAACAATTTACAAAAGCTTCAATTCAATCTCACGATATCAATATTCACTACTCGTTACTCACTACTCGTTACTCACTACTCGCTACTTACTATTATCGCACTACTTCAATTTATTATTCCTCAATTGCGACTCGCGAATCTTACCCGCTTTCTATCTTCAGTCCTAAATTCATAACCTTCCCATCACCACTCAAATTAAAACAAATTATAAGTAATCATAGCAAGCAATTGCGACGATCGGATCGATCAAGATGGATTCACGTCCATCATCAACTAGGATGCCCGCTGGTTTGGCAGGAGTGTTGAATGAAGTCGGCCCTGAAGAGCACATGAGAGATTCTGCTTATTATTCAAGTCTAGATCCTTCATCAAAGCGTGAGTTTTTGAGCATTCACTTGGTATGCCCTTCAAAAACCATATGCTAATGAACGCCCTTATTACAGACAACTCACAATTATCGAACGGCGAAGTCGTCATGACACCTTCACCAACTGGATACCATTCCTCCAGCGCTGATATAAGTCCATCATCTGCATCGAATCACATCGCCAATCAACAGCTTACCTCTTCCACTTCTGGCAGTATGAGTGTCGCATCTATGGTCTCCCCATCTAATGATCACTCCCTGGCAAATCAACTAGTCTCTCTGACAGGTCAATTAAACCGACAATCATATGGATCGGGACTTGGAGCTTCTTCAATCAATGGGGATTCCCGTCGGGAGAGTGTTGATTCGAGATTGGGAAATGGCCTTCAAGATTTGCGACTCAATTCGCCATACGCAAGTAACAACCAATCAACTACTTCACTTCAGAGCTCTCTACAACAGCAGCGCAATCCTGGGAACGCTGCCGATCGTTCGTCCAACCCTCGATGTTCGAACAGTTATCAACCTCAACGTTTACCAGAACCACCAATGTCTCCCAGAAGCACAATCCCGAAGACTGCCCCCACAATCACTGGTCCTGCTATGGGTAACATCGCTCGCGCGGCCGAGCCAACTCTAGGACAAGCTTGGGCGTTCCCGGAAGAATTCGTAATGAGGATGCCAACTTCTCACTCGCGACATCGCGAGGAGTCTGAGAGTATAAGTAGAGTCGGTACCTCATTCTTAAATCTTGACTCGAGACGTAATAGTATCGCAGACTCGGTCGCAAGCAGCCAGTTTACCACAGAATCTCGCCTGCCAGTTGGACAGAGAAGGTTAGAAGATGGAATGGCCTCTGATTTCCGATTATCACGAGCATCATCTGAGTTCCAAAATGTATCGCATCACCATCACTCCCTACAAAATCGTCAAGTATCCGAGTTACATAATGACGAGGCGGATTCCCCAAGCAATACTCAACCTTACAGCCGCACGCCTGAACTTCGTGTGAGCCATAAACTTGCGGAAAGAAAACGCCGAACGGAGATGAAAGAATTGTTTGAAAATTTGAGGGATTTGATGCCTCAAGAGCGTGGGTCTAAAGCTAGCAAGTGGGAGATATTGACAAAAGGTATTCACTTTTGAACGCCATACATTCATTGACTTTGTGCTAAATTTTACAATAGCTATCGCCGAACACAATGCAAAATCGAAGCAAATCGACGAGATGAAGGCGAAGATATACAATCAACAATTAGAAGTGGAAAGTCTTCGCCGCGAAGCTAACGTCATCCGCGTGGAGAATTCACAGCTTCGCAGCGAACTTAATCAAGGTGGGCCCAATAATCATCAGTCTGTGATCAATGGCTTCACTCCCATGACGCAGAATGGCGGCTCACATGTCGACATGAACACATACCAACAAGAGAGTTATCCCTCTAGAAATTCTTATCAGCGAAACGAACAGCTACCACCACTTCGTGGACTATCCCAACCTGAATCCATGAGTGGAGTTCAGTATCATTCGGATATGAACCGTGATATGAACCGTGCCAACGGTTATCGCGATGCTCGATTCTAGATTCTGGAAGTCTGAATATCTGGACAATTTATCTCCTTGATTGTCTTTGCGACTAATAGAGATTCGATTGGTTCAAGGACTTGATTTTTTTTTCAAGATTCCACTTATGATGAACTCTCCCACAAGACTTCAGCTTTGAAAGAATTCCATCTACCTAGTTTACGAAGCTATCTGGTCAACGATCATAAACCCGCAAAGTTCACATCAAAATCTGAATTAGATCGAATCTCGCTCACAGCTCCTTAATTCTTTTTTATTCGGCAAATATCTCCTTGCTTCCAAATCCGTACATCATTGGGACATGTGTTCTATTAGAAAAACGGCTGGTGTTTTACTTGACAATATACATATTTTTTTCATTTCTTCTTGGAGTCATTGATTCGTATGGCTACTTTCCAAATAGTTCATTACATCGACCACACTCTAAGTGGTCAATACGACACTCCTTTCTTTTATCCAAAAAGTGGAACGTACATTTCTCGTGCGTTGGGGAGTTAAAGGGAATCCTTCTGCATTTTGGTATGGAGTGGATAGGGAAATAACTGTGCAATATTCGGGGGAAAACCCTACATTCGGATGATATGGGTGGGGGATGATGTGGAATATGGGAAGATACTGATTCTACGAAAGAGAGGAAGAAGGCGTTACTATAAATATACCCGCACTCATCCTGGGGTTTCTATTGACATCTGGCTTTTTCGGAAACCATTCCCGAAACTTTCCTCTCATGTTGAATAAGGATGGAAATGGGAATGGAAATGGAAAGGTTGGATAGACGGAAATTTGACTTGAACAGGATGAGATAGCACAAACTTACTTGGGACCTTGGGCACGTTTGGACCGACTACATTACTTGGATAATGGGATGTAAGTTGAGAGATTGGGATGGATGATGGATGAAAGAATGGTTGGGGGATGAGTGTTAAGATAAATTAGTTGGGACAAAAAGGAAGAGAAATGACGCTTGTCGTTCATCTATTTGCTCAATGATAATTCAGAATTTTTCTTGGCATTATTAATTATTATTGAATGTAGGATGTGCGAAGTGGGTGGTCGATTTCTTAGGTGTACTACTCGAGTATATCAGTGTAATATTGTTATAATATTGATCATCTGTAAATGAGGTTGATTTTTATAGGATATTAATATTGATATTGATATGGATACGAAACGAAACGAACCCCTTTTCAAATCATTTCAGATCACATGCATGATGTGATATGATGATATTAGCTTGAGTGAGCTTGAATGAGCATAAACGATAAACGGGGGCGGGCCGGGGCGGGGAGAGGGTGAGTATGAGTATGGGTGTGAATATGGGTGTGAGTGTGAAATTATAATAAGCGATTCTTTGGAGGTGAAGGTAGAAGGAGAAGGAGAAGGAGAAGGAGAAGGAGAAGGAGAAGGAGAAGGAGAAGGAGAAGGAGAAGGAGAAGGAGAAGGAGAAGGAGAAGGAGAAGGAGAAGGTGGGATGGGAGATGAGGGGATAGGATGGGGAGGGTGGGATGATTAGGGTGGATGGAGGGGGGATAGGATGGGATGGATGATATGAGGGAGATGGGAAGATGAGGGGAGGGGATGAGCGGAGATGGGATGAGGGGAGATGGAGAGGTGGGGGATGAGGGGATGGGGATGGGATGGGAGGGTGGGATGAGAGGGGATAAGTGGGAAAAGGAATAAAGCAATTATTGAAAGTAAAAAATGATTTAGAAATAAAAGTTCTTTGAAGGAGGGAAGGAGAGAGGAGAGGATGGGGTGAGATAAGATAAGATAAGATAAGATGAGGATAAGATAAGATGGGATGAGATGAATTAGGGAAGGAGGGAAGAAAGGGAAATATAATGAGATACTCGTAGATATGATATGGATATTGATAAAATGAAATAAAATGGGGAAATCTGTAATCATAGGTTACTATTTTTTCGGTACCAAGCTTGTTATATTTTCAACCGTAATATACAGTTCCTAAAGTACATTAATTCCTCACTCCAAAACATTTCCAAACAATTCATCCCATCCCATCCCACCCCATCTTTCCACACCCCTAAACCCCCCTCCCCTCCCTCCCACCCACACCACCAACATCTAACTCCCCTCATAAACCCCGACCTCCCCAGCTCCCAACTCCCTCATACTCAGCAAGCCCCCCCTATCCTCCGAATCCCCCCTCGACACTCTACATTTCGCCGTATACGCACAATTTTTCTCGCCCCCAAAGAACGTTTCATCCGGACAACTCATGCCCCACAATTCTAACACTAATACCCAAACCACTAACCCCGTTACGATGGAGATTAATTGCAGGGAATTGAGGGAATGGGCGAGAGGGAGGAGAATAATAATGATGCAGATGAAGAGGCGATTGAGCATGCGGTAGCGTTTGGCGAGCCGGATGCCGTGGTGGTCTTTTTTGTGGATGTGGCAGGCGGAGATTATGCCTGGTGGGGGAGGGGGGAGGTTAGTATGGTGGGGTGAGAGGGGATGGGGATGGGGATGAGATGATGGGATGATGGAGGAGACTGAGTACGTACCCATACAGAATAAAGCAATGCCGAAACCAGCACAATAGAACCAGCGAAGTCCATATGAAATCTCGGGTTCAGATTTTGCTTGATATGCTTCCGTTAGACTTTCCAAAGAGGTATCCGCACAGTCTCTTACAACGACAAGTCTTGAGAGTGCCGCGCCACCTAGTACATAACTCATGATAAAAGGTAGATGTGCTAGACCCCAAATAAGTGAAGCTGTGACATCGCGTCGAATGGCATGGGCAAATAAATCCGCACCATCTAAATCGAAATATATCCAATTAAAAGCAAATGCCTGAATAAGACCCAGAACTGCTTTTCCAAAAAATGCATTTAGTCCAAAAGAAGCCGCGCTTTGATAAATGATAGCGACGACTGAATAACCAAAAACTAATGTCACAAATGCGTTTGTTCTTTCGGTTTTATGCTCAATATTTGTAGCAGGGTAGAATTCAAAGACTCGATCGGCCCATGCGCCAAGTCGAGCTGAGATATTTTTGGTGCCTCGGACGAGGAATAATACACCTACTGTGCCGGTCAAATCAATCAAGATGGCAATTGCAATGATGGCGAATCGTTGGGGTAAATCGATGTAGATACTTCCGATCCAGAGGATGCTGGGGATTAAGATGATGGTGGCTTGTGCTATGAGCATAGCTCGTACCATGGGAATGCACCAGGCTAGAAATATAAAATATGAACCCATGAAGAGACGAGCGGTTAGGTAGAATGCTATTAGCATTGCGTAGGTATTTTCGAAGGCTTCTAACATGTTTGTCGTGAGACTATGCGGAATTAGCTGGGGAGTTTGTGGATGAATGATGACAAGGTCATGAACGAAGGGAAGGGGCTGGAAGCGGCATCTCGAAGGGCAACATGTTTAGAAAAAGTGTGTCCCTACCCAAGTAAGCAAGCCATGATAAACAATATGGAAATTCTTTGAGCTATGTCATCGGTTTCAAACCAAGAGATTATAAGAGCCAGATCACTCCAGATCTTCCAACTCATGATAAATGTTATAACGAATCTCAGAAGTTCATATCCAGTAGGATCTTCCGAGGCATGATCTCCATTTATAGCAAGAATGCCGACATACAATAGGTCTACAAAGAGTTCAAATGAGGCTACTTCAGTAGTCCCTGATGCTCTCCAGAGTAGACCTCGGTGAAAATACTGTCGAACCGTTGGCTGCGAAACTATTAGTTTGTGATGTCTCGAATAGGACGAGGTCATCAGCATGAGCATTCATGTTCAGTGCAACATTACCTTTTTATATAATTTCATAATCCTTCCCTTCCTCTTTTCCGCCGCCCAATCCTTCTTCTCATGACCATCAGGCCCATGATACAACGAACTCGCCGAACTGGAAAGACCCGATGCATCATCATAAGTTCTCAAATGAGCACTATACCCATACTTTGAGAAATTTGCATCCAGCGCCACCGAATGATCCGTCAACATATAAAGTTCCGAGACCAGCGCATCCAATTCCGTCTTCACATTTTCGATTTCATCATACGCGTCACCATGTTTCTCTTTGAGCGCTTGTTGTTTATTTTCATGGTGAGTGCGCGCGGTTCGAAGTGCATCGAGATGTTCGGGGGAACCATTGATCACGAGATCAAAGGGTTGATCTTTTTCTGTGATGCTGAGGCGACGGCGAAGAGTTTCGGCTTCTTCTGGGGAGGGCGCTATGTGTACTTTTCGGCCGTTGGGGAGCATGAAATTGCGGAGTCGATGACCTCTTTGGTGATTGTGGGGAGTGGAAGTCCCATGCAAGGTTGTTGGAGTAGTGGACATCTTCAATGATAAGATGATATAAGAATAATTCCAAAGATACTTGAGAGAAAGATACGGATTTACAGCTTCGCCCGATATGATATCAAAGCTATTTGATACTTTTGTGGCTGCTGATCCCAGGAAATTGTGGCTTGAAAGGAAGCTGGTAGGGAAAATGAAGATGATCCAAGAAATACCAAAGATACTCGAGTAGAGAAATATCAATTCGGCATGTGGACCTTTCTTAGCTCTACAATTATTGTTATACAAACTCCATAGTGACAATAGTAAAAGCAATGGAAAGACGAAGAACTACTTTGATACAAAAATTCATTTTCAGCTGATAGTAAAACAACAACACAGCCATTGTTAAAATGAAAGGAGAGAGAGTAAGCAAAGCAAAGCAAAGCAAAGGGTTTAGCACCAGCCAAGCTTAATAATTTCATTAACCCCATTTAGCTATTTCTATTCATTGTGGGGAAAAGTCAAGACATATATTTATTCAAATGGAATTTCTAGAGATACATTTTCGCAATAAACAATACCTTTCGTAACTTTACCAATGGTTTGTTGACTCGTTCCATTCATGCATTTCGAAAAATATAAGAGATACAATAGCTTTGGATAAGATATGAAACATGTTCGGATCCGAAGGGGCTGTCAGATACCTACTCCGTACCGGTGCTGAAGAGATGAAAAAGAGAAATGTCTATCAGTCAAAGAAATTCAGCCAGTCAAATGCTATTAAATCATCCGGGATCTAGACCGTGGATCGTGAGATGGGTTGGTTGGGTTGGGGCATTCTATCAATCTGATACACACAATAGGTTAATATAAAAACAAAAATATTAAATTCTATCATTACCAATTCTCACCCAACCAGCCAGGTCTACCAGGTTCCACATATATCCTTCCATACACCATAAAATATACCGTCGACCGTCCATTCCCATCACCTAAAAACTACACAATTTACTCTTCCCACAAATCCCCCTGGCTAACGTCTCAATACTCCCACTACTCAACAATTCCAAAACCTGCAAATTCGCCTCAAATTCCCTTGCAATGAAATTCCTCACTTCAATCGCCACAAGTGAATCCAACGCATAATTAGATAAACTTCGCGTGACATCCATATCCTCCGCTTCCAACATCAATACCGAAGGTAAAATATGTAAAAGTCCCCGCGTCACAACTTCTTGCGCTTCTTCAAGTGTAGATGCGTTTTTCAATGCAGTGTTGAAAGATATGTTTGCGGAGGGGGAGGATGGACAGGATAAGAGGGCTTCGTGGGCGAGTCGTAGATGTTTGAATTTGGCGTCGGGAGTCCAGAAGGGTGGGGGATCCGTGATCCGCATTCCGGTTATCGTGTGATTGTTACATGTGCTGGAGAGGCGACCAATGATGGCAGCCCCGAGGAGTGCTAAGACTTCTGCTTCGCAAATTGTGTCGCTTCCGAGATTTTTGCTCACTTCGGCTGCAGCTTCGAGATTTTCAGCGAGATAGCCGGCGTCGGATACGGCAGTTAGATCGAGGGATGACGCGGGTAACCCCTTTGTTAGGCGATACTGAACGAATGCATTCAGGAAGGTATTGGCAGCAGAGTATGCGGCTTGGCCTCTGTTTCCTACTGCACCAGCTGCGGATGAAATGGCAACGAAGAAATCTAATTGTTGCGATTGTAAAGCATTGTGGAAATTCCATGCACCTTGAACTTTCGATTCGATGACTGTGGTATACTCCTCATATGTCATTTTCTCAAACAAAACATCCTGTTTATGTTAGCAACGTTCAATTATCATTAAACAATCTGACTTACTCGAAGAACCATGGCTCCATGAATGACACCTCTCACTTCAGGCATACCAGTAAGCTCATTTGTAATAAGATTGTTCACCGCATCGCTATTCGCAACGTCACAACGTCGAACCACGATATTCGCACCGACAGTCCCAAGATCATCAATCAACACCTTCACTTTTCCAGTAACGGAGCCACTTCTTGACACAAGAACAAGATGTTTGGCACCTTTGCTAACCATCCATCTGGCCATACTTCGACCCAAACCACCAGTTCCTCCAATGAGAATGTATGTGGCATCTGGGCGAAGTATTTTGCTACTTTTATCAGCTGGAGTGGCCTAGGGTATCGTTAGTGTTTGCATGATGATATGTTTGAGGGATCACTAACCTTGACCAAATCTTCTGGCTTTGGAGCAATAATTAACTTTCCATCAAATTTTGCAGATTGTAAAGTCTTGAATGCTGTCTCAATATCCGAGATCGGGAAGATTGTGTGGCTGGTGGGCTTGATGATACCTTGAGTCAAGAAGCTGGAGATTTGCGAAAGAAGATTACTCAATATCTTTGGCCTTTCGATGCCCAGAGATATCAAATCGACAGAAGAATAACTCCTATTGGTTCCGCTTTCGACTTTTGCATGATTTTCTTGTTTTCCGAGATTGATGAATCGTCCAAAATTACTTAAACATGCAGAAATCTCTTGCAGAGTATCCGTATCTGTAGAGATGCAATTCAACACAACGTCAAAGTCACCTTTGTATGTTTGTTGTAGTGTATTTGGTCCGAACGAAGTATTGTGGAACACAAATATTTCATTTTCGGAGAGGCCATACATATCCTTGAGCAAGTCCCTTTTTTCAATGCTACCAACCGTTACGAAAATCCTGGCACTCATACTTTGAGCGAGACTGATAGCTGCTTGTCCGAAAGCACTGGTTCCTCCATGAATTAAAATGGTGTCGTCCGGAAGCAATCGTCCAATGTCGTTCAATCCGTAATATGCAGAACAAAATACCATGGGAATAGAGGCGCCGACTTCGAAGGATATATCATGATTTATCTTGAACGCCAAAGGCACCTTCATACTAGCATGACTCGAGTATACTCCCCCAGTAACCGATATACCTGCAACACGATCACCTTTGGTAAAGTTGGTGACATGACTACCCGTCCTCGTGACAATTCCACTGCATTCGCACCCAAAGCCATCACGATCGGTATTTCCTAATGCAGCAGTGAGATCTAATGAATTCATGCCGATAGCTTTGACCGCAACCTCAATCTCGTCGTCTTCTATTGATTCCTCAGGCGATGTATCGATGAAGTGAAGAGTTTCAAAAGCACCTGGCACTGAGATAGCCATATTCAGTGGTCGATCTTCTTGTCCAAATGGTGCCAACTCCAGAGCAGAAGCTTTTGTTTGTTTGTGAACGTATTCGTTCATTTCTGTGTCGTGTATGATACGTGGTGTGAGCATTACTCCCTTCCTCTCCATGAATTCAAGTTCGCAGTTCGCATTGACCTCTGGACCAAAGACACCTTTGAAGACGTCAAGTATAGCTTTGGTTGTGCTCTCACCGAGATTAGCATTGTCTGGATCCAGATCTAAGGTTGCAAACTTGAGCATTGTCTCCGAGCGAATGCTTCTGCTAAGGCCAGTCACCATATTAGTTGTAGGGTCAGATGAGTTAAGATATGCTCCTCGGACGGCCCAAAGTATTCCACGAGAGCCAATTAACGCCTTTTGCAAAGCAAGGAACTCGGTAGTCGACAGATTTGACAAAAATGGTTTATCAAGTTCTGATATAAAAAGACATAGCTTTTCAGTTGTTTCGATCTCAGATAAATCACCATGCTCGGGTCTTTTCCCAGTCAAAGATTCCAAAGAGTCGGCCAGTTTCGATGCAAGAGCTTCTTGTTCGTCCGAATTCCCACGGACAATGACAATTTCTTCAGTTGCATACTCGTGACTATCTACTCCATTCGTTATGCCATTAGTCATTCCATTGGACACTTCTGATACCCCATTTGAGGTAATACTGTGTTCCGAAGGCATCGAAGACTGAAGTATAGGCTCCCAATCTAATTTGTAACAAAGTTCCCTGTGCACATCGCTCTCCGAACTCAGATCCATTTCTACTATTGGTGAAACTGTCAAATCGCGTATTATGATGAGTGGTTTGGATGATTCATCTTCAACAGCAAACATTGAAACGTTGGTGGGTTTGGGGTGACCCGAGGGAAAACTGCCTTCGCAAAAGGCCTGGAGAGATGCACCGGGATTATTCACGAGCTTGGTAATTTCCCGCGACATCGTCATTTGTCCAATAGATGAGGGCAGATAGACGGTATCCATTGGGTTCTTTCCCGCATCAAGGATTGGCCAGTACATCTCAATGACTTGTTCGAGTAATGCTGGGTGAATTATCATATCTTCTTGGTGTTCTTTTGGCATTTCTTGCTTGGTGTCTGGAACCACAACGTGTGCCATTGAGGCATGTTCACAGGCGTGGCATTCATTCATACCTTGGAAACTCGGTCCATATGAAACACCTATATTCGAAAGGGAATTGTACAATTCAGACTTATTGATGAAACTTGTCGCTGCTTCAGTGATCTTTTCGATGGTCGATTTGACTCCAAGTTCAAGATCATGATTGTCTAGTTTTGTACCAATAAATCCCTCGCAGTGTAAGGTCCATCCTTTATTCGCAGCCCAAGAGTGAACCTTGAACTCGTCCCAAGTATACGAAGCGGAATTGTCTTGTGCACTAGGACGCAGTTGGAGAGTAATCTCGACAGGATCTTCGGTAAGCATAAGTGGTTTGCTGACCAAGACATTGCGGAGCTCAAATTTATCGTATTGAATATTGCTGAATGCGGCTTTTTGAGATGCGGCCTCCACTGCTATTCCGATGAAAGCAGACATGGGGAAAAGTGTAAGAGATTGAATCTTATGGTGTCGAAGCCATGGAATATCATCGATCCGGAGAATGTTCCTCCAAGTTGGCTCAAGATCGTTCGAGTAATTAGCCAATGTACCCAGAAGATCATGACGTTGAGTCGTACGGCTTTTGTGCTTTTGCATGAGACGTGGTTCATGCCAGTACTTTGTTGTATGATTCCAGGGATATCGAGGCATGTCGCTCAATAATGTAGGAGGATTGAGATGAGGAGTAATATTAATGGCGCCAAGGTCAAGTGTCGCACCCTTCGTAAATAAAGTCGATGCTAAGTCTATTGCTGTTTCCACAGCATCTTTTTTCCTCACAAGAGCAGATGCATAGGGAATTTTCATTGCATCCTTCCCACAAGCTTTTTGGATTTGCTTGATTGGACCAGCAAGAGCTGAATGGGGTCCGAGTTCAATAAGCATGTTCACTCCAGTTTTGTGTCCGTCAGTTGGTGCACACATGCCCGTCACAGCTTCGGAAAAACGGACTGCTTGCGTTAAGTTATCGACCCAGTATTGGGCCCCAAGCCTCGGCCCTTCAACCAGATGGCCAAGTAACGAGGAGTGAAATTTTACATCTGTAGGTTTGGGTAGAGCAAGAGACTGGAGAGAGTTCCGGTATTCCTTCGAGACCAGACTCATGTGGTGGGAGTGATAGGCCACGTCGACCTGTAGTTTTCTATTAAACATTTGTTTTTCTTCCATTAAAGCTTGTAACTCGTCGATGGCTGGCTCGTCTCCTGAGATAGTTAAGCTGGACAGACTGTTGAAGCAAGCTATGCGAGCCGTCTTCGCGCTGAGTTGGTCGATAAGTGGTTCAATCTCTTCCTTACTACAGCCTACAGCCATCATTGATCCTCGAAGATCTGGGAACTTCTCCCGTAATTCGACAGTAGCTAGACCCCTATAGTATGCAATTGCCATGCAGGAATCAAGAGGCAAAATTCCAGCCGCGTATGCCGCTCCTATCTCACCACTGGAATGACCAGCGACGGCCACCGGGGTGATATTCCAGCTTCGTAATAGATCAGTCAAAGCCAGCTGGATTGCTGTGCATGCAGGTTGACTAATATGGGCTTCATTGACAAGCGATGTTGTGGCATCTTTATTGAGCTCGCTGATCAAGGAGAAGGGAGCGCCAAATGAAACTAGGCATTTGTCGCAAGCATCTAGAGATGCGGCAAAGACCGGATAATGTTCGTAAAGTTCACGGCCCATTGCGTTCCATTGAGCTCCTTGTCCAGTAAATATGAAACCAATTCGCAGTGGTTCAATCTCTCTCATTGGCGAGACTTTTCCAGAGTTCAGTGCTTGTATGAGCTCGAAAGATGATGTGGCTGGGATCGCAACCTTCCATTGTAATCTGAACAGAGCCGAGTTAGCACCAGTGCCCTCAGTTTTTTCATACTAGATCAGATCCAGCTCAGCGTGTCCAATAGTCCGGATTAGCAGACAGTATCCAAGCTGGCAATGCTCGAAAAAATCTGAATCTCTAGGGATGGTTTGATCTTTGAATGGATTCATTATTCCAAATAAATTTGACCATCCAAATGTTTCAGTCTTCCAAAAAAAATCATAAATTCAACCCTTCCAATGCTGGACTGCAGACCGAACCATTGGACACCCTGACCGAGCTTCCAACAATACTTGTTGGACTGAGAGGTAAGTGGAAAGAAGAAAACTTACAGAGATCTACGTTGTCCCAAAGTATAAGCAACATTACTCATTAGACCATTCTGGAAGAATTCCGGCCTCCGTTCCAGGTAGATGCCGATATTTTTCATAAGTGCCTCTAGAGCACTTTTGTCATTTGCAGATAGCGCGATCAATCTTCTACCTTGTAGAGCTATCTCGCTGGAGTCCGGCTCAATCTTATTAATATACGGGGCCCGTTCTAAAACAACATGTGCATTTGTGCCTCCAAATCCAAAATTATTGACACTGGCGAAGCGCTTATGTCTAGGCCATGGGCGCTGACTTACCGGAACCTAGAGAATATCAGCTTTGATTCAATCCACCACGATCAATCCACAACATACCTTCAAATGCCACTTTGAGAAAGGTATTTTCTCATTCGGAGTCTTGAAATCATGATTGGGCAGAATGAAGCCGCGTTCAAGCATCATTGCTGTCTTGATAACAGATATAATACCTGCGATATTTGTGTCAGATTTCTGGCGAATTTAGAACTTTCAAATAAGACTTACCGGAGGCAGCTTCCAGATGTCCAATATTTGACTTCACCGATCCAACGAAGAGGGGATTTCTAGCATTCCTGCCTTCTCCAAACACATTGTACAAAGCTGTAGCTTCTATGGGATCTCCAACCTTGGTACCGGTCCCGTGAGCTTCCACATAGCCGGTGTCTTTTGGGTCGATGCCAGCGCTTTCATAAACCCATTTCATGAGTGATTCTACTCCCGTTAATATTATGAATAGCGAAGCCGACTCGAATTCATTATATGCTTACCTTGTGCAGAACCATTTGGCATGGTAATTCCAGGTGTCTTTCCGTCCTGGTTAATGCCACTACCTCTTATCACAGCTCTAATGTTATCATTATCCTTGAGAGCTTGCTCTAGAGGTTTCAGCACGATCAAACCACAACCCTCACCACGTCCATAACCAGTGCCACGACTGTCGAATGAGAAAGATCTCCCTTCATCGGAAAATAAGCTAAGAATGTTAGGCGCAACCCCAAAACATCTATACAATGTTCTAGACTTACCGAGAGTTTGACATTGAAATCCAAGTTTCAGGTAGCATATTTAAATGACATCCACCAACAATTGCAGATTTGCATTCTCCATTCCGAAGACTCTGGCAAGCCTGATGTAAGGCAACCAAGCTCGATGAGCAGGCGGTGTCCATGGTAAAACTAGGACCTCGTAAATCAAAGAAATGTGAAATTCGATTTGATTGCATTGCAAAAGCGCACCCTAATTCGTTCAGCAGAGAGCAGTATAGGTTGGTCAAAAAGCAAACTACTCACCTGTAGCTTGGTACATAGGAATACTATCTGCGTCCACAAACGATCCCGATTCATACTCGGAGAACGAGCCACCAACGAAAACTCCCACATCCTTCCCAACAATTTCGTGTTTAGGAATTCCCGCACTCTCCAAAGCTTCGAAAGTACATTCCAGTAAAATTCGTTGTTGAGGGTCCATCGATGTAGCTTCCTGAGCAGTGAGACTGAAAAAAGGTGCGTCGAACAGTCCTACGTCTTCTTTGAGAAAGTTTCCACCAGCCGCATTAAAACATCCCGCCTTTCCGGGATTGGGGTGATAAAAGCTTGCGGTGTCAAATCTCTCCTTCGGTATTTCTGACCAGCCGCTTCGAGCTCTTGAGCAGAGCTCCCAAAACTCATCTGGAGTACTGACGTTTCCCGGTAGACGACACGACATTCCAACGATTGCTATGGGTATCTGCTTCGCAAGTTGGGGCTGACTATACCCCGAAATGTATCCATCCTTAAAAGCTTGTGAATAAACGTCTTTGAAGGCCTTTACTTCCGGCGCATCGCTATTCTCCCCTAAAGATGCTTCAACAATGTGCTCTACTATCGTTTCGGCAACTGCAACATTCGTGCCCTCCTGGGGCGAAGTCCAGGTGGTCACTGAAGGCGCCATATCTGTTTTGCTGTGATTGAAGCCGGCTTTTATTGCAACGGCATTGAAGGATGAGAATCACAAGAACATGTAAATCGTTTTGGCTATAGGCGCTGAAATCATTTGTCAATTACTTTTTGGACCAGTTCGCGCTAGGCTTCACTTAAGAAATACTGTGTTTCAAATGACAGCTAGAATCATGGGAGATGAGCTTTGAGTTCCCGGTCAACGTAAACGGGTAACATCTCGCACGGCTGCCATCCCATGTTCAAAGCGGATGTTATTGCACATATCGTGTCAATCAAATCTTAGCCCTTCATCCCATCTTTTTGACAATTCAATTCGACCAAGAGTTGAATGGCAGAGGGTGGAAGCGATAAAGCCGCCCAAATCTGAGAATCCGAAGATCTCACATCATTCCCATACTGCGATTCTCTGCACCCCCTGATGAACCTTGGAATTGATAATCCCCACCCGGGGGGGTCGATCTTAGAACATACGTCCAACAATCCGTTCCAACGGGCATAAGGTTTCTGTCCTAGAAATGATCCATGCAAAATGACAAGTAAAGCATCAATATAACTCCATACAGCTGAACCTAAAACTTAACTACATGGAAAGAAGCATGAAACGGAAATGCAAACAAAAACGAAGCTAAAGTACTTCCTTTTTAATTCAGGCCACTGTATGAATTGAAGGTCGGCGAGACCGCTAATTTGTGTATACCGGGCGAATCATCCAGAGTCAATTTCTTGACTGAATGCTGTGTTGTGCACTGAACCTCATTTCGAAACAATAGAAAGGGGCCGGAGGGTAGGATCAGACTCAACAAAGTGCTTTTCCATGGCACTTCTCTCGATGGTTATGTAAGCGACAGGGGTTGTCGATTGCCATTAACTTCATTATTTTATAATAGAATTGAAATATTCCAAAGGCCTCAAATTATATACCTATGTTAATGTGAAATATTGATATCTAGTACAAAATTGACAAGCAGATTTCCCTTTCATTATCCAGAAGATGTTTTAATAGTTCTGATTGAAAGTACTAGCTTAGACATTGAAATCTAGTTATCATTTTCGGCCGCGCACTAGCGCAGATCTCTCATCTTGCCAGCCACAGCCACTCTTCCATCCTCAAACTCTATACCTACCTACCTACCGGTACCTTTAATTGATTTATTGATCTATACCAAAACATTTTTGCTCAAGGGTTTCTCATGGAATGGAAACGGCCTAAGATTCAAGTGGAGTGTCTGTTATCCAATGACGTGACCAAGAGACAAGATCTCCCTAACATCCGGGTCCGACTCGTTCGAGATCAACTTGCCAATTTCCTCCATCCGTGCTCAACATCTTTAACTTGTTACAACATGGCAGACGTGATATGAGGGGAGGTTTGTCTTATTGGAGTTTCAATACGGGCATCTCCAAAAGTTGGATGAGCTCTTTGGCTATGAAGCCACAGAGATCCTTGTTCAGATTCTCCGTCCTCAAAAAGTTTAAGGAGCTTCATAAACCCCGCATAGAGTACTCCTCTAAACTTTATACTATCATACTAATCTTTCCTACATCTAATAAACTTTCATTTTTTGATATCAGATCCCTAAGTGTTACTTTGCAGAACTTCATACTCAAACATCTACAATTATGAGGTTTCTCTGTCTTTGTGGAGCATATGGAAGCTCAGATGTAAGTACACTGTCCCGATGTTGATTGCATATTTGAAGCTTAAGCTGACAAACGTAGAAATTTAGAGTGCAACTGGGTGTGTATCTTTGCTATTCTGTAATACTTTAGGAGCCATGCTTACTTCTAGAACAGCTCCTCTAATTAAGGAATTAGCGTCTGACGAGGCCGCCGAGTTGTTCTTCGCTCATGGTCCAGTTGACGCCTTCCCCCCCGAAGGGTATGAGGATTATTTTGGGCCGGGGCCACATTATCGATTTATAAAGCCCGGTAACACAGAAGACGGGGGAAGTGACCTTCTCGACCGCATTCGAAATTTCCCCAAAGGCGCAACCGCAGAAGATCAAATGCGAGAATTGATGAGGGGTGGAGTTGGTTCCATTCCTATCCCAAATGCCGATGGAAGTTATGGTGATGAGAGTGCGCAGGATGCCATGGAGTATTTATACGATATCATGCAAGAAGAGGGTCCTTTCGATGGAATCATTGGATATTCAGAGGGAGCCACTGTTGCAGGGACACTATTGTTGCACGAACAAAAGAGATTCGAAACCGAAGGAAGACCACCGATGTTCAAATGTGCTGTTTTCTTCGCTGGATGGCCTCCAATGACACCTGAATTTGATGGAATTGTTCTTGCGGATGAAACAGACTTGACAATCACCGTTCCAACTGTTCATATCAGTAAGTATTCTCACTTTATCCCTGAGGAGTGGTGCCATATACTTTGTCTGACTCTCAAATTAGTTGGGTCGCTAGATCCATATCTGGCAGGTTGTATCTCACTCTACAATGTGTGTGATATTGACAATGCATACCTCTTCGATCACGGAAAAGGTCATACTTTGCCCAGAGATCCAGAGACAGTTCGAGAGCTTGGAAACATCATACGCACAATGGGCTCAGATATTGGGCTCTTGTGATTTGCTTTATATTATAATTATGGACTCATCTGGATCTCTGACAGAAAGCCTTGCATGCTTGTAGTTAGCAGGCCTCACTCAAGCTTTGGAGTTTGGGATTATCAGGCCGTAAACGGCCACCTTTTCTTCATCAACAGTATAATTATTACACACTACCAAATTTCGAGCCGAGATGGCAGGAATCAGAACTTTATTACGACGGGACAGTATTAAAACTGTACAGAATGTACGGTATATATCTTTTGTTTCATCTATTGCTTGGGGTATCTTTTGTGAGGAATGTCTTGAGGAGCTATTGTGTTATCTGACCAAGATTTTGCCTATTCTTTACAAGTCTGACATATTATCTTTTTACTTGGCTCTGGAAACACTGGAAGTGACTTCACTTGAATTTTTGCTTCGAATTAACAATTGACATTGTTTCGTGTTAGAAATTGCAAGTTTCAGAATTTTCACATGTTTAGAGCGAGTCTGCTATTATGCAACAATTCCACACACTCGAGTATACATTCTGGCACGCCAAGGCGAAGAAGAAAACAACTTCCCCTGATCTTGTTTGACTTCTAATGGGATCTTCTCGAAGAGCAGGGATTGAGAGAGTTTCAATAAGACAGATCATCGCTTCATTATCCGGACGGATTTTTCGCGGAGATTTATCGGGAGAACGTGAGGTTCCGTACACAGAATGCGTTAATTACATGGCAATATCAAATACTTCCTATGTCTCCTATGTCTCCTTTCATACCGGTATGTCATGTTTTAATCTCGACTGACTGCTCGTAAGCCATGTGCTACAAACCACAGCCCGCGGTCAGACCAAGTGTTCTCCTTATGCACGGATGTCAAGTCTGTTCCTAGCTCCACCATCAATTTGTAATTTCTTATTTTGAGACCTAGTCATGTTCACAATGGAAGAGAGGCGCAAATCCGAAACAAGAAACCCCACGGAAACATCAGCACAGGTATTGAGTGATTTTGATTTGCCACATGGTCGCCTTGAAAGTGGTGATACTATCATGAAAATCGATGTGAAAACTTTACTTCTCAGATAGTAAAGATGGCAGGAAACACTGATAGCCGGTCGTCGTCATCGTCTCCCTCGGAATCATCTCCGTCAAATGTACCTTTATTGTCGGATGTGGAGATAAACTTTGAAGATGGCGAGAAACATACCTTGTCATCGTCGAAACCTGGGATATCAAAACGATCTAATGGTTTTCATGGAACTCCATTACAAACAGATGCTCTCATGGAAGAGATACTGTCTCCACACTCTGATGGCTTCAATTCACCGACTTCACCAAAGCAGTGGCCAGCTTCGGCGAAGGAGCCTTTACTAGCAGGAGAGGAAGGTGTTCAGAAGGACAATGGGGAAGCTGAGTTTATTGCTCCTGAGTCAAAGACTAAGACACCATATATCAGCGCAGAGTATAAGCTTGCATTGTCTCATTTCAGGGTAAGTAGTCCCCTCTATGGCAGTCTCTCTGGAGTTTTTTATTATAAAACCCTTTATTTATATTTAAAGTTCAAGGTTTCGACATTCAAAGAAGTATGAATCTTTCAAATAGATTGAATTTTCAGATGAATTTAGTCTCTCAAAAGGGTGGAATCTCTCAACCATTCGATTGGATTGAGTTTTCCCCAAAGAGTTATATCATTACATAAAGAGTCTGGTCTATAAATCTCCGATAGACTGCCATACCCATCACGCTGGATTAATGCACTTGACTAAATCCTCAACAGCGAATATTCTCTTACACTAGCCGCAATGATAAATTACTTTTACTTGCAGCAGGAGGTGCCTCAGTATTTACTGGTATTACACTTCCACTCATGAATGTTGTGTTCGGTAGGAGTCTCCAGTCTTCATTTTCATGGTGGCTATTAGGAGTACTAAGTCTATCTATCTAGGTGAACTTGTTGGCGATTTCAGCGGATTTTATAATCCGGATTCTGATGAAACGAAGGAGGTTTTTACCCAAGCTATCAATCAAAATGTGTAAGTGGTAATTGGTAAATACGATCGCTGGTAAATACTAATGTGATGGTCCAGAATCTATATGCTCTATCTGTTTCTGGGCAGGCTGCTTCTCGACTATGTAGCTGTCGTAAGTAAATATTGACCACTAACTCCCCCCATCAACGATTTAACACTCTTATAGCTTGGGTTTCGAATGGTCAGCATTCGAATATCCGCATCGATGCGAATTGCGTATCTTAATGCTCTCTTTCGACAACCTATCTCCGTGCTTGATACCCTACCATCAGGACAAACAGCGTCCATCATAACAATTACTGCTAATATTCTACAACTCGGCATCTCCGAAAAACTATCCATGTTTCTCCAGAGCATTTCACTAATATTCTCGGCTTTGATAGTCGCCTTCTACTATAATTGGCTGCTCACACTCGTGACCAGCACTGGCTTAATATTTATCGTTGCGTTCTATTCCTTCACCATCCCGCGATTGGTGAAGAGGCTGAAGCAGGTTGAAGAGGCTGATCAAGTATCATCTTCTATTGCAAGTGAAGTTTTCAGTTCGATTAGGATGGTCGTCGCTTGTGAAGCGGAAGGGAAAATGGCAAAGAGATATGCTGCGTGGGTGAATGAATCTCGGCGGAGAGGCTTGCTCATGTCTCCTTTGGTAGCTATACAGCAAGCACCTGGTATGTTTTCCACGAGTTTGACAGCATTGCACGTACTGACTAGTACCTAGTATTTTCTGCGATTCATGCGTAAGTCTCCTTACTATATATACTATGACTAACGTGACTTTTTGCTCATAAAAACTTCAGTACTTTCGCGATGTCTTTTTGGTTCGCCATCAAATTGTACCTGGAATCTGAGATTTCCAGCGTCGCAACTATAATCATGTTCGTACCCATAAGCGAACCCACTACCCCTTCGCATGATTCCACGATATTAACATATCTCCAGTGTTTTATCGTCTATAATGACTATTGTAATGTCTATTGGGGGTATCGCGGCCCCCATTACTGCCGCCGCACAAGCTGCCGGGGCTGCCGGTATCCTCTTCAGCATCATCGATGCACCCCAGCCAAAGACTGAAGGTATTAAAGCTCCAGACGTTTCTTCAAGAGAGGATATCGTTCTTGAGAATGTCAATTTTGCGTATCCTCTAAGACATGATGTCAAAGTACTTGATAATCTGAATATTCGGTTCCCGGCTGGAAAACTTACCGCTATTGTTGGAGCTTCTGGCTCGGGAAAAAGTACCATTGTTGGCTTGATTGAAAGATGGTATGAGCTTGATGGAAACCTCACGGATAATGCCCTTGTGAGTTTCAAGAATTGATTAAATGCAGAGGAATCGTCATTGACTAGTCACAAGACACTTTTCTTCCGAAATGGTACGATCACCGTCGGTGGTCAAAAGTTACACGAAATTGACTTGAAATGGTGGAGGTCGCAGATAGGCCTTGTTCAGCAAGAACCATTTCTGTTCAATACCACTATCTATAGGAACGTGGAATATGGTTTAATAGGTACAAAATGGGAGCATGAAAGTTATGAGAAGAAAAGGAGGTTGGTGAGACGGGCTTGTAAGGAGGCTTTTGCAGACGAATTCATTAAGCGACTTCCTGAGGTAAGTCAATCGATAGACTTATGATCTATCTACATAGGGATGTTTCTGACTTATACAGGGCTACAATACAATGGTAGGAGACGCTGGGATAAAACTCAGTGGTGGCCAACGGCAAAGATTGGCAATTGCACGGAGTATCGTCAAGCAGCCCACGATACTGATCCTTGATGAAGCAACGAGTGCTATCGATGTCAGGAGTGAGAGAATTGTCCAAGCTGCATTGGATAAAGTCTCCAAGAATCGAACTACCATCACAATAGCCCATCGTTTATCTACTGTCATCAAAGCAGACAATATCGTGGTCATGAAAAAAGGACAGGTGGTACAACAGGGGACTCATGAACAGTTGTTGATGGATACGGAAGGTCCATATTGGGCACTTGCGAACGCTCAACAGTTAGGTAATGGTGAGATTGCTAGCAAAGAAGTTAGTGTACCAAGCGATCCCGAGAAAAGACAAGATCTAGACTCGCCAACATTCGAGAAGATCAGTCTTGATCTTCAGGAGGACCAACCATCAAGTTTGGAATCGCTTCCACCAAAGGAAAAAAGGAGAACCCCTTTGGGAAGCTTTATGCTTTTTCTTTGGGAACAAAAGCCGCGGTGGATATGGTATACGATAATGTTTCTCAGTTCCTTAAGTGCTGGGGTTTCGTTTCCATTACATGCATTCTTATTCGCGAAACTCATTTCGCTATTTAATCTGTGGGGACAACTTCTTCAAGTCCAGACTAGTTATTGGTGCTTCATGTTCACTTTGTTGGCCATTGGCGTTGGAATCAGCTATTATGCTCTTGGATGGTCTTCCAACACTGTCTCCTTTGTAAGTATTACTCATCGCAGATCCCTCCAATAACTAACACTTGTTTTAGAACATCACAGCTACATATCGTCAAGAATACTTTCAGAACGTGCTCTCGAAGCCAGTATCTTACTATGACGAGGAAGAGAATTCCGTGGGTAGTTTAACAGCTAGAATGGCGAGCGATCCCACTCAACTCCAGCAATTGCTGGGAATCAATATGGCGATGGTGTTGATTTCCATGTTCAATATCTTCGGATCTGTGGCGATGTCATTTTACTTCGGTTGGAAACTCACGCTATTGACTGTCGTGACAACAATGCCCATTATTCTCGCTGCAGGCTTTTTCCGACTTCGATACGAAACCCAATTCGAAAAAATGAATAACGATGTGTTTGCTGAAAGCTCCAAGTTCGCCACCGAATCCATTGGTGCTTTCCGTACTGTCTCGTCCCTTACTCTCGAGTCAGAGATCTGCGGACGATACGAAAAGCTCCTGCGGAATTATACTGAGAAAGCTTTCCGAAAAGCCAGGTTCTCAACCTTCGTTTTTGCGATGAGCGATAGTATTGCAATTCTATGCATGGCATTTGTCTTGTGGTATGGTGGTCAACTTCTAGCTACCCATGAATACACACCGTTCAACTACCTAGTTGTGTATTTGGCCGTTGTACAAGGCAGTACCACGGCAGGGCAATCCCTAAGCTTCGGCCCAAATATTGCCCAAGCCTTCGCCGCAGCAAACCGTATTCGCGGTATGAGACCCGAAGGTGAAAAGGAGCATGAATCGGTGCTGTACGATTTTGCGGATGCGGACGATGGCGAAAAGAGTTCGCGTGGAGTTAAGATTGAGCTTAGGAACGTCTCGTTCAAATACCCTACTCGTGATGTTCCGGTGCTCCATGGATTAGACATGACTATCGAGAAGGGTCAGTTTGCTGCCATTGTTGGGCCCTCGGGATGCGGTAAAACGAGTATCATATCATTACTCGAGCGATTTTACCAAATCCAGAGCGGTCAGATCTTCTACCAAGAAACGAACATTGAAGATATTTCTCTAAACGAATACCGCAAATCGATCTCCCTGGTAGCCCAAGAACCCTCCTTATTCGAAGGATCCATCCACGAAAACATCTTCCTCGGAATCTCAGACGAAGAAGAAATCTCAGACACCACACTCCATCAAACATGTCGCGATGCCGAAATTCACGATTTCATCTCCTCGCTCCCGGAAGGCTACAATACCGCCGTTGGAAACCACGGAGTAGCATTATCCGGGGGTCAGAAACAACGCATTGCTATAGCGCGAGCTTTAATTCGCAATCCTCGTTTACTATTACTAGATGAAGCGACGTCAAATTTGGATTCGGAGACGGAGAGGAGTGTACAGGCTGTTTTTGAAAGGACGGGGAGGGGGAGAACGATGGTTGTGGTGGCGCATAGGTTGGCGACGGTGCAGAATGCGGATGTTATTTTTGTGTTGGGGGAGGGGGGTAATGTGGTGGAGAAGGGGGATCATGGGAAGTTGTTGCGGATGAGGGGTTTGTATTGGCAGATGGTATGTTCTTTCTCTCCTTTGGGTGGTGGTGTTGAAGTGTACAGTGAAGACTAACTATTGATTGTAGTGTCAAGCGCAAGCTTTGGATCGGTGAATTTGGAGGTCGTCGTTGCGGTTCCTTAGGTATTTCTAGGGTTATCATGTTTTGGGTGTAACGGTTGCTTTATCTCGTGTCGGCAGTTCTGGAGTGTCAGGAGTATATCAAGTGTAAAATTAGGGTTCAAACATTGAAGGTTCATTATTATCTGAGTAGTCTACAAATTTATGCATGTCAGTGAGAGCGATCAAGAAGATTCAAAAAGCCTAATTGTATGATGATATAAATTGATCCAAAACACCACGTCGCCGAAAAGCATAACGTGGATGCTCCTTCATTACTTCCAGCTTTGAGATAAATCACAACATAATAAAACCAAAAAAGCATGTTCAACTTGCCTGACAGCCATCGAAACAACTCCAAAGTTATTGACCAATACTGATTTCATGAAACAATGTCCACGGAAACTTTCCTCAGATTTCAAGACTTTTCTCAGGGCTTATTCAAATGCAGACGTGCAACAAAACCACCTAGGTCACGGGACTTGTCACGGGTTTGCTTCGGGGTTGTTACTGGAAGATTAAGCGATCCAACGAGAAGAGACTATCTAAAAACTGAAATGCAAACGCAGCTTCAGGCAAAGACAAATATTTGCAACACAGCCCAATAACAAGAATTGATACGGGAAGATAAGCCTCGTCTTCGGAACTTTGCTTATAGTAGGAACCAAAGTTCAAACATACATATTTTGTGACTGATCCAATAGAAGTCTGTATAGCAGAACTGACTAGAAGACTGGAGTCTACATGGGAGTATCGGGATCGATATTGGCTATGTGCATAATGATTCTGATATTGCTTATTATTGCTGTGTGAATCTTGGGAAAGTGATGTTTGTTCAGTCTTGAATAAACAACAGAATAGCGGTATATGGAAGGGGTTGTAGATGAAGCCGTCCGAAAAGAAATGGTTATGCTTCAAAGACTAAGAGTAGTTCGACTATTGGCTAGAAAAATGTGTTTACCGCGCATAAGATATATTGGAGAACGATGCAGTCTCCCGAATCTCTGCGACTCATCATGATCAGTCACCCGTTTGTTCTTTTCAGACTCCGAGTGAGAAATCATCCTAAATTCGTTACACAAACTGCAGAGGTCCGAATTAATATGCTCGATTCAGATAACCTTTAACCAAGGTTTAAGATTGTCCCAAAAGGTCTGAGCCATTGATTAGCTTCTACCAACTTGCGGCGCCCGGGTTCTCAAGGTTCATCACTCGGCTATCGAGAACCTATCATTCATCCCTCGTCGAAATGCATTTGTATGGCGCCATCTACGGCCCTTCACATCTTCCCATACGCCCATTGCAGACAGCCCGAGAAGAAGCAAACACCGCCATTAAGTCCACGATTGTGACTCATTTCATGCCAGTGAAAGATCGTGACATTGAGAATGCACCTTGATATGCGGATAGATACATCACACTGCTTTACGCCTTGAATCGTGCCGCACGTAAAAGAAAAAGGGAACACATCTACAAACTAGAGTGCTCGAGAGTTTGAGCATATATGTACTTGATATCAAAGATGCCACGAGTTTCTGGCACCACTTAAACTTCCAAATTCAACCTCGGAGAATGTTTGAAAACATCTCGGTCTCAGAAAATTCTCCCATCACCTTCAAAATGGACTACAGCCTACCCATGACACCGTTTGACACCCCTCCATCTATCGCCTATTCAATCCCGATGACATTCAAAAAAGTCCCAGTGGTTGAAAGACCTATTATCCAGCTTCACGATGCGGCAACATTCGAAGGCCAGCAGCTCGGTGCTATTCTTGCAGTCAAAAGGGCATTGAGAGTCATGAATTTCTACACGCCTCTTGCGAAAGTCGGTGATTATGTCGAGGTCATAAGACATTACGATGTGAACCAACTCGAAGTCAAGAATCTTCGCACTGGTATCACAGGAACCATGAATTGGGAGGATCTACTTCCTATTCCATATGATGGGAAATGCTGCTGTTTGGATGGAGGGTGTCGATGCGTCTACGAGACTTGGCAAGTATATTCTGCACGCCGTCCACCTGGATCACAAAGTCAAAAATCGGTGCCCGTTGCTGGTGGTCAGGATGTGAGTGGGATTTATGGTAAGAATTTTGACTTTTCCATGGAGCACTGGGGATGATATACCGGTATCTACCAATACTTACTTGTCAACAGTTTCAATGCCGATTCAAACACCTGCCCCTCCGAATACGCCATGCCAATCCGATAACATCGGAATCAAGACACATCCCGAAGTAAACGACCCTTTAACCATCGCGGGACAAACTCCCGGCGCCATCTTAGCCGTGAAACACTTCGCCCATAATCCTCACGATTTTGGTCCTCTCCTCGAAACCGAAATCGGAGATCGCTGTAGATATCTGGAGGCCTGTGAAGGAGGTTGGGGTAAGGTGCGGGTGAAGAATCTTCGCACGGGGAAGGAGGGGTTTCTACGTTGGGAAACTTTCAAGCCGGTCAACGTGAGAAACAAATGTTCTTGTATTAAGAGCTACTGTTATTGCGAGTATGAGGATTTTGAGAAGAGTAGAGCTTATTGCGAAGCTCAAAGATGATGGGTTTAGGTTCGAGCTTAGTTTGATGACGAAATGATGTTATGATAGGTACAGATTGTAAGGTCAAATAATGGATATCACGTTTTCTTCACCTACATGCTACTGTGATATGCTTCTTTGCCAAATTGTTTCGGCGCCACTTAATATTCATACCAGTTATCAGGAACTTCAATAAGACTTAGCAAACGACAACGTTGTTATAGCTAGTGAGATAGAAACTCTTTACTTCCAATGTTTTCAGTGCTAAGTTTGAGCGGAGATATCTTGATGCCATGCCGGGCCTTTTGTTCTTATGTAAAAAGAATATCTCAGTGGTTGATTTTCCTTCACTTATATCATTCTGTTGGTACCCCTTCGAAAAATATTCCAAGTTTGGATCGAAGTCTAGAGTACTACTCTTCTACATTTATAAAGGCATCTATTACCATGGCATTCTTGGGAACCTTGTCCTGCATAATTAGTAGTAAAGAACAAATCATTTATTCTAGTTGTGAGTTTCCTGTTCCATTTACATCTTTTAACACCTAGCACACCAGTTTTGCAAGCCAGCAGGGATGAAAGAAATGGTTTATACTCTGCCAACCTAGGTATGTGATATGATGAATGCATGTTCAGTCTGGAAAGATCATAACGAGATGAGTTTCAAATCCAAGAAATTACTTGAATCTACTCGAGTATTGAAGTCAACAAGCTGCACCAAGATGGAGCTTTAATTGTAAATCATAAAATCCATGTAATTGGCCTTCTTCATTGATCGTGGATGTCAATAACGCCACTTTAAGAACCAAGTGGCTGCTTATGCATTCTCATCCACACCGCTCTCCAAAGAACTTTTTATGTAATCTTCAAACTCCTGAATTAGGTCCTGGTACTGTATATCGCATCTCGAATCAAAACAGCCATCGCCGGGGCGAAAATGCGCCTTATAAACATTTCAACTTTATGTCTCGAGGAATTTTACGACGGCGATATTCCACCATATGCCATCCTTTCGCATCGATGGGCCAAGAAAGAAGTACATTTCACAGCATGCAAGGCGGGGATTGCATCAACGACGAAGGTTTTGCCCAAATTGAAGGGTGTTGTGCGCAGGCCGCTCGAGATGGTTGGATGTATATTTGGATTGATAGTTGTTGTATCGACAAATCGAGGAGTGCCGAACTCTCGGAAGCGATCAACTCGACATTTAAATGGTACCAAAATTCCAGAGTTTGCTATGCATATTTAGGCGACGTTGAAAGTAGTCTTGATCCTTCTAGATCAGCAGATTTCAAATCTAGTAACTGGTTTACTAGAGGATGGACTCTACAGGAACTTCTTGGCCCCAAAACATTGGTTTTCTTCGACCGAAACTGGAATTTGATTGGTAGCAAGGAAGACCTTCAAGTCGACCTTCGAAAAATCACGGGAGTTCTGAATATAGATAACTGGAGAAGCGCTTCGATTGCCCAGAAGCTGTCTTGGGCTTCTCAAAGAATAACAACAAAGATTGAAGATCTGGCCTACAATCTCCTAGGTCGATTTGACGTTAATATGTCTCCACTATATGGAGAAGGCAAGAAAGCTTTTATAAGACTTCAATTTGAAATACTGGCTGTATCCGATGATGAGACTATATTTGCATGGAGAGATGCGAGCGAAATGGGAGGAGGGTTACTTGCCCATTCTCCAGCAGCGTTTTGTGATTCCGCTGATTCAATCTCCAGACCATTTCATACGATTCAGAAATGGAATCCAAACTCAATAAGGAGGCCATACCTGATGACAAATAAGGGCCTAAAGTTGGAACTACCACTAGCGACGCCCTTTACCGATTGCTCCTGCGGTTATGTTAAGCATCTAGCACACGAATCTTTAGCCTACCCATCAGACACTAAACTTGCCCCTTTACAGTGTTGTTATGAGGGAAACACAAATTCGGGCAATCCATACGTGTTGGCGGTATACCTTATCCGTAATCGCGGTAACGAGTTCACCAGAATTGATCCTGGGTGTCTCGAAACTATTGACATTCGTCAACTCGACAGACGTCAACCCTCGCACAGAAAAGACGGAACATCTCCCTGCCTAGACAAATTTTCGGCTTTAAGAATAGAAGAGCATATGGATAATATATTTGTCAGGCAGCGTCAACCTATGGATGTAGAAATATGTGAGCCTTATGATATATGGATAGAGACCAAGGAACTCACAGGAGTAGGTTTCTCTATGACATCCGAATGGCTTTCTAATACTCGTCAGACGAATGTGGTAAAGCTTCAGGATGGAATACGAGTGCGAGCCAACCAATTGCAGCCGAATGGTATGACAGCTATAATGACCTTCACCCATTTCAATAGAATTGACAGAGGCTACATGGGCATTTATGCCCTTGTCTTAAACGTCACAATCACCCAGCGCGGACCTCTAATTAGTATGATGGAGGTACCAGTGCATCAGAAACAAAGAATAGTTGAGTATGAGCAGGAGAGTTTCAATGACGGAAAAGCACCACATGCAAAGCCTCTCCTCAAGCGCCACTATGCCGGAGGTATAGTCGCCCGATCCTAACGAAGGTTGGAGATAGTCCTCCCTGTCTGAAGTACACAATCCATTTCGAATTCAAGAAAATGACGCTGCAAATTCATGGTGGTAAAAGAACCAGCTTGAAGAGAGTTTTTAGTGGTCTCTGGCCGCAGTGATGATATGAGCGTTCAGCGATATGTTATCATCCCTAATTTGAAACAATTTTGCACCAAATTTCATAATGCTGAAAATCTTAGCATTCAAGAATTCAATAATTGACACAATTGACTTGACACTCGGATTAGGTCAGTACAAATTGTCCCCAAAGTGACGTATATCCATCCATTCGCTCCGTGCGGACTCGGGAAACCGGTACCAATTTCTCGTTCTGCCCATGTTTATTCGAAATTGGCGTTTCCAGAGGTCTAGAGGGGCTCTCGCTCGCTACCACTTTCTGATTCTTTGGGGACGGAGGTAGGGAGAATCTGAATTGAGTTCCCACAGACTCGTTTACAAGATTCGTATCGAATAATAAACGTATTATTTCCCCCCAAGTCTCTACCAAATTCATCTACCTGAGCACGACAACTCGAAAGCCCAAGGCGTGGTAACATCCACCGCTGTCTGATAAGTCGGGAAACTCAACGTAACCCAGTATACTCAAGGATCGTTTGATCCCACATCAATTCTTAAAATCTCCAGGTCCGAGTATTCAGGCTTCCTTCACTCAGTACGTCAAGAGCACCCACATTCTCTGGTGTAAGTGTTGAAGTGCTGTTTTTAAGTCTCGTTCCAAGTAGAATTCGGAATTCGCTTCAGAGACAGTAGCGTAAGTATCGAGCCAAACGGTCTAGGGAACATATAGTTCGAGTACCGTAGCCGGTCATGTTTGTGGCGTAGTATTCGTAGAATTGCAGTTGACCGTTAGGATGATACCTTTTTCACTGTTCAATGGACCTCCATATATTGACTCGGCGAGATAACCACTGGTCCAAATTTCTCGGATGTTCGTGTGGCTCTACGATAACACCGGAAATCAGATACTGATCCATCTGCTATCTGCCATATTCGAACGAAAACAGTAAGATCGTCGCAAAAGATGTTGTTGCCGGTGGATCTTATATATTGGCACAAGCTGTGATGCAGATTACTTCCATCTGAGAGATGATACCCACAGATCGAAGCCTATGGCACAACTGTAGACCTAGACGATAATCGTGAAAAGAATCTGTACTTCAGTGGTTATGAACCAACTCAATGGCTTCCAATGAAGACGGAGCCGCTAGTTTCACAAGGATTCGCATGCCGATAGACGGAAACAGAGCAAGATCAATCATACATCAAATGATGCTGCCTGACAATGAACAAGACCAGAATTGAGTTGAGCCTGTACCTTGGGTTGCTAGCATTTAAAGCCCGGTAGCTCAAAAGGATGTTAACATAACATGCTCACAAAAAGGAAATGACATGAATAAAAGCATAAAAACAGCTGTTTCGATGTCAGGTCATGATTCAACTTTGATTGTGACTTTAGAGTGAATTTTCAAAAGGAGACAAGAAAGGTTCACTTAAACCTGGATTTTGTCATTCAAATGGCCAACCCAATTACTAACATATCACCTTTGTGGATAATATGTAGTCCTCAGAATTCATTTCTTTAAAAATTCAAGACAAATCTTGGCTCTCTCTAATATTTCTTGTGGGATCCAATCGGACAAAGGTTTCACCGATCTCCACCATGAATTACTTTCACCGCCTTGCTTCTGCTTCTGCTTCGGCTTCTGCTTCAAAAGCTCAAGCTTCCACCTCCCAATCTATCCTCAATTTCTCCAAATCCCAACCTCAACCAGATATGGAGAACCACCGACTTCAAGATGAGTCTTCCACAGTGGCAGTCTCTTCTCCGTCCGAATCCAAGAAACCAAGGAAGAAGAAGGTTCTGTTGATGGGAAAATCAGGTTCGGGAAAGAGTTCCATGAGAAGCATCATCTTTTCCAACTATGTCGCAAAGGATACGAGACGATTGGGAGCAACAATTGATGTCGATCTTAGCCATGTCAAGTTTCTGGGAAATTTAACACTGAACCTGTGGGACTGTGGAGGGTGAGTTCTTATTATCTTATACAAACAGAGGTGCGGGGTAGTTTCACCCATAAGTTGCGTTGGCTTTTTGGCAGACGTTACAAGATCCAAAATTGGCCCTGCAATACTGTTCGCAGTTCAGTGGTAATTCCTGGGGCCATCTGCTTCTAAGGCTGCTGTCTTTGCGATCTCATGCCCCAACATGGCTAACAAACAATAGGCAGGATGCATTCATGGAAAACTACTTATCTCAACAACGTCAACATGTCTTCTCCAGTGTCGGTGTCCTTATTTACGTTTTCGATATCGAATCTCGAGACTTCGACCGTGATCTTTTAACATATCGCTCGATCATCACCGCTCTCACTCAATTTTCGCCAACCGCAAGCATTTACGTCTTAATACATAAAATGGATCTTGTCCTTCCGAACCAACGTGAGGATATCTTCCATGAAAAAGTATCACTTATCCGATCCAAGTCAGAATCGTTCAGTATCGTGCCATTTGCGACATCTATTTGGGATCAATCACTTTACAAAGCATGGGCAGAAATCATTCACGATCTAGTTCCAAATCTCGGAGAAATAGAAAGACATCTCTCTTCACTCGGTGCCATCATTGAAGCCGAAGAAGTTCTTCTATTTGAGCGCTCCTCATTTCTTGTTGTCTCAAGCTGGACATCGCAGGAGGGAGAAATGAATCCTACCACCGATCGATTTGAGCGTCTCTCGAATATAATCAAGAATTTCAAACAAAGCACTTCTCGTTATACCGGTACACCGAAGTCCACCGAACAATTCAGTTTGTTTGAATTGAAGATGCCAAACTTTAGCTTATTTGTCGTCAAATTTACAACCAATACATACCTGGCGGCCATTCTTCCACCTGGAGAGGAACGTTTCAACTGTGCTCTTGAAAATGCGAAGATTGCTGCGAGAGACTTTGAAGAACTTGACAGTCCGGCAAGAAAGAGTGCTAATAGAGGAGCAACAATGAACGAGGCTAGGTATGCTTAAACAAATGGGGCGATCAATTGGTTCATAGATAAAAACTCTGACATGATGATATGACTTGATGAAATGGGTGATGGTATGGCGTTGGATTCCGGAATACCCTGGGCGTTCTATGTATATGTACACTGGCGAGAGAGGCAAGGCAGGGTGGTTGAAATTATATGGCCGGTCCTAGAATTTACTTAAAATATTTGATGCTCGTAGAATTGTGACTCAAAAGATATGCCAATTTCGCGTGACAAAACCATGTCTGGGAACACACACACACATAGGGTCATAACTTTGCTCATAGGTCAATCATAATATCAACTGATGGTTTGTGGAAGGAATTTGGGTTCTAGACACCAATTTTCGAAATCGCTTCAATTTACGTAATAAACTTAGGTTTATTAAGTGTGTGATGATACTCCAGAACCCTCTTATGGTAAGATTGTGATAATACTAAAGGCCGTTTTGAATCGATATAAAATACAGGAAGATTTGCTGAAGAAGGCCATATTGTCATCTCTTACAATCCAAACACCATGGATCTCATACTCCTACATCGTTTCGAACACTTAGAGGAACGAATCCAAATCCACATCGAGACCACAGATCTTTGTATCTATTGCACACATCAGTATTGAACTCGACAAACCTCCAATAAACATCAAGGGGGAAAAGAAACAAGGATATACACACCAAGACGATACTGCTTAGCAACGGCCTTTGTCCAACCCCCCATGAAAGTATCCACCGTATTCACACCCTCCTTATAATCCTGCTGCACAGCCCACAACGGCAACTCGCTCCCAATATCCGTACTGCGGCTCGCAAACATGCCGCTCCATTGATTTCCATTAGCATAGATGCCCCATTTCAACCCCGTGGCTTTCATCGCGGAAACCCATTGCTTGGCGAGTTTTTCATTGGCGGCAGCGCCTAGATTCCAGGCGTTGCAGGGGTAATTGGAGACGGAGGTGGGTTCGAGATCCAGCCAGAGGGTATTGATGTTCATGTGGTTGTCGGAGATTACTTTGAGGTATTCGGCTATTTGCGTATCGACGCTCTTGCATTTTGGCTCGGAACCGGTGGGCGTACCGCTGCAGGGAAATATGTAGGAGTCGATACCGGTGAAACCGGCGGCTTTCGCATTTTTGTAGGAGGCGGCGAAGTTTTTGTCTACTTGACCGCCGGTGCCGCATGCTTGTTGGTAGCCGCGGATGGCGACCACGTCTTTGGTTTTCTTGGCGCACGCAAAAAATTCTGGGGTTCCGAGTTGGGATATATCGATTCCTAGAGACCCAGCGCCAGTAGATGGTAGTGGAGTGGTACCGCCACCACTTTTAATGCAGCACTGATATTTATTAATATGAAGGACGTTGAGGTTTTGGGGAAATCAAACTTGTATGTCAGCAGGTCCGGGGCAAAGACCAGAGCTAGAGGATCCACTAGAGCATGCTACAGATGTTGCTTGGCATGCCCCTTTTCCGCTGGAACATGTTGCTACGCAGCATTGATTGTCTGCACCACCGGGACAAGCACCAGCTATATATTTTCCGCCTGAGCAAGCACGAGAAGTGCTCTGACAGAAACCGGGACCACTTGATGTCGAGCAAGCAATTGATGCTCTAGGCACCAGGCGGTTGCTGGAAGCCACAGCAATGATGCCTGCGAAGGCGATGAAACTCTTGAGAAGAGACATAGCCGAAATTTTTAAATAATTGAATGAAGGAAGAGTATAGAAGATGAGATGGGAGATAATATATCAGTAAAAATATGAGCGTGAGAATTATGACGCTGCTACGTTCATATATCTTTATATCATCACAGTTCTTGATGATCAGCCTCACATTGTGCATTATCATCACCTTAATTTCCACATTGTTCAGCCTTGCACACAGCCAGTTCGTCACGATGTGCGAACCCCTATTCTTGTGTGAAGCAAGTAGAATTCTGCAGCCTGGGTAGGATTCGTGAATCCATCCATCGTTTTTCATAGAATAATTCCCAGAGAGCAGATTTTGTAGATCCTTAATCTCCTCCAAACTTGGGACGGGGACGCGGATAAACGCTTGATGTTGCATTCAGCCACCTTGATTCAAGTTGATTGAAAGTTGAAATGCCTTGACTTCTTGGCATCATTCAAGCTCTGAGAGAAGCAGCTAAGGATGATAGGGAAATGTCTTTCACACGCGTTTAGACAGGTCGTTCCTGATCTCATAATTCTTGAGAAAACCTTCAAGGAAAAGAGGGAGGTGCGTCGGGTGGGTTGTTGTATAACGTTGAGCATGTAACCTTACTGCTTATATAATTATGCCTTGTATTCATGTTGTACCACCACAATATCTCCCACTTCACTGGGATATCAACTGTCCCAATACCGATCTATTTTGATTACAGACAAAGCGAAATATTGTTTCTATGACCACTGATATTGTTACATCTTATTGTCGATTATCATCGCGTATTGGTGGGCTTCTCTTGGAGAGCGCCAGCAAATCCTTTGGTTCCACAACTGAGATCAACGGGCACATTTTGGCTTACCCGTCGGTGTATATCTTTTCCCGATTCAAACCACTACCTGACATCACAAGTTCATCGCCAGAATACATTGCTGTTCATATTGATCTAGAAGCCAAGTGTCAGAGCAACACAGCTGATCCACTAGGAATGGCACAATAGTCAAAGCCTCCACATCTGTGTAAATATGTGATTATGCGCCTGGACATGGCGAGAAGAATACTGGACAGACGATCTCGGGACTTAGGGTACAGCTTTGGTGGAAAAAATCTCATTGTTGATGCCGACACCCCTCTCATTGAATTTCTCGGTCATCTCCATGGAAGAATCTCAAAATTGCACCAGCGACCGCCATCCCATCATGTCTTAGATGTGCGGTGTCTTTTCCCTCCTCCGCTATTTCCTCATTCTCGATTCCGCCACTCTCAACACGCATATCAATCTCACGATGTACCATATCTTCATCAAAACCCAGATGTCCCTGACTGGTAAATAACCTTTCCTTCATATAGAGACCTTGAATCTTTGTATGCTCTGTACTGGCCCAAACATGCACGATATCGTCCTTGGAAAGCAAGTCTGTTGTCGACGCTGATGGAACAGTAGTCACTTGATCCTGATGCATCTGGTGCAGACTGAGTGTTTTATTCTTTGTTTGGAACAACTTTTGGCCCACAGACGTCAGATTCATTTCCGTATGTGCCAACTCCCATCTTCCAGCCGGTTCTTGTTCAACCTTTGCTCCCAAAGCCCGTGATAATATTTGGTGGCCAAAACAAACACCGCTGAATTTCATATCCTTCCGTTCAATCCACAAAGCTCGCAAGAACTGCAATAATTGTTTGATCCACGGATTGTCCCCGTGAGCATCGTACATGCTACCCGTGATCAATATGGCTTTAATTGATGGATCGATGTCAGAAACTTGAGGAACATGTCCATGTTGGTCATTCTCAAGATCATCTACAACATAGTGCATTTCTGTCTCAATGTCCAGTGGTGGATCGTGTTCTTTTCCGGCATTCTTGAATAATGAGTTGAGGATATCACTATATCCGCCCTTATCGTCCTTAATATCAGGATGTGGCGAATCTGTCTCGAGGACCAGCATTCGAACTGGCATTTCAGATTCCTGGATTGCTATAGTCTTGATACCAACTCGGTCAAAACTGAAGCTATGCCGCGATGGAATTATTCGAACTGAGGAGGTTTGTTGTCGTCTCGTCACCGAATGGAAAGATGCTGTCTTTGATCCTTGCCGCAATAACTGGCGAACCAAACAATCAGAGGAGAATCTCATGATGTATATCATTTATCCTGAATAACACTGATGGATATAATGCAAATGAACATGAGACATGACGGGATTTCTCCATACCTACTAGACTTATCCGGCTCTTGGCCAATGCCAAGCCATATTTGGCACCGTCATCAAGCGCCACCTCTTCGACCATTCGGTGTACTTCACTCTTCACCATTTTCCTCAATTCAGAGGGCGATGTTGGTCCCCGTACAAGGCTAAAATGATTTTTTATGACCTTGTGCCAATCCCAAAGCCAAGACACCAGACCTTTAGTCTACTAGTGACGTCTACCATTGGATTCTTCCTTCACCCCCTAAATAGCATATCAGTATTCACGCTTTTGCTGAACATTGAAAGCCTTTTTTGAAGATTCCATGGAATACCGGTAGCGCCGTCCAACATTCAATTATTTGGGGAATGCAACACTCTTTGCAATTGACAGGTCGAAATGCGAGCAACTCTTAGAATGTTGATGGCTCGGTCCACGCTCGGGGCTCAAGGGCTCTAACATAGTCCTGGCAGCAGGGAAAGGAAGTAAAAGGAAGTAGGGAGTGAATCAACCTTGACCAACAAATATATGCTGTACTTAATCAGTTGCATGCAGGTCAACCCCAAGACCTACCATAATTCGAAATGTTTGCTCTGCGGAAAAATCTCGAAGGTCTGCAGCTTTTAAGATTACCCACCCTTCCTTCATTGGGTGGGTCTAGAACCCTTGATAAGAGAAAGACCAATTGCGATCCCCACCCTTTACCAGCACAGCGACTCCATCCTCTTGACCTCCACAAGAAAAACCAACCGTAAGTTCATGTTTGGAATCTTTCCGCAACGTGAGATAAAATCCAACTTGCGAATTTTGGCCCTAGGCCGCAGCCATGTCGTTGAAGTATCGGTATTTTCACGAACCAGGGCCGAGTCTTCGACTCTGAGGACTATGACCACATGAGAATCAACATGCATGGCGGCTTCATCAACCTCGTTCAAGCACCATTGCGTACCTAGTAGTTACTGCCGGATTGCCTTATCGGCATACTCCTTGAACGTTACGGTTCACGGTACGCTGGTACCCGGTCGATTGGGTCATTAGAGCCATGCTACACGCTGCCCTGCCTGCATCTCGAATCTTCCTTCAAAAATCTCCCACCAAATGACTTTGGTTGTAGCACCTTCGCCACAGATTAAACGGAAATCTTGGTACAGGAGAACAAAGATTGATCCCACTGTGAAAGAGAAGAGGACCACCAAAGGTTCACTCGGGATATACTCGAGTACAACATACAAGTATGTCTCCCTGATGAGTCTATATTCTAAACAGGGATTTCTCACAATAATATGTACTACAACTTCACAGCAAAATGTAGACAAGTCACCAGTTCTCTCGTAAATACAGTACACTTATCCGAAAGGAAAAGAACCTATCAAAAAAGATATAGAAGATTTGGCATATATGGAATTAGCGATGCTCGATTGATCTCCAGCAACGGTCGAGTTCTAGGAATTTTAAACAAGCTTGATTAATGGCAGGTTACTCTCGAACCATTAGCGAGGCGCATCGCCGAAGAAGATCTCGACTTTGTAACTATCTACATAATAAGAGCGCACTGGTTAACAACAACACGCAATAGCTTTCATTCGGCTTTCTTTGCGCAAACTCCTGCTCTTGTCTATCGACCCAGTTTTGAAGCGTTCGTAAAACTTTGTAAGATAGTCGTTGCACGCCCATTTTTAGATGGGATTTGTATTCTATGCTGGCGTCGTTCCATTAACAACAACAGCAGCGAGGTTCGGAGCCATTTCTACACGGAAAGGAGTCATGAAAGTGCTGCTAGATATTATTTCTAGGAGAGAGGGTAACCGGAATGCCGCAATTTGTGTCAAAATTGCGATTACACTGTCTCAATTTGTTGAACGATGGAAAGAAAGTACAGTTCGGTCCCCATCCTCTAGTGACTGGACCTGGCTGGCGGCAGGAGAACCTTTTATTTCCAGCACAACTTCCATTCCAATGTCCTTCGAATAGTTCGACAAGCACAAGCTCCGTTTTATCTCTAGCCCAATGACTAGCAGCTAGCACTGGGGATAGCAGAACCTTCGTTTCCAGAAAAGACACAATGTAATTGTACTTCAACAACCAAATATTCACAGTGTTGCAGTCAACCACTCGGGAAAAGAGTACGGTTGTGGAAGAAGTATAGAACATGTTGCCTTCACCAGAGCCAACGCCCAGATATCAAACCTCTGAAGCACACTCTAGGACCCCCCGGCTAAGATTCTATTCACAAGGAGGATATAATCTGCATTAATATGATTGACATAGCGGCGGAACAATTCCTGATGGCGGCAGAAATCTGACTAGATTGGCTTTGTGGAAACATCTTAATTTGGTGTATCAAGTCGTCCCAAGTACTGCGACGACTTTGATCGTTCTGTGCATATAACCTCTAAGCACAATGGGGCTGGTGGGTCGGAAATAATAAGCACATTGTTGTGGCTTCACTATCATATCTTATTTGCAGCGAATGTTTACTGTTTATTATACTATAAACTATTCTCTATTTGGATAAGATTACATATACTATTTTGTTATTCCCTTTATTATTTACAAATAATCGAAAAATGTTAAATCCATTTCCAGTCTTAGTTTCGCTATTCTTCTAATATTTGTTATTTTATTGAAAATGTCTTATAATATATCCTCGCGGAACTTCGAATTTCTTCCCTGGCATACCAGGCTTTATTATGTGAGAAGTCTCGCCAGTATACGGTTACAGTTGCCTGATAGCTGAAGCAAATGTGTGTTTGTTTTTGAAATAATGATTATATGGTGATCATCAATAGAAAACATCTTGAGAATATAATGAATCCTATCAAATAATGCTGGTATCTGAGAAAGCAACAAACGAAAAAAAGTAAAGCCAATGTACACCGAGTTTCATCGAAAAGTTCCTGCAGACAGCTTTGCTTGCAGTAAGAATGGATCTAGTTTCTGTCTGTGCGGATGCAAGATTATTAGCTTATGGAAAAGTACTTCATTATAAGTATCTAATGAAGATCTTTGAAAAATCAAATGTATCTAAAGTATCACTGATGTAATAAAACACCAGAATAATCACAACCATTGTTCCTTATTGTTCAATCTGCTTCAGAAATAGATAATCTACTGTATAGAAAAGATTACAAACTTGCCTTAAAAAAAATTCTCTACTCTTCGTTGTATTATAGCCTGTACAAAGTAGGTCCCTGACATTGAATTCATTGAGCCCTTTCAGAATTCAACCTTAGTAAAACACTCGACTTACAGGATTCGAAAAGCACCCAAACCTGATTTTTCCATTGCTGCCCTTTCCTCCCGCTATTTTGAACTATCGGCAATTCACTTATTTAAAGTCCCAGCCTCGACCCATTTTCGCATATCCTTCTTCTCCCTCACAACCTCAACAACTTTTTACAACTTCCATCAACTTCAATCACCACTTGATCCATAATCTATCTACATCTATCACATAACATTCTCGAGCATTGTAAGTATTCCTCTCACTCCTATTTGCATTTTCTTGAGTATATACCTTGGTTATACTCTTTTACTGACTTTGATTTTCAGATCGACCTCGTCGACGCCGTAGAAATCGCACTCACGCCACCACATAACAACAACACACCCCCAAACAAAGTAAGATACAATCTTCTGTTCATCTTATTCATTTTATTCTTGGGCATCCATTCCCGTCGATGTTGTACCGTTGTCCATCTTGACAAATACATTCCCATCACATTTGTCGCGGAGTGCACTGTTTGGATCCTTCGATCTATTTCACCTTTGCTTTGCTTAAGCATATCCAGCATTCACTGTTTATTGAGCATTATCGATCGGTTTTATTGTTGCCACTTCTTCTTTCCTACTTTTACTTCTACTTCTACTTCTACTTCTACTTCTACTTCCACTTCCTACTCTTCTACCATCCACTCATTATTACTTCATCTTCACATCCAACTACCAATTGTCCAACTGTAGAACCATTCATATCTAAATAACCATACTGATTTATCCATTCTCAGAATTCCAGTACCGCAAAGATGCCAAACTGGAAGACCTACGAGGCGACCGGTATGTTCATCGGACAATTACTTCTCTTGTCGATACTAACCCAATGGTGATAGTCCGACTCCTTTCAGCAATCGTTGCTGCTCATCCCGGAATGAAGCTCGACTACGCTGGTTAGTGAACGATTTCATCTCATCTCATCCTCCTTTTCCTCTTCAACATATATCCTTCACACTATCGATTACCCTGCAAGATTCTTCTTTTTCCCTTTCTGTAATCCCTGATTTTGCCAGAAACTGCCAAGTATTACGGAGATGAGTCGAATTACCACCAAATCTGGAGCCGGATGAGTATTTTCAATAGAAATTCCAAACTACTTCACAAAGCTGTCGAAGCCGGAATCAATCCGTCTACCATCGCGCTCGAAGATGGTGTGAACGTTAAGAAAGGTATCATCGTGGAGCCCGACCTATTGTTTCTCATCTTTACTGTTGCAGCACATTACATTTTCTCGCATGCAGTCTTCTCGATTGTATATTGATTTTCATATAGCAATCAGTGTTAGATTCGGTGGCGATTGTACCGTCTCTGCACTCGACAACAGATTTAGGCGTCTGAAGTCTGATGCTAAATTAATCAACACTGCTGTTATTAATGGAGAAGACCCTATCAAAATGAATGTGGGCGACACGGATGGTAACATTGCCTACAAGGGCAAGGGTGGTGGTAATGAACTGATGTTTAATTTCATCTTGCAACTTCTACAGCACACAAACACATTTTTATTTCAGTTGCCTGCACTAATGCAACACTAGAGATCTCTGCATTCATGGGATCAGCAGTTCCAGCTAGTCACATTCAATCCCAACACCGGGAAACAATCAAACCTCTTGCTGAACGCTTAATTGCTATGCGTGATGCTGGCGAAGACTGCAAGAACGTCGATTTGCAAGACCTAGGAACTCGTCGTTACAAGGCTGGTCAGGAAGCTCTGCCTATGTTTTTTTGAAGTCCTCTTTACAACTCCACATAGCACTAAGCACTTTTTCTTGTTTCCGAGCTACACTGATATCCATTTAGAAGTTGCTGCAAAAATGGGTTCAGATGTTACCCCTCTTGGCGTCAAAGCACAATTTACCCGAAGCTTCAAGGTTCTAGCTGCTCGTCAAAATTCCTTGTGTGCTGCTGGCAAAGACCCCAAGGATGCCAGTTTGGATAACTTGGGTAGTCAAAAACAGCCTGGTGATTCTTTTACTTATCAGAAAATCATGTCCATATTTTTTGGGACAATTTTGCCTCTTCACATACCACCAAGCACATTCTCTTATGTTTGAACAGAACTGATATCATCTCCAGAGGTTGCCAAGTACATGGGCTCTGATGTCACCCCTGTAGCTGTCAAGCAACAGTACAATGTAAACATCAGAGCTCTTTCACGCCGTCAAACCTCTATGGTTGATGCCGGTAAAGACCTAAAGGATGTCTTGGACAGCTCGAAAGGTGGTCAGAAGTTCTGCCAATATTCAGTCCTCACATTATCATCACAGCACATTGCAAGATTTCATAATGTTTGAACTACACTGATACAATTACCACTAGAAATTGCTAGAATCATGGGATCGGATACTACTGTTTCATCTCTCAAGCATCACTTTCATTGCACTATCAAGGTTCTTGGTAGTCGCCAAATCTCGATGCTTGATGGAGGTGAAGATTCCAAGAATGTCAACCTTGATAAGCTAGGCTTAAGTGAACCCAAAAGTGGCCAGAAATTCTGTCTATATCTATTCTACAGCTTCTCATTACATCACGCATGACACACAGATCCTTTTATTATGTTCGGACAGCACTGATATATTGATTATTAGAGATTGTTGCAATTATGGGATCAGATGTTACTACTGAAGCCATCAATCAACAAATTAGCAAGCGTATTAGGGTTCTTGGCAGTCGTCAAACCAAGATGCGTGCAGCTGGTCAAGATCCTAAGGATGTCGATATGGAAGATCTGATGCCCTCTAAAAAGGACAAAGGTGGTCAGGAGTTCTGCTCATCTTCTACACATCTCCCTCAAATATCACATTGCACATCACTCCTTACATGAGGCCATGACTGATCAACCACAGAAATGGATAGACTCATGGGAGATTGCACAGTAAACGGTCTTCGATTTCAATTCGATACCCGCTATAAGACTATCGCCAAACGTCAAAAGGCCATGCTGGCTGCAGGCATAAATCCATCCACTGTGGACATTTTCACCAGTGGCAAGGACTGCAAGGATATCACATTCAATTCTAATGGTCATTTTGAATATTCTAAACAGTTTTCTTTTCCTCGCAAACACACTTGCATATTTCCTAGCACTCCACCACTTTGCTCTCGATATTAATGTTAGTCAACAGAGATGGCGAAGCACTACAGCTCTGACGCAGACGCCACCTCAATCTCCTGGCAATTTCGCGGTATCAGAGCTGGTGCCAAGATCCAAAAAGACGCGCTGGCCAACGGAAAAGATCCCAAGGACTTTAACGTAGCTGTCAACAATAGAGGCGAACCCAGAGTTCGTGGTGGTCGTCAGGGCAAGTGTGCTCTAAGGCGGCTATTTTCCTATCAGCATTTTCTTTTCATCTTGCACTATTTTTCCTTTACAAAACATCTGCAGAACATCAATTAACCTCCCATCATCTAGAAATCCACAATATGTTTGGCAAGGACTCTACGCCAGGCGGACGGAATAGAATTCCAATTTCGAGCTCTCAAGGCCAATGGCCGTCGCCAGCGCGAAGCTTTTAATGCTGGAATTGATCCACAGACCCTTAAGTTTGATGGCAAATGCGAGAATCCCCCTTGTCATATTTCGTACCACATACCAGTTCAAGCCTTTTTTTTTTTTTTTTTTCATTTAGCACCAGCACATTTCCTTCATTTTTGAGATAAGACTCAGTTATTAATTTACCTTACAGCAATGGCGAAGTGGTTGGATGATGGTCGCACTGCATCTGCCTTGGAACATCAATTTCGACCCATCAAGGCTGCTGCTAAAAATGGCTCATGCAATTTCCCCTTCCCTCGTTTTTCAAATCGATCCATATTTCTTATCGTCATCCATCCATCCATAGCTACCACTCACCACTTCTAGGATATCATGCTAACATATTCCAGCCACCGCCGAAAAATATGGTGATGGTACTACAGGTAAGGCTATTTCTACCCGATTCGAAAGGTATGTCACTCTCTTTCTCTCTACGGACTCCAAACAAAACTAACACCCCTATAGAATGCGCAAAGAACCCTCTTGGGATCTCAGCACCTCGCCCACATCTACTAACAACGCCTTAGGAACCACCTCAAAGAAAAGCCGTGCTCCACGCACTCCCAAGAAGTCCGCCAAGAAGACCGCCGCCGCTTCCAGCAATGAAGGAGACGATGATTCGGAGATGGAAGTTGTCACACCATCCAAGAAGTCCTCTCCCATCAAGAAGGAAGGTTTGAACAAGGTCAAGGGTGGCCGGGTTGAGAAGAAGAGTGGTACCCCGGGACGTGCAGCTAAGAATGGTATCAAGAGCTACGTCGACAGTGATGACGAGGGTGAGGATGATGATATGATGTTGATCAAGGATGAGGATGTTGGAGCTTTGGACTTTGGTCGTGCGGCCGATGGTGATGAGGATTTGCTTGGTGGAGATGGCTTTTCAATGGGTCATGGAAATGGAGGTATGGGTGCCCATGTTGATGAGGATGGGGACCAATTTTATGATGATGAGTCTTAGATGGATGGAGGTTTGGGATGTGATGGATGGATAGGCGATTGGAGATCTTGCTCGTAACGACATGGTTTCTAGCTTGGGTTCAGGAGCTGGTACGACAAATTTCTCACTTCGATGCTTGATGCTTCATACTCCGACTCGATTCATGGTTTCACTCCACTCAACTACATTGTCGACTTCTCACTCACTTCTTACTTTTTCCAATTTCGCCTCTCAACATCAGCTTTCTGTCTGCAGTTAGGAGAAAATCTGCTTGCTAACCTGCTTGCTTGATTTCCTTTACTTCTCTGCTGTGCTCCGCTTTACATTTTCATTGCAAAAATTGCAATACCTTGCGATATTTCGTTTCTTTTCGTTTCGTTTCATTTCGACAAATTCAAATTCAAATTCACATCACAACAGCTCACCTCGGAACATCCATCACACCACCATGTCGCATACCACCTATTCACCACATTTTCGTTCTTGCTACCTACCTACCCACCTCGACTTTACTTGTACTTTTCGGAAAGGCTGAGCTGGTTTTCCGATCTTGCTCTCAAATTCGAAGTCGTTCTCGGTTTAAATTCCGTTTGTGGGTATGGATTGGGTTTTTGCATTCATGGTCTTGGTCACACATGCATGGATTGCAAACACAAGCTAGGGAGGGGGTTTAGGATGGAGGATTTGGGCATTGGGATGGATAGAAGGGTTGGACATATGGTTCTATGGGGTGTGGTTTGATGAGGGCGCGAATTGATGATATGATCTGCTATGGATGGGATGGATAAACGATCCTTGGTGCTTCTTTTGTTTTACGGATTTCCTTTCTTTTCCTTGGTTTGGTTTGGTCTAGTCCGCTTGGTTTGCTTTACTTTAGGTTTACCTAGGGAAAGAATTCCAAAGAGAGTTTTTATGGGACATTTGTGATTTTATGATTTTATGATTTCATGGCTTCACGATCTCATGATTACTGGGCGGATAAACAAATGGAATCACTTACACTTACACTTACGCTTCAGAGAGAGAATCTGAACATTTCAAATGTGATCAGAAATTTCAATTTGAGTTTAACTATCCCCAAGCCCTTATACGCCCAACACCTGCGTAACGATCCCCACCTGCAATGCAACTATGTACTTCCTTTCCCTCATATCCTTCCTTCCTTCCTTCCTTTCATTTAACATTTGGTTCATGATATTCTCTCATATCTAAGCATCACATCCAATAACCCAGACCAATCAATAAAGCAAACCCAAGCAACCAAGCACCTACTGCAAAAGGACATCCCACAACCCCTCACCCTCCACATACGCATGATGAATAACATTAACCAACCATACATCCTCTTTAATGCCATCAATGACCTTCCTAGTCGCACTATCCTTTCCATAAACCCTGGCCCACTCACCCCAGATACCAAAAGATTCTTCCGCCCACGCTCTGAAACTAACTTCTTCGATGATGGTCGGAGTGATGATTTCTTTCCCTGGGAATGCACCCCAAGTGACGGCATTGGTACTTCCGACACCTTCGTCGCTGGATATGAAATCACCTTTGGCGTTCGAGGCATAGAAGGAGACCGTATCGCGAAGAGCGGGGGATGTGAGGTTTGTGTGTAGGGTTTCCCAATCAGAGGCGGGGATGAAGAGTTCTACAAAGGCTTTTTGGAAAACAAATCCATTTTTGGGTCCCCATCCAAAGATTGAGTCGTTGGATTTGAGTCCATTAACTGCAGGTTGAGAAGCTACTGTCCACCAACCTTTCTTATTGAGACTAAGGAGTTGTTTTTTGATGGAGTTTGTTTCTTCGTTAAGTGCTTCTTCGCTCCAGGGGATAGCAGTGAGTTGGCCTTCCAAGTGACGAATGAAGATGTCGGTAATATCAGCCCTAGAACTTGGATGTCCCCAGAGTTTAATAGCTTGATTGATAGACATGTGAAGTGAAACACCATATCCATCAATCTCTCCATAAGCAGGAGAACGAGCATCACCCCAACGACCGTTAGGAAAGTCATCCCATGTGGCTTCTCGACCAAGACTACCTTCTCCTTCACTAATCGCAAGAGTATTGGCTCGAGAATTCACAGCCTCGGCTGGAATACCAGCTTCTTGTGCTGTGGCCTCAAAACTAGGGTTTGAGGTTTGAGGTGCAGTGATTATGATACGATTATAAGGGTCGGATCCAACCGATGACCGACGTCTGGAGCTACGTTTGTGAGAACCGCTGCGAATTGACATCAAATCTGCAATATCCGGAATAGTAGGTGTGTATTCTGATTCCAAAGCTGCAACAGCTTCGGCATCCGGAATGAGGTCTGTTCGTTCTAGGATGAAAGACACTGCTTTCTCCAGATTAAGAGTATAGAAATGAAAACCTCGAGGACCCGAATACTGAGATTTGGTGACCTTCAAATGTTCAACCATTTCACTCAAAATGTCCACGCCTACTTTCTTCACCATCTCATCATCTCCTCGAACCTCATCCAATCTTGTTATGATATTCGTAGGAAGTACCGCGTGGCTAAGTTTCGTAGTTCGTTTGATCATTTGATAACTTTGTATTGGCATCATACCAGGTATAATTGGCAGAGTTTTGAATGCTCCACTTGGGTGATCTCGTAGTCTTTGTTCAAATGTATCGTATGCATCGACGTCGAAGAATAATTGTGTCATGATAAAATCCGCCCCCGCTTGAACCTTTTCCACCAGAGATGGCAAATCGTGTTCGAGACTCTGTCCCTCGGGATGTCCTTCATCGGCGTGTCCTTCTGGGTATGCCGCAACTCCTACGCAAAAGTAATCTCCGTATTGTTTTCTTATGTATCGTACTAAATCGATTGCCCACTCAAACTCCCAGTCCATCGCTGGTGTGTCGCCATTCTTCTCATCCACAGCACGATATTCCTCACTCCGCGGCGGATCGCCCCTCAAAGCCAATATGTTCCTAATTCCTAATGCCTTTGCGTCTTCCAATGCTTGATCCACCAATGCTCGACTCATGTTTGTGCAGGTTAAATGTAGACATGTTGTGAGACCTAAATCCCGTTGGCATAATTCCGCGAGCTCTAACGATTTTGTCGCAGTAGATCCACCGGCTCCCCATGTAACAGTTACAAATAGAGGTCTTAATGCCCGAGACATTCGATCAAGACGAGCCCGCAGATTCGAAGATCCCATTGAAGTCTTTGGTGGAAAGAATTCGAGGGAAAAGTAATTGGTGTCTGGTGGCAATGCCGCAATCTTCTCTGTGATCTTTTCCATTTCGTTGAAGTTATATCGTTTTTAAAATCCTGTCAAATGCGATTGTATCTATAATCGAGTTGATCTATATGCTCCTGTGTTGTATATTCGATTTTGTTGTTGAATGGATTTGATGTAAGGCTGGGAAATTTGGTGAATGGCGGGGGCTACTTTTTTCTTTCGGAGGGATGAGGGATGCTCCCAGTCGAATGGCACTAAAAGTTAGGGATTGATTGATAATAGATAGCCAACGAAGACAATAAAATCAAAATTACTTTTGATAATCAATCTTTATTCTACTGTATATTCTTCCAAGTAAGTACAACCTCATGGATAAGCCTTGGTTTCTATTGGTTAAACAAAGTATCAAAGGATTTTGCATGATTGTACTCAAATACAAGGATACTGATATATGCTATTGTTACTCTCTTGGACGACTTGACTTGTATGTTGTTTAACGAAACAATTTCTATAGTTATATCTCATAAAACCCAAATAATTGTACCCAAAATAAACCACCAACTCTTGAAGTCCAACAAAATAACCAAATCCAATATAACAAACTACATGATTGTACCCAAGGTATACCACCAACTCTCAAACTCCAACAAGATTCCCAAATCCCAATCTCCATGTCCACCTTTACCCCAGAACAGCCGCTTCCAAATCTCCCAGAACCATCTCAACGATATCTCTCTTCCACATATGCTCCGCATTGAAGAATTCCATCCACATTTCACGGCAAGACAACGTCTGAAACATTTCGGCCGTCACCCAGTTTGGCGTTATAACAGATGGCTGCGGTGCCGGACGATTGGGATCGTGAGGGACACTCGAAGTAATTGTCATGCCATCCGTTGTAATGGTGGTATATCTGGTCCGGCGTGGCTTGCGAGTAACCGTTCTTAGTTTCCCCGATAAAGTGAAGTCAGGGGGTGGATCTCTGCAGGAAATCTTTGTGGCAGGTGAAGCCCCCATATCGTGAATGTTCAGTCGTTTAGAGAGCCAACGGCCGGACGAGAGTTCCACGGCTGGTGTCCTGACAATGGGAGGTGAGTCGGTTGACGTGAGACTAGTTGTGACGGTCGAAAGAGTGGTTCTCTGCGAGGAGTAACTGCCAGTTCTTGATGCAGCAACAGGACCCTCTAAGACGCTAGCTTCGGCGGTGGGAGTTGAGAGTGCCAGAGGACGCGTTGGACAGACAGACTTGATGCATCGATGGGCTCCTTCTCGTATCATGGACGCCGCGTGAAGAGCATCGGTCGATACAAAGAATTCATGGCCCTCTTCGTTGAACGTAGCCATCAATCGCCGGATGGCAGTTTCTTCGTGTGTACACCGTTGCATGAGAGCCCAGTCCTCCCCCGTAGTCGTGGCATCGACGGCACCACAATTAATGGTGATTTCCTTCCCATTTATTTTCACCCATTCTGCCTCGTCGAAGTCCCCGAGATCATTTGCCGCCACGAGTTTGAGGTCCTTCGGGTCGATACCATGCGGCCCTTGTCTGCCAAGTCTATAATTGATCATGGCATCTTCATTAATGCCAATTTGGCCATGAAGACTGCTCATGAGACGAGTTATCGTCTCGTATTGATCAAACGATTGATCATCTTCAACCAATTCAACAGAAGATCGGTTGAGAGATGATGCAACTGATGACTGATTGAGAGACAACGGAGCCGAAGATTGATTGAGTGGCATTGAAGACTCATTGAGCGACAATGCAACCGAAGATGGGTTGAGAGGCGATGAAAAGCCCCAACCAACGACAGAAGTTGGAAATGCAACGACCGCCAGAATGGTCGTTGCGAGAATGGGAATTGAAAACAACATTTTGGATTGTTGGTCCTTTGGTGCGAGTATAATTTCTTGGTTGGGTTTGAAATTCAAATAGAGATCAGAAGTCAATTGAGAGATTGTAAATGTGTACAAAGATCAGAAACCAGAGGGGGGAAAAAAGAGGTATTTATGCAAAACCAAGCAGCACTTGCCTAACTTCCACACACGCCTTACTTAACCTGTTCTAAAAATCTTTCAACGAATCATCGAACATCAAACACCAATACCGGTCTTACCCTAAGGACCAATATGGTAAAGTAAGAAGTGTCTATCTATAAAACCAAGTATTCGCTCTGGCTACCAAGAATTTTCATACTACTATAATCTCCTAAATTCCATCATCACTCCCCACTTAGCCTCTTTCAATACACTACCCATGAAGGCTAACACCGATACCGGTATTGCCCTCAGGATAATATGGTAAAAGTGATATCTATAGTGTATATAGCGCCATACTACACGAATCAGAACCCACCTCAGAGTCTCGTCCGGATACTGAAGTTCACAGCAAGTAATCGAACCGAATCCATCGGAAAGTTGAATTAATGACACCAACATCCATCAATCCGTGAGAGTGTACCTTATACGGTTAGAAAGTGAGGGTCCATAAAAGCAAGTATGTACTGTAGTAGCAACACCAAGTGGGAACTACTCAAATATCAGAGGAGAAGACTTCGTATGCGGAAGCCTGAATGTACCAACACTGACCGAAATATCAAAATGAATGACAATGAGAAATGGTATCAGTCATCGAAGAATCAGGAAGACGAAGAGCTAAAAAACGATGATAAAAACTAGATACATCCAGCTCCTGCTACTTAGAGGAAATCATGACAGAGTTTCAATGGTTTTGGTCTGTAGCGTTTCAATAAGCGCGTCATTAAGAACTTTAGAACGCTGGACTATTCATTTTTCAGTCAACTTGAGGACAAATGGAAGCACTAGCGACCGTTGGACTACCGGTAGTCAGTCGGTAGATGGTTCAAGTTCAAGTACCTACGAGGACCAATTGAAGGATAGGCTTAATTAAAGGTATATGTGTTCGTTTACATGATCGTCGTTGATCGGACTAAGTTCATTATTATAAAGTGGAGCTCAGAGGCAAGGAAGTACTGCCAAAATATGGATTATGGATTAGAGTTTCGTTTGAATAACCATGATTATTAATAATTCTTTTTCCAATCCAATTTGAAGCTAGCCAATGAAAACCTGTAATAATATATGAACTATTTTTGGAATCAGTTATCAAAAATACTTATATAAGCAAGGTTTTATAAATCGAAATTATAATTCTTGTGTAGAACTAAGCCTCAAACAGAATGACTAATACTCGAATACAAACTCCTTATCTTATCAATACTCGAGTACTATCAACCTCACAATAGTTTCTAATGGTCAGCGCCTAGATATAAATAAACTTTCCATACAAAGAATAAGTACAATTTCTTCACTTTACTACAAGACTCTATAGGATTTTACAGTCTTTAGACTTTCTTTTCCTTTTCATTCATCTTCAGTCGTTACTTCCTTATCTCCATCTTCACCTCCAAGAAGCAGATTGGTGATATCAAGCAAGGAGATATCTTCATTTCATCACATACACAAACTCAGCATTAACAGCAGCTAAGATGGCCGCAAAAATGGATGCAAAAGTGGCAGAGTCAGCTATTCCAGTAACCTACAATGCATTCTTCTACGGAACTCTCGTGGGTCTCCCTTTTGCCCCTCCCCCTCTCCCTCTTATTCTCACTCCCCATCCTCGCACTAACCTCCTCTTCCCAATAGATGGCACCTGAAGTTCTCCACCGTGTAATCTACGGTTCTTCCTCACACCCCTCTACCTCTCTAACCATCGTTCCTGCGCTTCTCCCAGACTATTGTCGTCACCGCGTCCGCTTCGCCGACTACCCCGCCATCATTTCCGAGCCCGGGCACACCGTTCGCGGCACCTACGTCAGCGGTCTCACACCCTCTAACATGCGATCTCTGGATTGGTTCGAAGGATCTCAATATGAACGCAAGGTTGTCACGGTGAAGATATTGACTCCTAAAGATAAGTCGCATGTACATGGTAGTAGTGGAATTATGGCAGAAGCCATTGAAACGGGAGAGGAAAAGCAAGCGCATACGTATGTATTTACTGATCTGAATGAGCTTGAAAAGGGAGAATGGGATTTTGCATTTTTCAGACGCGAGAAATTGAGGAATTGGGCAGACGAGAGTGAAGAGTATGCCGGTTCGTGGATGCCCCCTGCTCTATAAGGAAGAGGAAGGTCTCACTAAAGCCTGGGATATAGAAGTTGATGCGAATGTCGTCAAAGGCGTTGAGAGCGAAATTGGTATCTATGAATTTCTAGACCAAAAGGATTCTACCGGTGGACGAGGTGTTAAAACTGCAATGGGGAAGGAATTGAAGGAGTTATCGGATAAGAACAGGGAAGAACAAAAGACTTTGGAGGAGAAACAGAGGATTGCGAAGAAAAAGGAGTTCAAATGTCAGCTCACTGCCGGACAGATGGAATTTCTTGGGTTGATCATACTCATATGGTTATGCATAGGGCTTCGTCTGGCGTATGCATATTGCCCATTTACAGAGTTCTTAACTTTGCTTGGATATCCAAGCAAACTCTTCTAAAGGGTCTTATCGGCCGTTCTCCAGATAATATAGAGTAATTAGCCAATACTAGAATACATACTCGAGTATAAGATATAGTAAGTATACAGCATATTGTGAATCTCTCAAATTCCGAACCTTTTCTTTCCTTTTAATATTAATATTGAAGATTGAAACAGATACACATATGTACATACTCCTAATCTATTCCCATCCCCATCCCCATCTCCATTCTCATCCTCATCTCTACCTGGTATCTCGTAACCCTAGCCCGACAATGCAACCCAAACCAATATAATCCCCCAGCTACATATCGCATACCGGCATACCATCATAAACCATTATAAACCATCATAAAATAAACCCATACTTGAGCTTGAGTATTTTAATCACTCCACATAGCTAGGTAGGTAGGCACTGGGCGCTGTGCGATGTGTGTGAGGTAGTGTGATGGTGATGATAGTAGTGGCTGTATGCGCTGTGATGTATTGGGTGGGTATCGGATATTGGGTTATGTCTTGATCGATAATCTTTCTTCATAGAAAGATCAATATAGAAATCCGACGGTACCATTTAATCAATGGGGCCCCTAGGACCCTCTTATGGTAAGATTGTGGAAAGATCAAGATTGAGATTATGATGTGATTTCTGGGTTTCGATTTTTTTCTTCTGTTGTTTGGGTTTGGGTTTGGGTGAAAAGAGGGTGGGTTGTATGATATGGTGGACTGAGGGTAGTGCAGTGTATAGATAGATGGATGTGGTTGCGGACGCGGATACGATGTTATGCGTGTGATGCGATGTATGTATACAATTGGGATGAAAATCCGGTATACATCACTACACCCCACAACCTAGAACACACTCCCACCTCCACCTCCCAATCCAATCCAATCCAATCACTTCTTCCCCTTCCCCTCCCCCCTTCACACTCCCAGCAACATCCACCCACCCTCCCTTCACCAACGCCCCCCTCGCCACCCCATTTATAACCGCAAACCTTCTACTCCCCAACTTAACCCCCCCATACCACCTCGTAACCACCATCACCACCCCCCAAACATCCATCTGCTGTAGTAACCGCAACACTTTTCCTCCCGCCCCCGCCTCCCCATCATCATCACAATCCTGATATACGATGCCCTTGCCCTCTGCCCCTTTCATGCGCCAGGCAGTAATATTATGCGTTGCGCTGCGCACTTTCTTGTCGTGCGCAATCAGATGTTGTATGTATTGTTTGGCGAGAGAAGGCGAGGAAACGCGGGCGCAGCGCGCGAGGAAGGTGGATTTGAGTTCGGTGGTGGGGTCTGAGAGCGTCCAGGTTGGGGCGGGGGGTTCGCTGTCTATGAGGATATTTTCTTGTGATGTGTGCGCGGGGATTGGAGATTTATTCCTTGGTACTTCTGTATTATTACCTCTTGTTTCTTGAACATCACCCTCACCCTCACTCGCCCTATCCCCGTTCATCCACCCCTCCACCTCCTCACAAACATCAAACATACACACCCCTCCCCCCGTCCAAACCCTCCCAACTATGTCCCTCACCCTCCCCGCCAATAATGCCGCATCCCCCCTCCTTGCATCTTCCCCTACCCTATGCGTTCCCAATATTATAGGAGGCACATGCGGATACTCATTTGGGAAGTGAATGCGCAGCCATGTATCGTGTTTGGGAAGCGCGAGTATGTATGTTTGGTTGGGGGTTTCGTGGGCCGAGACGAGGGTGTTGGGGCCGTAGATTGAATTGATGGCTTCAATTTCGTTGAGGAGGTCTTCGCTCATGGTGGGAGAGTTGGAAGGAGGGGTGAAATAAAGAATAAATGTTGGAGCTTGGCTTGGAGGAGTCGATGATGAGTAAGCGATGGTTGGTTTTGTGAGGGATTCAGTTATGTGTGTTTATATTTACATCACGTTCATATTCATTTTCACATTCATATTCATATTCATATAAAACTCTACTGATTTCTTTACATATCAAGTTTTTTATTCTTTGCTGATACTGACTGAAAGACAGAAAATCTATCCTCCATTCCGTGATCTAAGCGCCTTTGTGATTCTCATGCCACAAGTCTGTCTATACGCAGCCGGCCACACAGCTTGGTCTTGAAATTCCCTTTTGAGTAGCAGCATACCATGACCCACCCAATCCATCCATGCATTCATTCATAACTTCATCATCACCCGTTGAGAAGCCCAAGAGCTCTGAGCCCCAAGCCTCAAGCCCAAAGTCCAGCCACTCTCAAATCACTCAATCCATCAAACAAACATGCAAAAACGAATGTGTAGAAACGAAGGTGTAGTAGTATCACAAGCAGAAAATAAAAAGAAGAAAGTAAAATAGATATGTACAAAATTGTAAAAGAGTTTCCAATCTTTTGATAAGAAGGGAAATTGAAGGGGAAATGCAACGCTGGCTATGCTATGTGTATCAAGAGCGTGTGTTATATGCGTGTCATATGCTCATGTTTTGATTGAAATGAAATGGATTTGTCTGCGAGTGATGTGTTATTTTTGTTTTTGTTTTTTTCGGTGTCAGAAAATGCCCAAAAGACGTCCTGCGAATTTGGGTTCGGGTTCAATTTGTCTGCTCAAAAGAAGAGAAATGATTGGAAACCGTTGGTGCAAAAGAGTGAATGAGCCAGTCCAGCAAAATCAACCTAAACAAACATTTCCTGTCCCAATCCTCTTCTCGCCACATGACGAGTGACTCCCTTTACACCTCTCTTTGCAACGATCAAATTCATCGTCTGACCACTGGTACACGTGGTACCAGCCGCCAAGGCTTGAACGACGCTCCAAGCGCCGCTTGCACATTGTTGATAGGAAGAACTGCTAATGCAGTTGAACATTCCTAGGGAAGTGCAGGGGCCGCTAAGAGCGCCAGAGCTTGATGTAGAGCTTGATGTAGAGCTTGATGTGCTGCCAGAGCTGCCAGAGCTGCCAGTGCTGGCGGGAACTGAGGCGGATGTGGCGGTTGTGGGGACACTGATGGCGGTAGTGGCAACTGCTGGGACGATTCCAGCGGCTGAGGTGGCCGAGGTCGCAACTGTGACGAAGACTCCTCCGGGAAGAGAAGAAGCGGCGGGGGTACCAGCTGAGACAGCAGAAGTAACGACCGAAGAAGCACCTCCCGTTGCAGTTGCCGATGCGACACCACCACTTGCTGCGACGCAAGAGCCGGTTGGTGTCGAGGTGGCAGTTGAAGTGGCACCTCCATCGAACTCGACGGAATCACCTGGGTTAGGGAAGACCAAATCAAGGGAATCGGCGGTTCCGCAACCGTTTCCAACATTGGCGACGAACATGTCGGGAAGGGCGTTGAAGGCGGTTTGATCTCTCTCGGCGAGCTCGCTGCGTTTGCTGGAGCCGGTGAGAGTGACGGGGGCACAGTTCATGTACATTTCACGGTTTCCGATTTTGTTGAACCAAGTCCAGGCGAGGGTTGCTTTGCCGGATGGGAGCGTGGTTGGAATGGTGAAGTTGTACGTGTCTGGATCGATGGCGTTGGCATTCTCTGGGGCGTTTCCAGGAGTGTTTCTCATGGGGCAACCGCCAATGATGGAGTGGATGACTTTGAATGTGCTCTTGGCAGTTGGGGTTTCGTCGTAGGTGATTGAAACTTGACAAGATCCACCTCCGTGAACGGCACTGCCTTTGAAAGCGAGATCGTATGAACCACCGAGATCCATGGTGTTTTGAGTGCCGACCTCGTAGACTCCAGTTCGTTGCTTGCATGGGAAGTCGGATCCATCAGCGGCCAAAGGAGAGCTGGTGAGAGAGTCAGCTCCGTATGGAACGGGGCTGGTCATGATCATGTGAGCATTGCTGACAGTTGCGAGAGCAAAAGCTACGATGGCGGCTTTGGAAAACATGATGATTTTCTGGTTGAAGATTTGTATCGTGCCTGACGTAAAAATCTGTGTGGTGTGTTGTTGTGTGAAGGTTTCCGTTTCTGCTACTGAAAGATCGTTGTTGAGTTGGAAAGATCGTTTTGTAGTAGTAGAAAGTGGATGTGTGGTTGATATCTGGAATGGAAAAAAAAGTTCGAGGTCAGTCGGAATGCCAAATATATAACTCGAGGAGGCTGACTGTTCTCGAAGCTTAACAATAGAAACAGAATCACCACAATAATAAAACAACTGTTTGATTATTATGAATCGAAAGAAGGATAATGACCGAGGGGATTATTCACTCTTTCGACTAATACTTCAATAGAGAATTTCGAAATTAATTGTGTAACCGAATCCTATTGTGTTGATAGATACAGACATGACCACACAATAGAGATAAAAAAAAAGACAAAGACAAAAGAAATGCATAAAGGGGTTTTCGAAATCACAACAGGATTCGCAATACAACGAGAAAGACAAACAAAGAATTAAGAATTGTTTCACGTACCTTGTTCAAGAAATTGATTGTTCAGAGTCGAAGAATTCGATATATTCTGAATAGGTTGATGGAAGGAATGGTAGGCGTTTTTCTAACTGAAGACTTTCAAGGAATGTGAAGGGTATGTAATCTTTTTTCTTGTCGCAGACAATCGAGAGAATACAAGTACTAAAGAATGGAAACGATTTTTACAAACAGAAAGTTCTAGCCTTTAAATGAAAGATGCAAGTGCTCGTCGAGAGTGTTGGGAATTGTCAGAAAGATTATCGAGATGATTCAATGTGGGACGGAGCTTTCATCTTATATTACTTTGTCTGTAGGTCGGTGGTAGATCAAGTTTCTCAAAAAGGGAGATGGGTAAAAAGAACTTCCCTCTCGACCCAAGGGTGATAGGAACTGCAGCAAGGAAGGTCGGAAACCATGGCTCAATTGGTTATGGTCTGGTCGACAAACGCCCATTCTAGGAAGTTCATGGGTCTCAAGGATCTCAAATCCACTCACCTACATCTGAATGATCCATCTCCTCCTGTACGGAAGATTCTCGCGAGGCTAGAGATACGGTAGAGTCTAGAGGTCAGACATAGTAGCCAGTCGAAGTGGCTATGTGAATGATGAATATTGGATCTGAAGCGTCGATATATTTTAGGATGAATAATGTGAATGAATATGGGATGTGAGGATAATGTGTGGTTTCGCACAGACGTTGAACGATTGAGGATTTGCAGGGGCTTCATAAGTTTGATAGGCTCATATACCTTGATTCGGTGAATGGCGAAACCCCTCATGCTGTGCCACCGGAAGGACGAATCTTCACTGGTCCCTGACTAAAATATTCATAGTTCCATATGGATTGTTCTGATTCATAGGAATTCAGAAGAACACATGCCGGTTCCAGACCAGTCATAATCCTTCAGTCATGGATTCATGATGAATAGTTTCGTTTATTTTGGATACACTCTGTCTTGAATCTATGAGCCCAATCAATCTATGGATTAGATTGGGATTGGTTAAACCTTCACCATCCCGTGGGCTTGAGTCTTGAATAGCGCTTTCGTTTGAAGACAGAACCACCAAACCGAATCATACCGTATCGCTGTGTAGCGTATGCAAGAAAGCAGGCAGTCAGCTATAAAAACGCATGGATGATATCTTTTTTTGTTTCTGTTCCTGCAGATCAGACCCTGGATCATTATGAATACCGGTATGTAATATGAAAAAAGCCAATCGTCCTGCATATACGCTAAGATTATGAGTATCGCCCCATCTACCCCCCTTTAATCCAAAGTAGTCACCATTATTAGTATCCTCCACACAGGAAGCTTTGAGTAAACATCTTGGCAGGGGTTATCCAATCAAATCAATCTTTTTATTATGAATTCTCCTTGTAATTGGAGAGGAGAGGGCCGAGAGGTTACCGCCACGGTTGCATACGATGGATACCTATTATCCACTATATCCACATATACATACACACAGCCCAAAGGAAAACCTTTCTTTCCTTCAACCCACTATTGAATTGGCCTACCCGATCTTTTGGGCGCCAAGAATCATATACCGTTATCCTACCATATACCATACCGTATTGCACCTATTATATTTCGTATATCATGAATTTATATTTCCATCATCAATCCATCTCAGAAAGTTTCCCATTTGATACTTATTATGCGAGTAGTTACGTTACTCATCCGAACATAGGTTCGGACATATGTCGATCTTCTTCAATACATCCTTCCACGTTATTTTTACTATTAATGGATGATGCAGTAGTCCAGTAATCCAATCATCCAATCATCATAATATCATACCCCTCCCCTCATAAGCTGATCATCAAACAATGAAACACACCACGTCTCGACTTACCGACACGATCACAGATGAACAAACCACTCGGACAATTTTCGTTGGTTTCGGTACTCAATCCTTCCTCATTCCTATAATACCGACCAAGGATTCGCGATTGGACACGCGATAATCGCGGTTGACGGATTCTGCCCCCTAAACCAAGGCGGGGTCTATTCAGGGTCTTCCTTCCTTCCATAGGCTTCTAGGCAATACAGGTAAAGAAATAGATTACCACCACAGGCCATCGTATAAAATAACACAAATACCAATACCGGTACGTCGTACCAGTACGACATCCATCCTTCTAGGTTAGGTTAGGTGCGAAACAAACGCCATCCATATTCTCAACCGCACGTGCCTCCATCGACAGACGCATAGCATTAATATATTAATATAATCGCACAGCCACAGGCAGACCCATAGATCTCGAGCTCATAACGGTATTCGAGGGTTGTTCTTGGATAGATACGGTAGATAGATGCTATGCGAAGTATGTACCTAGGACTTAGGTGGGTAGATCAGTTGAGGCTGAAACTTCTGAGGATTCATGTTCTGTTCTGTACAGTTCATCTGGTGGCAATATGTACGCATGTACATACATCTTTCAGGGTTATGATACTACAAACCTACGAATCTACGATGGATTATTTCAGCTGATCATGGAATGGGGGCCGGGGAGGAGAGAGAAGAAATGGAATTCTGTGTATGTATAGGAAATGGGAGTGGGAAGTGGGAAGTGGATATTGAATGAAAATAGTTTCAAAGATGCTTAACACCGATATAGTTTGTGGCAAAGTGATATCGATATCGAATTTGACTTCGCCACTATATAACAGAGTAGTACGATTATGCGATCAGACATCCAAGTCGAATACCTACTGTATTATTCTATAAGTATTACTATAAGTATAAATCCATTACGTTACCTACATCTTCCATTTCACTACTGGTATTCGTATATATACCAATTCACACTTTCCTACTTTCCTACTTTCCTACCCTATATTCAGTACAGCACTCCTCCTCCGAGTCCTCCCCAATACAACCAACCACACCTGTCAAATCCCGGTAACCTGTACCTGTACCTGTAACTATTCATATACCATATCATCCTCTTTCCCCCAAACTCCCAAAATCCCAAAATCCTATATCCTCCGTCACCCGTGCCCAAAATCCCAAAGCTTATATACATCTCATCTCACTCTTTCTTCATTCCTAAAGGCCACTTCCCCCAAACATCCAAACATCTTAGCATTCATCTAAATCCTCTTGTACCTCTCAATCTTGATTTCTCCATGATTATTAGTATAATCCCAAAGCTTATACATAGCATACCAAGGTATATCCTCAAAACCGTCCCAATGTTGCTATTCATCCGACTGATACTCGTACTTGGAATTCCTTCTAAATATTTCCAAGTATTATCAAAATGCTCCTACACTGTAAGATATATTGATACTCCTACCACTACCACCACTACCACTACCTATGCTCAAGAACGAAACCCCCTCGACTTTTTCTCATTCTCGTCTTTCCTATCCTAGCTTATCCTTATCCTCCATGATACCCCATCTCTATTTATCCTCCATCCTCCATCCCCGACCCATCTCATCTCCTCATATCTACTCCATACCTACTGGGTACCCATCTCCCCTCCCTATCTCCCCAGAACCTTACCATCTGCATCCCTCTTCAAAACACCACACCACACAAATCCAATCAAACCCAAAGCAGACTCACAAACTAAAAAACTCCCCAAAAAGGACAAGGTACCGGTATATATATATATATACTTACTGTGTTAATACACGTAAACTCCGCAAACGATATTATCTTGGATATTTATGACAGTTCTCCAAGTCTTCATCTGGATCTGGATTTGGATTTTTAGATATTAAGATACCAGTACTTGAAAGGCAACACTCTATTCTGATCCAATACCCCTCACCCCGACCCCTACCACTAGCAAATTTGTAGGTAAGTTCTAGATGCTATACGCCATTTGCAATGCATTCTTCAACCCATGCTTTACCCATTTATCCTCCTATTGTCCCAATTTATCTTCCACCTGACCATCATACGCCCCCAGAAAGATAATAAGAACTCCGCCAAATGCACAAGACAAAAGCTCTCCCTCCCAAATCTTCTCATTTCCACCTATCCCAAATCCCATATATACTCTCATTTCCCTGTAACTCAATCCTTAATCCGCATCACTGACATCCATTGAATTAACCTCATGAACCACCACCCTACTCCTCGACTTTCCCTTCCCTTTCATTTTGCTCGGTCTCAAATTCGCCAATACCTGATCCTTCCTCAGTGATAACTCCCTCTCAATTTCATCCTCCTCCTGATCAAAAATCCTACTCCCATCAATCCCATGAATAGCCGTTTCCTCCAAAGCTTTATTAAGTAGTTCCGTTGCAATAGCATCTTGAGGCGAAATAGCAAGTGCTTCGTGAAACACCAAGACCGCTTCAAAAGGCTTCCTTTGCTCCATCAATACCAAACCCTTTGCGCAAAAGATGGCAGGATCTTTTCCACCCTGCCGAAGCACCTCGTCAAATTCTGCCAGGGCGGCATCCCATTGATGAAGACGACGATATGCATGACCGAGATTCGCACGAGTGGATATCCAAGCTTGTGGGTCGCTATCAATCTCCTCGGCGATCTCGAGGGCTTTTCTTAGAATTAAGACGGCATCTTCAAGTCGTTCTTGATGATAAAACACTACTCCCATTTCATTAAGGAGCAATGGATCGGTTTTGCAGAGTTCGTATGCAGTTTTTAAAAATTCATCGGCGAGGGTCATATTATTTAGCATGTGATTTTGCATGCCTAAAAATAGTTGAGGTAAGTGAGTGCCCATGAAAAGTCGTGCTGCTGTAGAATATGCTGAGATTGCTTGATCATGTTCTCCTTCTGCTGCAAACGTATGGGCAAATCCAATCCAAGCGGGTCCAAAATGAGGATCCATCATACTGGCTTTGCTAAAATACCGTCGAGCTTCAGCAACTTTGCTTATGGCTAAGTAGTATATACCCACAGCAAGCCATGTACATGGCTCTTCCGGATGGTTGTCCGCTAGGTCGTGTGATACCTGTCAATCGAGTGTTAGTATTCATGGCATAACTTTAATCTCCGAAGGGTTCGGGACACAACAAAGTTTTAACCCATCCATCCACCCGGAGTAGATGCGCAACAGCACCACAACCGAAAGCCATCATTGGGAGCTGTAAAAATATGATTGAAGAGAAGATGCCTAAACATCTTGAAAAGATAAAAGACTGTGTGACTTACTAAGAAAAGGGCATTCTTAAGTTGTAATTCGTACAGACATGCCAAGTGTAAGGGGTATATACTGAAATTGTATTTGTCTTCCTCGAGAATAGAATTGGTGATAGCTAAAGCATCCTTAAACCTGCATTGTGTGAAAAATAGGTCCGCTTTGGACAATAAAAGATCAGGGTTTGTAGCAAGATTATAATGTGTTGAAAGTGTTTCCGTTGCCGTTGTGAAAGCTGCGGGGTTTTTGTATTTTGAGAGTCGAGTAGTGTAAAGCAATTTTGTGAATTCCGCTGCTTCCTGAGAGGATGAAGTATCGTCCGCAACAGATATAGTATCAAAATCCAGAGATTCTAGAAATTGCCATTCTTCTTCTGGAGACATCAAACAGTTCTTCATGAGTTGCTCAAATGCTTCGAAGCATTGCACATCTATTCGTACAGCATCCTTATAACATTCTTTTGCTCTGTCGAAAGCATTTTGTTTGGCATAGCAGAGTCCTCGCAGGAAGCACATTGCAGCTTCGAATTTTATATTTGCGGCTTCATCCTTGGCTACTTCGTCCTGCCTATGTCGACTGCTTTGTGTTGTTGATCCATTCCGGGCATGCCCTCTCGTATATTGTAATTTCTTTCTGTTTTGACCACTAGTTGATATCAAATGTGTAGGGTTCTTCTCGCCGAGAATATTCAAGGCTTCCTCGAATCTCGATTGTTTTATTAGACAATGGCCTGCGAGGTACCGACAGGATGGATTCCGAGCTATTAGGTCTTGTTTGGTAAGAAAGCTCTGGGCCCTGGTATAGTTCCCAGTGGAGAAGTGAACTTGCGCAAGCCAGAAAGCATCTTTATCGCTTTCTATAAAAATGTTAGAACCAACAATTAATCAAAAGAAGCATCGGAACGGTTGTACTTGTTATGGCTAACAATTTATCTCCAATGAATATTGCCGAGTCGTATTGGTGTTTGTTCATGGCATCTTGCCGCCAATCTCTCAAGAACTTATCCATATCCTCTATTGTGAGATTGTGAGTTGTACCCATATATGATTAACGGGAAAAGGGCATATGAGTTTATTGTTTGTTTTCATAACAGAACGGCAGTCGCGTGGGGTGACGCGAGACTGAGAACCTCGATTTCCACGAGGCCATATGATAAAGGCTTACATAATACAAGACAGACATACCTAGGAGAACTTCGCCGCCTTGTCTGTAATCAATCTATCTATCTAATCCATCAACTTCCATCACCAACTTCACTTCACGTTCGAATCAGTCTCGATCACTTTAGGCATCTGCCAACCTATTACCACAATCACAAACCCATTCACGCCAACTTGATCCAAGATGTCTGAGCGAAAAGTTCTTACCAAATATTACCCGCCCGATTTCGACCCTTCGAAGATTGTTCGGTCGCGTGCTCCAAAACAAGCTGGTCCAAAAGTACAGGTTGTTCGTTTGATGGCACCGTTTCCAATGAAGTGCACCGCCTGTGGAGAATATATTTACAAAGGTCGAAAGTTCAACGCCCGCAAAGAAACTACAGAGGAGAAGTACCTAGCTATTACCATTTATAGATTTTATATCAAGTGTACGAGATGTTCCGGCGAAATCACTTTCAAGACGGATCCCAAAAACATGGATTATCAATGTGAGCGTGGTGCGAAAAGAAATACCGAACCATGGCGTGCAAATGGAGGGGGTCTTCAGGAGAGTGATGAAGAGAGACTAGATCGTTTGGAAAGAGAAGAACTAGAGCGAGATGCGATGCAGGAATTGGAAGACAAAACTGCAGAAGCAAAAACCGAAATGGCTGTCGCTGATGCCTTGGATGAGATTCGCACAAGAAATGCAAGGAATGAACGGGTCGGAAAGGATGGAACTGAAGTCACAGTAGCCCGAGAAAATGTTGATTCGGAACGAGAAAGGCAGGAAAGAGAAGACGAAGATGCTGCTCGAAGGGCGTTCATGAGGAGACAGGAGGCTATGGAAGAGGTTATAGAGGATGATGCTGACGATGCCGGTGCAGGACCAGCACCAAAGATTTCTAAAGAAGAGGCATTAGCAATGCCGCCTCCGAGCTTCAAAAGAGTTGTAAAGAAGAAAAAGGATCATGCTGCAGCATTGGGGATCAAAAAGAAGCCTTCTCTGGTTTGAACAGCGCTCTCAGTTGTATCGGTATCGGCAGATGGTGGGACCGGCAGGATATTAAATTTGTTATTTGAGGGGATCTCATATATGCTGGCACAAACCCTGGATTGTTTTGCAAATGGCATTTGATCAAAATCACTAAAACATCAAATGTATGTAGGCTAATCCAGTACAGATTGTCCCACGGCGTTTGCTGCCGTGAAGCCGTCTTAGGGGTGCGTGGATCGTATTGCGTCAATATAGCATATGCTTCAAAGGAAGACATTTGCAACGAAAATTACTTTTATTTATTTTTTAGAAATTTTATACTAATATTGGGATCTAAATATATTCAATATAAATATAAATTTTGAAACTATTCAGATCATTTTCTTGAATTTTGAAAGGGGTAGCATCAAGCTTTAGATTAAAATATAGAATAGATTCAAGTTCTGAATTTCGATGAATTCTGAATCTGAATCTGAATCTGAATATAATCAATATAGTATTAATAGATAACATAATATAATCCACCCCTATTCTTGTTTCAAACTCAGAAGATTAATATATTATATTATCAATAAAATTTTGAAACTATTCAGAGTTTTGAAAAAATAATCTGTATATTGAATTCTGATTAATAATAAAAAGATCTAATTAGAATTATATTTATTGAAATTCCAATACTTTTCAATTTATAACTTTTTAGAGTACTTCAATAATTATTTACTTAACAAATATTAATTATATAAATACAAAAAATTTTATTCTTAAAAAGCTTATAATCAAAAGAACAAAAATCTAT